TTTTAATTATAATAGAGGTTTATCTTTATATAGTAATTTAATTACTACTAGCGCTTTATTATTAAATAGATAGTTAGCTATTTTTTTTTATTGTTATTAATAGTTAAAAATATTTCTTTTAATAAAATAAACTTTAACCTTAAGGGATTAAATTATATAATTTTAATCCCTTTAATTTAAAAATTATAACCTTATTAAAACTAGTTATTTTAATATATATATAAGTTATTTATATATATATATTAAAAATATAACTTTAAAAGTTAAATTAAATAAGTTTAAAGTAATTTAAATTTATAAGTAATATATAAATTTAAATATAATATATAATAAATATATAAATATATATATAAGTTTATATATATAAATATATATTTATTTATTTATATATAGTTAAAAATAATATAATTTATTAAGAAAATTAGTTAATAATACTTAATTAGCATTATATAGTTAAAAGATTAAAATTTAATATTAAATAGTATAAAGATTGATTTAATAGGTTGAAATAGTTATATAAGTTAAATATAAGTTAATAAATATAAGTTATTATAAATATCTAGGTTTATAACCTTTAAAGTTATTAGGTTAAATAAAGGAATAATTAGTATATAATAGAATAATAAATATATTAATAATTATTATTATTTACTTATTTAGTTAATTAGTTAGTTAATTTATTTTAAGGAAGACCTTTTATTTATAGTTATATTTTATATTAATTAAAATATTTTAAAATTAATTAATTATTAATTTAGGATTAATAATTACTTAATTATTATTAAATAATTAATTAATAATTAGTTAATAAAGAATTTATTTAAAGTAAATTAAAGTAACTAGTATTAATTATAAAGATATTAGTTATATATATAAATTTAAATACCTTCTATATAAAAGGTTTTAAAACTACTTATATAAACTAATTATATAAGTATATATTATAGAGTTATATAATAGTATAAGTTATTAATATATAAAAAATATAGCTTATAATTAATAAACCTTTATAGTTAAAGATTTATTAATAATTTTATTTATTTATTTTTATATAAGTTAAAGGCTTTTATTTTATTTTATTATTATAGAGATTTTATTTATATAGGTAAATTATATACATTTATAAACCTTATTTTATATACTATTATATAAGTATATTGCTTATGTAATATCTTATAAAAATATCCAATTGAGCTACCCGGGCTCATAACCTATAGGAAATAAAAGTCTTCGCTAGGTCTGGAGTGGAGAGACTTATAAGCTTATTCTTACAAATTTTTTAATTAAATAATTTATAAATATTAATTAAATTAAAAATTTATTTAATAAATATAATATTATATATTATATATTTAATTTATTTAATTTTAATAATAATATTATTAATAAAATTTTAATTATAAAAATATAATATTAAATAATTATAAAGTTGAATATATAATATTTTAATTTTTATTATATTTTTATATAATTAATTAATTATTAAATTAATAAATAATTTTATATTAAATTAATATTTATTTATTTAATTTTAATATTTATTTATTTTATAGTTTTTATAAATATATTTAATATTTATTTTTAATAAGTTTTTATTTATAAATATTTTTAAATTAATATAAAAGTTTTATAAAATAATTTTTTTAAGTTTTAATATTTTAAATATAAACCTTTTAATATATTTTTAATACTTTTTTAATATACTTTTAATATATCTTTTAATATATCTTTTAATATACTTTTAATATATTTTTAATATTTAAATATTAATTAAATATTTAAATATTAATTAAATATTAAAAGTTAAAAGTTTAAAATATTAAAGAGTTAAAAGTATTAAAAGGTTAAAAGTATAATATTTATTTTTATTTTTTAATTTTTAATTTTTAACTTTTAATTTTTAATATTTAATTAATATTTAAATATTTAATTAATATTTAAATATATATAATTTAAAAGTTTTAAAAGTATTAAAATAAATATTAAAAGGTATATTAAAAGTATATTAAAAAGTTTAAAAAATTTATATTTAAAATATTAAAAATTTAAAGAATTTTAATTAAATATTTAATTTTATATAAATTATATATATAAAAATTAATATTAAATAGATTTATAGAAATTATTAAATAAATAAATATTAAAATTAAATAAATAAATATTAATTTTTAAATTTTATAAAAATTAAAATTTATAAAATTAATTTATTTTATATATATTTATTAAATAATAAATAATTATTTTTAAAATTATAAATTTATTATAAATTTAATTAAAATATATTATATTATTATAATAATATTTATTAATATTAATTATTATATTTAATTTAAATAATTTATTAAAATATTTTATTAATAATAAAATATAATATATTATTAAATTTTATATTTTTAAAATATTTTAAAATAATTATTCTTAAAGAATTTAAAATTAAAATTAAAAATAATAAAAATAAAAATAAAGATTTATTAAATAAATCTTTTAAAACCTTTATTTTCTATTAAACTTATAATATAATTTATTTTATATTTATCTTTTCTTTTTTATTATTTTTTTTTATTCTTTTATATTTATTATTATTAAATTTTAAATTATTATTTAAGTTATTATTTTTATATTATAATAATTTCTTTTATATTTATTATATATTTTATTTTTATTTTTCTTACTTTTATTTTTATTTTTATTTTTATTTTTATTTTTATTTTTATTTTATTTTAAATTTTTAATAATAATAATTTTATTTTTAAATTTAAAATTATATTATTTTAAATTAAATTATAATAAAATATAATTTTTATTAATTTATAACCTTTTAAATTTATTATAAAACTATTTTAATATTTTTATTTTAAAATAAAATAATATAAATAAATTTTAATAAAATTTTAATTTAATTTATATATCTTTATTATAAAAGATTATTTTTAATTTTTAAAACTTTATTAATAATATTAAATATTTTATTATTTTATTTTAAAGTTTTTAAAATTCTTTATATATATTATTAATATTAAAATACTTATATATTTATAAATATTAAATAATATATATATTAAAATATATTATAATAATTTTATTATTTAATAAATTTAACTTTTAATATTTAAAATTAATAATATATATATAAATTATTTAAAAATATATATTATTATAAATTTTATTAAATAATAATATTAAATAAATTAAAATTTAATAACTTTAAAAAAGCTATATTAAATAATTATTAAAATAATAAAATAATAATTATAAAGAAATAAATATATTATTAAAATTATATTATTTGAAAAATGAAAATAATTAATTTTAAAATATAATAAATCTTATTAATAAAATATAAAAATTATTTATTATAATATTAATTTAAAATATATATAAATATATTAAAAATTTATTAATTAAAAATAAATAAAAGTTTAATATTTAATAAATTTCATTTATAAAGTTTAAAATATTATTAAAATATAAAAAACTTAATAATAAAATAAATAAAAGTTTAAAATTTTAATAAAGTTTTTATTTATATAAAATATAATAAATATTTATAAAAATAATTTTTAATAATAATATTAAATTAAATATTAAATATTTAAAAGTTATTTAAATATTATATTTAATAATTATTAAAATATTATATAAAAATTAATTTTTAAAAGAGTTACTTAACTTTAATTAATTAATTAATTAAAAATAATTATATTAAATAAATTATATAAATTAAATAAAATTTAATAACCTTAATATAATTATTTTTAAACTATTTAATTATAAAATAATAAACTATTTTATTAATTTAACTATTTATAATTATCTTTATACTTATTAATTAATATTAATTAAACTTATATATATAAAAATAAAAAAGTAATATTAAAAGTAGTTAATTATTAATAATTAACTATTAAAGGGTTACTTAAAGAATTTATATAAGTAAATACTTTTTTATTAATTAAACTTAATAAAGAATTATTATAACTATTATATTAATAATATATTAATTATATAATTATATATATATAAAATTTATTTTTAATAAATAATTAATTAATAAATTTAAAATAAAATAAATAAAGATTTTAAAATTTAAATAATATATTATAAATTAATAAATATATATAATTAATAATAATTTAAATTTAAATTTAAAATTAATATATTTAATATATATAAATATAAAATTTAATAATAATAATAATAATAATAATAATATATTATTAAATAATTAATTATATAAATTAATTATATAAATTAATTATATAAATTAATTATATAAATTAATTATATAAGTTAATTATATAAATTAATTATATATAATTAATTATATATAATTAATAATTATATTTTTATTTTAATAATTTATAAATAAATAAAAATAATTATTAATAATTAAATTTATATTTATTTAAAAAAGTTATTAATATTTAAAATAATTAATATTTTTTAAAAAAAATAAAAAATTATAAATTTAATTTAAAATAAATTATAACTTATTAAAGTTTTAAATTTAAATTTAAATTCTTTTTTAAAAATTTAATTTTTTTTAATAAAAAATATTAAATATTCTTTAAAATTATTTTTTAATAACTTTAAAGTTATAATAATATAAATTAATTAGTCGCCTCCGCCCCGGGTCTCCTAGAGGCCTTCCTCGACCGGTGGCTCTCGTCTCCTACTATAGATAAAAATTAATTTAAAATTATACTTATAAATCTTTTAATTTTATATTTTAAAAAATATAATAAATATTTAATTTATTATTTAATTAAATTAAATAATTTAAAAACTTTTTATAATTATTTTAATATTATTGTTAAAGATATATAAAAAGAATAAATTAAATTATAATTATTTAAATTCCCTTTATTTATATATAAGAAGTAGTTTAAAGGTAGGTAAGTTTAAAGGTGGGTGGGGTATAGTATCTTAGTCTAGCTGACCGGCTTAGTGTCCAACCCCTCTTAGCTCTCTCACCTGCTATTAGTACTGGAACAGCTTAATTCTAGGGAAAACTTGGCTATCTGTTTGGTATTACTCTTTAGTTGGTCGACACTCCATTTTACATCCACATACAATCACTAGTTCGGAGGCCCCTCGATTCCCAGGCCTTCACCATGGGACAGGCCATATCCGGCCACAATGACAGGAGCTGTGCACCCAAGACACGTGATGACTTGAGGAGAGAGCTTGTACGGTCTCGCACCAGCCCCGCCCCCTCATCTCATTCCACTGTCGGTCAGAGAGCTAATCCACAACCATTCCTCACAAACAGGCCAGCAAGTTCCGTTCAAAATGCCTCTCGTCCATCGAGCTCTACTCACTAAAGGACAACTTCGAGAGCCTTGCCGATGTGCAGCAAGAGCCGGGAGGGACTCCCAATCTGTATATTTCCGAGTCAACAATTGTGAGGTTCCTGGAAATCCCAGATGTACTCGATGTGTCAGCCGTGATAGGGAAGATGGTGACCTTTATCGGCGCATTTCCGTTCCTCCAGGACTCGCCGGCAATCATGGGGCTTGACGCTTTGGTGATCACTGTCATTATACTCACCGAAAGATATCAGAAGATCCTATCAAAAGGCTCTGCGGACAGGCGAAAACTGCTTTTTAACAGCTTGGCTGTGCATGATCGGAAATTGCTGCAGACAGATGACGGACTGGATTTAATCCACGCGCCGAATTCAGCTCAGTCGAGCGTTGGTACGGCCGGCGAGAATGAGCATAACGAGGAAGACGGCTTGGTAATATCCACACTTGAACTACTGGACTGTGTCGAGGCTTTCGAGGACGCAAATCCACAGCCGATCAACGAGGCTATAATCCCGGCTGACAATTTCCGGAAGCTAATCATGCTGCTCTTGCTTGTGGCACCCATGGAACCCCAGGAGAAGCTCTCGAGGTATGCAGAACGAACAACGGGAGGAGAGCTCGTGAGCCTGCGTTCTGCAGCTGATAGCATCCTTGCCGCGTTTCTGAACGTTGAAAGTTGCCCGGGTATCAAGTCCAGGGCATTCGAGACCGTGGTACCGGTTGCGCTCCCATTCTTATTCCAAGGCTTCAACGCGCTTTTTGGGCGTTTTGTATTCTCCAGCAACCTCGATTTCGGGAAGCAGAGGGGCCTTGGTGACCAAGCAGGGGAGCCTTGCCCAAATGTCACAGCTCCATTGCTACCGGACACGGCGTCCATCATGAACTCGACCACCCTCTCACAACTGTCCTTCTTCATCCCGGGATCTTCTTTGTTTCGGCGGCTCAGGCTCCTGTACTCAGGCGAGAATGATGGATTCTCGATGGGCTCCTTCGAATCCAAGGTATTCAACTGGCGAGCGCCTACGATCTTACTGGTGCGAGGTGTGAGACTTGAAGACTCGTCCGGTGGTAGTGAAGAACGCTTTACTTCCTCACTTCCTCCTAAGCGTTTCCCGGACGGCTCCCAGTCAAGCCGACTAACCTACGGTCTGTACATATCCCAGCCGTGGCGTCACTCCTTCAAGGAGTGCTTCGGTGACTCGGACACACTGTTGTTTCAGCTTGAGCCCATCCACGACGTTTTCCCAGCCAGCACTTCCAACAAGGACTACGTCTCGTTCTCAAAACCGGGTGCAACTCCAACCAATACGGGTATTGCAGCTGGAAACCCACTGTCCAAGTCCTCGTCCACGTACCGACAGAGCATTACCCACCTTGGCCCAGTAGCTCTGCTACTGGATTCGAGCTTTGAGTTTGGCGTGTTCACACACGACAATTCCTCGCGGGGCGGTGCATTCCAAGGGAGCGTTTCTCGAAAATTCGACTTCCAGGATCGGTTTGGGATCGAAAGTCTTGAGGTTTGGGGCTGTGGAGGGGACGAGGAGGCCAAAGTGCAGGCTGAACGATGGGCCTTCGACGCCCGAGAGGCTGAGGCCAGGAGGCGAATAAATCTTGGTACAGGTGACATCGAAGCAGACAGAGCCCTACTTGAGATGGCGGGTCTGGTTGGGGGGAATAGGAACGGTGGGTCTATAGTATAAGTGTAATAAATAAAACACTTAATTTATAATAAGTTATATAAAGTCTTCTTATATAATATTCTATGTTAAAACTTTATATATAATAATAAAGTAAAATATTAAGTTTAATAAATTAAATTTAATATATATTTTTATAAACCTAATTAATATTCTAAGTTTCTTTAAATTTTTTTATTTTTTTTTTAAAAAAGACGTATCAGCCCCGTGCCCGTTGCGGATTTAAGCCTCCTTCATCGGCCGGTCCTGACCTTGACCCACCTGGGCCAGCGGCCATACCATGGAATGCTGCCAATCAGGGCCGAGATACAGCGCAATGGTTCGCACGAGTGTCTGACCGACATTCGCAAAAGTCCAAAAATGGCTGTGCTGATGCATCAGAACGCCGTAGTATGCCAGCATCAGCAGGGCCTCGGGGGTTTTGTTACACCACAGGTCCAGAACCGCCTCATGAGCCAGACAAGGCCAAGCGTGGACCAGTCCCAAGCTGTGCATCTCGCCAGCCTCCCCCCCCCAGGGGCTATGGCTCTTGCGAGAGTCCGAGGGACTGAAAACCCACTGCAGCCTGTCGACGGCCTCAAGGCAGAGTTGTTTCTGCTCCGTGTCCAAGACCCGACTGACGGAAATGATAGATCGCAACTCTGAAGTCTGCGAGCCCGCGCTCGACCTGTATTCGGCAATGCCGGCGCTGGCCGCGAAGATGCTTCTTAACTTGGACTGAAGGAGGGCCTGCCACGCCTCCTTGGCAATCAACACAACGCCCCGGTAGACTTTGAGGTACTCCAGAAAGCGGTTGAGCGGCTTAACCTCGGACTTGTCCTCGTCGCAATCCAGGGTGGTCTCGTAAAGCACGTGGAGACTTATGAGCTGGCCAAAGACGATCAGGCTCACGCAGTTCTCCGGAGTGACCCGGGGCCGCTGTTGGTTGAATATGCTCAGGGCGTGCGTGTGGAGGTGCACTGCCCGGTGATGGTAGTAGGCACGCTGCGCGGGTCTGACGTGTGACAGGTGCAGGGCTGACACAGCCAGGAGTGCGTTCATGAGGCAGGGCGAGGAGAAGGCAGCTTCCAGCACAGCCGAGAGAATCCCCTCGTCGCTGCTGGGCAAGGGCAGCGGGAGCTGCCGACTGCACATGTGGTGGAAGAGCTCCAGCTGCGCCATGTCCGCCGGCGGCACGCTGAGCATCGAGGATGATGGCGGGGGCGGGGACGGGGAGCGCCGCCACAGGTGTGGCGAGGGGGCAACAGACGCCGAGCCCAGGGGCAAGGGCGAGCGTGGTGGAGAGGCATTGTCACGCCCGGATTGGACTGGCTGACCAGGCAACGAGGCCGGGCCCAGGGCGTAAACACAAGAGAGCCTCTTCACAGAACATGCCGCGCACACCGGCCTCGCCTCGTCACACTGAGGGGTCGGGTCAGCCCCGGCACGGCATCCCCGGCACGGCCAGCCCGGCCCATAGGGCACGGGGATGGGTGGACATACCTTGATATGCCGACGCTTGCATTCCCGACAGCCAGCGCGGGATTTCCTGTGAGTCCTTCGTGACGCCATCAAATGAGGGTTGGTTGGTGGAAGGAGAGGGAGGTGTGGGTGTGGGGGCGGGCAGGGCCCAGCACGAGAACCATCGACACTAACGCAGGCTTGACGGGGGTTACTGAAGAGTCGAACAGCCACAAGCCACTTTTCTAGCAGGTTGCAAACACAAGTGTAATTATGGATTGATCCCTGGTGCGGAACGCGGACTAATTCCCGAAGATGAACAAATGAGCAGAGCAAACCAGACGCTCAACACCCAGGCCAAGGCCTTGAATCTCCCGGTTGCAATGTACGGGGCAGCTATTTATATGTGCAAGGGCTATTCTTTACGTATTAATGAGTCAGATGCGCGGACTCGTTGAGCCCATTCCCTGGTGGTGTTGTTAGCACGGCTTGATCAAGGTACTGCAGCAGGATCCTACTCACGTCCAGCTGCCGTCGTAGACCTTGCGGGTTTTGGGGCTCCCGAAGCCGGCCTGCTCCAGGGCCGTCTCGATGATGACGGCGGTGACACCGGTGCCGCAACTGGAGATGATGGGCTTGGCCGGGTCGACCCCCTTGGCCCTGAACAGGCGCCGTAGCTCTTCCCTGGGCAGGAAGGCCTTGGTGTTTGGGTCGAGGACCTCGTTGAAGGGGATGTTGACCGAGCCGGGTATGTGCCCGGACGAGAGGCCAGGTCTCGGCTCGGGGTCCTTGCCGGTCCACCGGCCGCTGCTCCTGGCGTCAAGGATCTGTACGCCCTCTGCGCCCTCCTTGTTGTAGTCCAGGGCCACCTCCCTGACATCCTCGTAGCTGGCAACCTTGTCCGAGTCGAGTTCGGGGATGGGGTACGGGTGACACTCGACGTTATAGAGCTCACCGCTCTCGGTGGGGAGGCCCTCGTCGACCCAGAGGCGGAAGTTGTCGAGGAGGTGTACCCTGGGATGTCCAAAGACCTTGAGGGTCCAGCCGACCCTCGGGGCGCTGAAGATGCCCAGCTCCTTGGTGTCGTAGACGACAACCGTGTCCTCGCGGCGGATGCCCAGCTCGCTCATCGCCGCGGCGAAGGTCTTGGGTGCGGGGAGCATGTGGGGGTACTCGGAGTGCTTGTCGATGACCTTGTCGAGGTCAAAGAAGCGCGCCTTTGGGATGCGCTGCTGGCGGAAGGCCTGAATGCCGGTGCGGCGGTCGGGGTCGTTTGGCATGAACCAGGCCGCGCAGAGGGGGATGATGCGCGGGTCGGTGCTGATTGGGGAGGGAGGGTTCCTCTTGAGGGCCTCGCTCAGCTCGGCGGGGGTCACGAGGTAGGAGGACAGGGAGCGGCGCGAGGCAAGGGCTGCGGCAATCCTGGCGGGCGCGGAGGGGCGAAAGGGCGGCCGGGCGGCAGCTCCGGAGAAGGGCCGCAGGACGGCGATGGCGGCCATCTCGGGTTCGCTAGGTGCAGGGGCCCGACGGGGAGGATGGAGCCGTTTCGTGGGACCAGTCGAGCCGAGGCAACACCTGTCGGGGTCGAGGCGGCGGTCAGGATGGAATCGGGGTTGGGGGTTGAGGTTTGAGGCTTGAGGCTTGAGGCTTGAGGTTTGAGGTTTGAGTTTTGAGGTAGGGGGGGGGGCGGCTGAGGATGACGACGAGTACGGAGCAAGCAGCCGGGTTGATGTCGTGATTTGACACGCCGTGGCCAGGTGCCGGCCGTACCAGAGCTCGGGGAGTCGGGGGTAGGGGTTGATTGGGTGGCTGGCAAGCTTCAGAGGAGAGGACGCAGAGGGAAGCTTGCTGTTGCTGTCTCCACCGGCGGCCAGCTCCCGGTTCAAGATGGGCCGGTGCCTGGCTTTTGGGTCTGGGGTTGGGTCTGGGGTTGGGTCTGATCTTGCCCAAGACCTAGGGTGATGGGAGGTGCCTGTGGGCTGAGGAATTGTTTACAAGTGAGTAGAGCAGGTGAGGAGCGGGGAAGAGGTTCTACCCACCTACCTGGGTAAGCTGAAGCTTGATCTTGATTGCCTTCAATTCACACCATGGGAAGGGGAGCTTGGGCCACCTCGCAAGCGTGGGCCAGCCGCGTTGTACGTACATACCTACCTAGGTAGGTACCTACTTAAGTACCTAGGGAGCATACTGCCGAGTGCCGCGTCAACAGTCAAGAGCATACATCCCCAGTCCATCCAACTCAACTACCAACACCAACACCAACCAGCCAGTGCTCCGCTACCAACATCGCCGACAGCACGTGTGGCCCTGCTCAGAAACATGAAGGTCAAGATCAAGAAGTGGTCAGCGGTCGCGACTTGGCGCTGGGACATCCCAGAAGACGATGTCTGTGGAATCTGCCAGATCCATTTTGATGGTTCCTGTCCATCGTGCAGGTTTCCCGGGGATGACTGTGAACTCTGTCAGCCTGCCAGCCCCTCCCCCCATCTGCCCCCCGGCCAAGCCTGCTAAGACCCTCAGCAGTGTCTGGCAAGTGTGGCCACAACTTCCACAAACACTGCATCACACAGTGGATCAGGCAAGAATCAGCCCGCGGACAGTGCCCCATGTGCCGCCAGAGTATGTCCCCACCCGCCCTCGCCGTACAGATGCCCCTCCCTCCCTGGCCACGCTGACCCATGGCCCCAGGATTCGAGATGAAAGAACCCGTGCCGAGTCGCGCAGCAACGGGCCTGGCGCTACAAGGAACGGCGGGTGGGACTTTGATGTGAAGCCGAGGGGAGAGCTCCCAGAAGCCCCAGGAGCCCCATCAGCCCCAGGAACCCCAAATCTAGACCCCAGCCCTGACGTCGTTGCGCTCCAGTCGCGGAACAAGCAATGGTAGCTAGGTACCTTTGTGGCCGCTACATATGTGCTCCGTACGCCGTCGGGTGGTGCGCCCACAGGGCCCCACACTCGTTGTACAGTAGAACCGAGTGTCTTGTATTATCCAACGTTCCCGTGTGCTGGGATGAAGCCAGGCCGCCTGAAGCAAACACGCGTCCAACATGTAGCAAGCACACGCTGCTTCAGCCTGACCAACCCCATCGCCATTGTCCATTGTCGTCGTGCTGCATCAAGTCGACCGCGACCTCCCTCTTGGCCCATCATGGCCGGCCCTGTTCCATTTCTCCAACAACATCATGCTCCCCAGGGCTCTGTGACCGATAGCCATGGTCCTGTCGGGGCACAAGCAGCCCGCCAGTCCCCCCCCCTCGGCGAGGAAACTCTGCAGCCTCAACCCCCGTTCCAACCACTCTTCACCCTCGTCACCGACAGCACCACCCACGCGACACACCACCCCCAGGTGCACTATGTCTTCTCCGACGATGACCCCGAAATCCTCACAGAGGCCCTCGCTCGATACAGCCACCACGACCCCCCCGGCGAATCTGCCCCTACGGCCTCACCGCCAGCAGCGCATCCAAACGAGCGTGCCATAGTACTCGACCTCGTGCCAAAACCCGCCCACGGCCCCCACGGCCCCCACGGCCCTCACAACGCTCTGTCGAGTCTGGGCTACGATGTGGCCTGGGTGTCGTCCCTGTCCCCCGACTGGGCCGTCGTAACCGCAAGAACCAGCGCCATGACGGAAGAGAGCAGCAACAACGTCATCACCCTGGACGACGAGGCCGGCGCAGGCCAGCGGCTGGTTCTCCGCATCCAAGGTGTCAGCGACAGTGCTGTTTCGTCCGTCTCCACGGCATCGCAGGGACCCAGCGCACGTCCAAGGAGGCCTTCTCTTGAGGACCGAGACCTCCGCATGTCGGCCTCCTCGCCTTCAGTGGCCGCCCCGGATAGGACTCGAGAGGACTACGGAGCCATCGTTGACGAGTTTGACAAGAGGATGAACATACTGCGCAAGGTGGTGGAAGCCGGGCTCGACAGACAGCGGAATTCCCCTGTGGCTCACTTTGCCGACGGCGGCGAGTTCCCTGCTGGCGCAGCCGCACAGTGACCGAACCTGCTGGCGGCCCCCGCGTTTCCCACAGGGCTGTCGGGTCGACGGCCGCCACGCCCTTGCAGAACTGCTCTCACCCCTGTATGCCATCTCGTATTGCTCACGTTATGCCTCATATCATGGGAGCGCTTTTGGCATTCTCCGCGGTTTACACCATCGCTGCTTTGCATACAAAGCAGCGATGGAAACACACCGCTGCCATCGCTGGTGTGTGTGGGCGGGCCTCAGTCATTCAAGGGCCCATGTCGGGACGATCGCCTCAGCGGCTGGGGGCTGGTGCGTCATCGGCATTTGACCAAGGGGAGAAAGCACAATCGCCAAACCAGTTCCGAGATCTTACGACGCGTGCCACAATTGTTGGTGCCACTCGATATCGCCCGGTAGAGGCAGTTATCAATGAGAATAGTCAATTAAACGCCAGTAATGTAATGCGAAAAGGTAAAGTCCAGGCTCCAGAGCATACCCTTCGCCACCCTTAAGGTGTGTCATCTAATAAGTGCTGCTTGTTCCAGTAGTAAGTAATTCAAGCGACCGAATTTGGTATATAACAACTCTTTTTCGAGTTCCAGCGAGAATGCGATTCCCAGTTTCTTCGGCCAGTCCCAGGCCACATAACGTCGAGCCCGCGTCCAGTGTTGTGACGAAATGGACCTTGCGCATACCTTGCGGCCGCACTTTCACATGCAATTTGATCCTCGCAGTAATAGTCCGATTCTGTCCCCGCGACCGCTGCCAGTCCCTCCCATGCGTAGCCCCCGGAGGCCTACGTGCTCGCCTCTCCTTTGCAAATAACCGCGCGGACGAAAAGCGCGGGCCCGTGTTTGTATCTTGTTTTGGCGACAAGTCCCCATCCGGCATCACTCGTGCGGCTTAGTCGACCTCGTTATAAATGTTTTCCTTCGTTTGTACCGGGAGCGTCATGACTGACCGGCGATTGGCACGGCTGATACTCCGGTCATCTGGCAACGCTACCCGGCCAGCGATGCTCTTGGCACTTGTCACACCAGAGAATTTCTCCATGGGGGCCACGGCCGAATCGTAGTCTTGCCCGACATTGACAATCTTTGACTGTGCATAGATGGTAGTGACCGGCCTCTCGCCATCGAACTCAACTGCGCTGCGCTTGGCGTTGGTGTTGCCGTTGTTATTGCCATTGTTGTTGTTGTTGTTGAACTTGCCCGTGACGGCCATGTATACCACCACAATGATCACGATCACAACAACAATTAGGACTTGAAAGCCGTCAGAACCGGGTTTCTTGAGAGCACAAGGGTTGAAGGAATATGGAGAGCCGGGGAGGCGTGCTTACCGCTGATGCCGACACAGTACCACTTCTTCCTGCGTGTCTTCCTTGCCGTGTCGACGGCGACTTCAATCTCCTGGTTACCCTTGTCGAGGTTCTCGACAACCTCTTCACCCTTCTGTTCGATCTGCACAACGGCCGCTTCTTGTTGGACGATCAAGGTGTCCATGTCCTGGAAGAGCTGGGCCAGCTCGATCATATCCTGCTCAATCTTCTGTAGTGCCCTGTGGCGATCCTGCACCGCGTTCAGGACGGCCCTGGCCTGACCCTGTCGGTTGCTCTGCATCATGGCCTGCTGGAACACCTGCTGGCCGCCGGCAGACATATCCTCCACGGCGGCTCGGACCTCACTGTCGTCGGCTTCTGGCCGGACGATGCGGTACTGCCGCTCCATCTGGGACTGCATCTTCTTCCGGAAGGCGGCCTCGACCTCCTGGTACTGCTGGATGGCGTTCTTGAGGCGACGATCGATACGGCCGACCTGGGGAGCGTTCTTGGGGGTCTTGGCGTCCGGCATAGACTTCATCTTGCGCACGCGATCGGTGAGCTCCCGGTACATGGACATGGTGTCGGCAGAAAGGTTGTCAAGCTCGCGAGTGGTCCCTGAGCTGCTCGAGTCGGTCTCGTTGAGCGACCGATCTTGAAGCATTCGTAACTGGTTGAGGTTGGCGTCGATGCCGTCGATGCCCTGCCCGATGTCACGACACTCGTTCAGGATGGCGTTGGGGTCACTAGCGGCAAAACTCGCCCCGTTTTGCGAGAGGGGGGCCATTTCAACGTTGTTCCCTGGTGGCTGTCAGACGATCGTGCACGAAGCCATCACCTCTTCGCACCAGACCAAGCAGCACTTACCATATCCCCCATCATAAGCACCATTGTCGTACTGATTGTAGCCTCCACCACCAGGGCGTGGCGACTGACCAAAGCCAGCCTGAGGTGCCGAATTGTACTGGCCGGCGGGAGAGTCTTGCTGGGCGTACGGGTTCGCCCTACCGCCGTATCTGAACCGCAGTCAGCATTTCATCTTGGTGGAATTTAGTCGTGGCACGCAGTCGCGTGGCCGGTAGTTCAGGGCCCTCGACCGGGGACTCGGGCTCCGGGCTCCGGGCTCCGGGTGGGGGTTTGGGGGTTTGGATGGCTCACCCGTACTGTGAGACACCAAATTAGCAAGCCGGGCCTGTGACAGGGACTTTGGGCAGCGGTGCAGGACGTCGAGGAGGATGAACGTGAGGGTGGGAGAGAAGGGCAGTTGAGCAAGTTGGGTGGGAGAGCGAGGACGAGAGATGAGTCTGCACATACACTCATGTTGGATGGATCGAGTTGAACTGGTTAGAGAGGCCGGAGCCGGAGTGAGCGCTCGACGAGTAGAGAGAGCTGACAATCGGCGACAAGCGGAGGCAAGGTCGTCGGCGCCCCGGGACGAGAGGACGGAGAGGCGGATGCAGTCTGGAGGGTGTGATGCGCGGGAGGGTCGAGGGTTGGTTGTCTTGTGCCGTGCCTTGATGCGTCGTGTGTAAGTAAGGTGAAGCAGGGCAATGCGAAGTTTAAGGTAGTGTAAGTGTTGATGGATAGGAAACGGAGGGCAAAACGACGGGGCTGAAAGGGAAAAAGGGGAGCGCGCAGGGAAAAAGGAAAGCCGGCCGGTGGTTTGCTGGGTCGAAATGCAGGTGGGTCGGGGGCGAGCTGGGGCAACGGCAGAGCCACCCACAGCTGGAGAGCAGGAGAGCCGCAGGGGTCTGGGGCCTGGGAGCGGGCCTAGGTCGGTCTCGCAGTCTGCTGGGCAAGCCTGGCCTGCCTGGGACTGGCTGCCAGGGTCTGGGGCCTGCGAGATTGGCTGCGACAGGCTTGGAACAGACACAGACTCGACCCTGACAGCCCCAAAGTACCGTACCTACCTAGGTACCCAAGTACCGTGCCTAGGTAGGCAGGTGATGAAATACCAATCCATCCATCTAGCCCTATGCAGGTAGTGCTCGGCCCCCTGACGCAAGCGTTTTGTGCCCCGTTGCCCGTCGGCCAGTCCAACAGGTCAATAACAATTCATTTACTGTGTAATCTAGGGCACAGGCACACAGGCACAAACCCCAAATCCCGAGTCCCATTGCAATCTCCATGGATTTGTTATTACTACACGGCAACCCACCAACCAATACGAGCTGAGGCGCCGCTTCCCTCGCACCGCTGGCCGCCTGACATGGTGCAATCTGGGCGTGGTCTCGACAGCGACTGAGCGGGCGGGTATTGGATTGCCCAAGTGCCTCATTGCTAGTGGCGTTGCAGCGGCACAGCAATCAATCAATCATGCGGTCCTGGCGGTCCAAAAAGCAGCGAAGAGTTGCGAGGACGAGCTGAGACCAGAGACCATGGGGCAGGTGGGCAGGTGGCAGGTAGCAGGGACCAGGGCCGTTCACGGCGCCAGTTTCATCATGTCGATCGGCGCCAGGCTTGTTTGGCCAAAAGATGAACCGCACAGCCCACACAGCTGCCACACCAGGCCACACCCACTCCCGCTGCAACCAGACGCTGACTGCTGCGTGCTGACTGCTGCGTGCTCACTGCTGGCAGTCTCGAAACAACCCACTCCGCCCAGCCAGCGCCAGGACAGGACCACCACCCCCCCCCCGCCCCGGGCGCCTTGGTCGCCACTGGCCGCGTTGAGGCATCACCAAGCGAGCCCACGTTACCCTGGCGGTTTTCGACTTGGGATGAAGCAGCCACCCATAATTATGATAATAATAAGTGCCGGCTGGCTGCACACGGCATAGCTGCATATAGGCGTGTGTCTCCGTCCCTGTGTCAAGGCAGACGGCCCAATGCCGCGCCGCACCGCGTCCCGGTCCCCGGGTTCGCCCTGGCCTCAGCCTGTTCCCCTGGCCTCGGTCCCGGTCCCCGTCATTGTTGCAAGTCGCCCTGAGACATCGTCGAATCACTCCGTGCAGCACCATGACCCGTCTGCCCACCCAGCGACAGCATTCACGGCTTGCATTCAACATGTTGGCCCTCGCGGGTCCGCGTGGCCCAACCTCCTATCCTCCTACGGGACAAATTCTTATACGATGGAAGACTAAGGCGCAGGCCTCTAACCCCTGGGAACCTCGTGGAACAGCCCTTTGGGCCTTTGGGCGGACAGTCATCTCCAAGCTGACAACCTCTGGGATGGTCTGTCCTGGGATAAAATATTATAGATCTATGGCAGAGACGGCGGCAGGCCCCACAATTAATATTGCAAGCAGAGGCAATGGATGGTAAATTGTTACACGCTACATCGACCAAGCCGTTAAGAACAAGCACCCCGTACTTTTGCTGACAGGACATTGAACTGGTCACTTGGCTACAAGGCGTCAAGAAAAGAGGGCCTGTAAATCATCCCTTACTCCCACATTGTGTCAAGGACAGCTAATAGAGGAGATTCAAATGGGCGCCCCACCCGACAGCGGTTGATTGATCGATTGCCCCTGAGAATGCATACTAGTAATTCCGTGGACATGCCTCTCCCAGCGCGCCAGTCTGGTCTATGTGAAAACACCAGGAAGACCACCAAGGATACCTACTTCTCAAGCGGTGGCGTAGAATGACGCATAGCTGACACTCGAATCGTCAAGCCTCTCAACCAGGCTGCTCCTCTCATATCGCAGGAACTGGAAGGGCCCCGCCCCAACAGCTTCCATGGCTGCCATCGTCACCCCGATAGGATGACGCCCGCAAACCGTATTCTTGGTAATCTTTAAGCTTTCGACAAACCTGTCATGCTCCCCCGAAGCGACCGCTTCCATGGCCAGCTCGTCCAACACCTTGATTCCTTCGTGGATGGGCGTCTCGGTCTCCGCCGATCTCCTCGAAAGCACCCTCAGTTGATCTAGCTTGTCGGCGGACGGGACATAGGCCGTGTACGAGAAGCGCGACCCCCAGTGGCAGAAATCCGAGGACACCACAAAGGCATTGCACGGTTCCTCGAGGTACTTGGCCAGCAAGTGGCCGAATTCCTTCTCCTTGGCACCGCTGTTGTCGCCGACTAGGATTGGCACGATGGGTGGGTACCTCTCCGGACCGCAATCGCCATGTGTCTGCTCTAGCCTCTTCCATATGTACGGCAAGTGCATCTCCAGGCTGTGCTCATCCTCGTCGCTCGACGCAGGTATGTCGCTAAATTTTCCCGTCTCGCGCAACGCCTCGACGGTCTGGTCGTCCACCTCCAGCTTGCCAAAGGGCGTGTCGTAGCTTGCAAACGTGCTCAGTGCACACCCTTTCAGGTAATAGGTGTGGGAAGGCCCCAGGACGAAGATACGCTTGGCAGCGGATAGGTCGAGTGACTTGTACGCCCAGGCAGCACAAGGGCCAGAGTAAGAGTAGCCCGCGTGTCTAGACAGATATCACGGTCAGCTTGGAGCGGGGTGGGAGGGAATCGCCGTGGGATGGCGAGGCTGGGAAGGTCACGGAGGCAGTGGCGCAAGGGGTGGGGGACCTTACGGAGCTATGATGATTCTGGACTTGGGGATGGGCAGCTGCTTGCCATGTATCGCCGCGGGCACCTGTTCGAGGTAACCGTCGAGCTGGCGCGACAATACATCTGGCCGGCGCTCGTACCAGCTGCCGGCATGGGTAGCCTCACGGGTTCCACGTTGCGGCATGATGAAGGTGTGTGCTGAAAGACAAACTTCTTGGTCTCTCGTAGTCCCTGTGAGTATGGGAACCTAGATGTGCTGGTGTCTGCCTGCCAGCCTGCCTGCCTGCCAGCGGAGTGACAGGCGGTAGTGCTGTGGGAGCCTTCTGTTGGTAGTTAAGAAAGCCTTGTAGTGCAAGAAGCAAGATGAGATTTCAGTACCTGGATAAGTTAATCAAGAGGGGACTGAGAATTGAAGGCGCTGGTTTGAGTTGCTTGGTACCCCGCTGCACCTCTTCAGCCCGGGCAACGAGGGGTCGCGTGGGGTACGTACCTAGGTAGGCAGCATGGGCAAACATGACATCAAGCTGCCTAGGAACTTAAATACCTAGGCAGGCACTTACCCAGGCAAGGTGCAGGCGGGCATGGCGGAGCAGTCTCACGGATACGTGCCAAATGGATGCGACAGAGAGCAGGCTATAATTACGACGCCGGAGCAGGCGCATCGCGCACACTGGGCATCTTAAAGCACAGCAATAAAAACAGCAAGACACAACCTCGCAATATGGAGGCACAGATAGTGTCGAGCAATACGCCTGATTGATTTTGAAACCTCTCCCCCAATTGAACGCCGGGCTCCTCTAACACGTTCACCTCTCCAGGCTATCGCGCCTGCCGCCTAGTAAACCGACATGGGCTCCGAGGCCCAGTTATTGGTACCAACCCACCTCTTTTGTCTGTCCTCCTTGCCAGCGCAGACGAGACACCGGCGCTGCTCGCCTAGGTTACTCACTGAGCACGAGAAGCACACAGCCCTACAGCAGAGGCTGCAGGAGCTGATGTATGTCTCGAAACCATAGCCATCATCAACTGCTGCATCTTCACCGCCCAGCTCAACGCCGCAGTCGCCACAGGTGGTAGGTCGATCGACCATGTCCTCGACAGAAGGTCCTCGTAGGGAAGCGGAGAGGGCCGGTTCCGGTGGCGGCTGACGGCTGGAAGGGATGTCCCAGAAGCTGTGCAGTGAACGCTGGCTCTGCGCGGCAGCCACAGGAGAGGGCGGGATCGAGGGGCTGGCGGAGGGCTGCGGGGAGGGTCCATGCCGGGGCTCCTGGGGCCGTTGCTGAGCGCGGTACAGTATCTGCAGGGTGTTCTCTGTAGACGCCCGAACGTGACGCAAGAGTGAGTCTGGGAACATACCCCACGACAGGAATGGGCCCTTTGGGGGGGAGGCGGCGGCGCCGTCGCCTGACTTACGGTGAACCTCGCGGTCCGAGGGACGTCCGTTGCGCAGGCGCTTGAAGGTTCGGCTGGGCAGATGAGAGGGCGTGCATGAGCGGGTCGGGGAGCGGATGGTCAAGGCTGAGAGGGGTTTGTCGATACACGGGTCCATGTCCATGTCGACGTCCATGTCCAGCGTGGTGCCGTCGCCGGAGGACGCGGTTTTGAGCGGGGAGGGGCCGCTGAAGGATGAAAGCTCGTCATCCGACCGCTTGCGTTTGAGCAGCATCGTATCAGGCTTGACTGTGACTGTGCTTGGCGGTAGTGGACGTGGTGTGGTTGCTCGGTGCCTCGCCAACAAGGAAGGGCCTGCGGCGAATACAAGCCAACCGATTGTTCGCAGCAGGCGGTCTTTTAATTTATTGCGGGAGCATCACCTGCCTTGCGCATGTATATTGCGTGGAAATAGCGGTTACGTGAGAGACGTTTGATGACTCCCACTTCGAAGCATTGGTGGTGATGTGGTGGTGATGGTGACTGGGCAACGCGACCGTGCGGAGGCAGGTAATCAATTGGGAGGGAACCTTGGGGAAGGACAGGCGTGATTTCAATTTAGATGGCCTAGAGCGCGACAGAAAAGGTCCCGGCGCGTCAGCAGGGTTTATGCGGGCGGGACGGGAGCTACCTCTACTGCGTGTGTGGGGGGGGGGGGGCGCCTGGAGCGCGGGCATCGTGTATTTACGTACCTCGGTATCTAGGTACCTGGGCACCTGGGCAGGTGGTTGGTTGGTTTCCCCAACACAGGCAGGACTACTTCTTCTCCTCTACAAACATACCAAGTGGAAGGCACCGTGGAAGGCTCGTAGACAAAGGTGAAAAGTGTCTGGAAGTCTTTTATAAGCACCCCTCCCCCCCCCCAAAAAATGGCGTCACTACTACCTCTTCTTTACGACCTGTTTCCTATAATCATGCCGTCCGAAGTCCGAATTTCCCGTGACAAGGACCTGCTACCCATTGCTGAGCGTGCTGGTGCGCCTCCATATCACCAGACGACGTGGCACAACAAGGCTCAGGGAGACATGGGGAAAGAGGACGACCAGCACGAGCCCGACCAGGGGAGGTCCCGTGAGCCCATTCGACTGCTTGACCGCGAAGAGATGCCGGCTGTCCAGCCCAAACCACCAACGGTCTACCGCAGAGACGCAATGGTGGGCGTCACTGACAAGATGTGCGCAACAGGTCAGCCCAGCCCGCGCCCCTCCTCCACGCCCCCCTTGCCCTTTCTCCTCCTCCTTCTCCCGGCGTGTGCTTCGCCTCCACACTCGTAGCCGGTAAAACCTATAACCAGGAACTCTTGCAATAGTCCTGACAGTCCAGCCGAGATCTGCTTCGGCGGTGCACCATCATGGCGAGCAAGGTGAGCATGACCATGGCCCCAACAGCTGACCGGCCCGCAACCTAATGAGCCTCTCTCGCAGACACCATAGTCTACGCCACCAAAGGTGACGGGGTACTTCTCACCAGTCCGGCTGTGGATCCTGTCCGGGCCATTAGAGCCGATATCAAGGGCGAGGCACCCACTCGTGACGAGGAGCAGCCCCGGCGTCACCACCTTTGCCCCGGAGATTTTGCATTTATACCTGCGTGGACAGAGCACCAAGTTGTCAATGAGGCTGATGAGGGCGATGCTGTCTGGGTGTTAATCCACAGTGGGGGTGAACGAGTGCAGGTCGACCTGGCCGGCTGGGGTGGTGGCATCTGTCATGGTTCTGGTCCGGGGTGATCGCATCCACCTCCTCTCCCCAAGTACCTAAACCTATGAGAGCAACATCAAGACCTTGAATGTTTATTCGTCCAGCCTGCTCCTTGTCGTGCCCTCGGGCTGCTCCTGCATTCTAGGCTGTTTTGGTGTCTTTCCGCACCAGTCAGTGCCAACTGTTATCCAAACTCTAAGAGCGATACAGCTAAGTGGCTGGGCTGAAGCGGTCGCAGGGTTGGTTTGGTGACGAATTCAGAGGCTCAGGACGCTTGCTCGCTCGCCACAAAAAGAAGAAGAGGGAAGAGAAAGAAGAAAGCCAGAGTTGATATCATGGACGTGGTCTTGGCAGGTCTGTGCAGCCTCTCGGCAGCTGCCCCTGGGGAGGCTGCAAGTCGGCATGTGGGAGGATCCTGAATAAGGGTATACCTTGTATGATGTGCTATGGCATGAGGCTGTCTCACGGGACGTTAATCCATACTGTAAAGGCCTGTCCAATAGCAAAGGATATTCCAAGTCGCCTCCATCCTGGCATCTGTCTGCGTAGAATCCCATGTAACTTCGAGTGCTCTCGCTTACAATCCGTGGGTCATCTTACTTTATTACTGGGTGTTACTACCTACCTTGGTACTTTGCCAGACACATACTCGTCCAGCCGTTAACACACAATTTGGACCGAGACCCTTCTCTTTATCAGTCGTTCAAATCGCCATTGCATAAGATATGATAAGCTTCGAACTGGAGATATTCAACGACAGAAAGCTTGTAACCACCGCCGCCCAAGCCACGTCAGCGGCCGGTACGGTTTTCAAAAGCAGCACAGGAACCCCACTGGGTGAATCACCTGGAACATCAACATTGCACGGTGATTACCACACCTTGAAAAGGCCGTGCCCTACTAAAGCCTCCATATCTCTTCTTTCCCTGGGTTGGTAGAAGATATGCTGTATACTGCCAACCTAAAGTTTCACTAAGAAGGCAGGAGACAAATACTCCAGGAGGCATTCTTCAATGAAGATGTCGAGTAAGAGGCTAGTAAACCTATGAGAGGTAATCTAAGAATTAGACCAGGGCCATCTCTTCGGAAGCTGTCCTGTGGCAGCCTATTCAAGATGGCTTCTTATGTAATGGGATCAGAAATGAACTATTTGTCCTAGAAGAGAATATCCCATAGCAGATTTTCCCTCTCTTTTTCGGGGGAGGGAGGGGGGGTTAGATACCGTTGCCGGGCACCTGGGCAGTTGATATACAACAAATAGACCTACATAGGTACCTCCGGTTGATGTTATCCGGTGCTCAGTCACGCATGGTGTTTGCCCCGAGTATTATTAAAGAAAAGACAGACGGGGGTATTCTTGCTTAGCTGCCGGCGCCAGGCCCCAGTATTGAAAGATGCATGTCCGCCTATACAAATGAGATGACTGTTTTGCTCAATATAGTAGCTCATGGTCTATTTTCGAGTGCTCTCGTCTACCATTGCTAATTCAATCTCCTGTGGGCGATCGCTAGTCCGGTACGAGAAACTGGTCAATGTCGACCTTCTCGAAGAAGCTAACATGACCGAATCCCACCCAGTACTGAGCCAGCCTTTTCTCAGATATCAGGAGCAACTGTGACTTAATGTAGTTGTCTGCCCGCACCGTCTCAGATTAGTACCCAGTTTCCACAACAACCATGTCGAGGACAGCGGACTTGCCATTCACGAATCCTGTCTGGGCAACATGGCCCTTGCTTTTGACCACCCTCGCGCCCCTGAACGGCTCATCGTCTATCGTAGTCACGAATCCGTCTTCGCCGAGGTCCTCTGCTACAAAAGTGCATTCACCACGAGGAACATTGGGCTAGCACGTGTTAATAATATGCGAGACGGGTCCCAAAATGACGTGGGGCGGGATTGCAGGACATGTCGGGCGAAAAGCCGTCAAAGGACAACAACATGGCTTACATCACCTGTAAGCTTGATGGCCTCGAGACGACCACGGTATCTCCGGGCATCCGTCTTGCGCCGTTGGAAGTCTGCGACGGATTCTTCCTCTGTTCTTGTCGCATCAAATGCGGCCTCGTCAAAAGGGGTTGTGTGACTCTGCGTGACGAGCAGAAATTCGCAGCCGTGCGCACTGTAATCGCCAACCCAAATTCCCTTCCAGGGCTGGCTTGTATTCGGGGTATATAATTCGGGATCTAGCGTTGAGTACGTGGTGATCTGATCGCCAACATGTGTGCTCATGGAGGGGCGGGTCCCGGGGTTATAATCAGACGGCCAGGCTCGAGATGCCTGTCCAAAGACTGCGTTGTTCGAGGGCCAGTCGTTATCCAGGGGTAAAGAGGGCCTGGACACCCCGCGCAGCCCCGCGGGTCGCATTTCTAGCCACGAGCGTATCCTGAAGACCTTGTCGTTGATCTCGCCCCTGGTGGTAGGACGATCCTCAGGGCCGATCAAATCGCCCGCGGAAACCCAGGTGGCCGCTGGTACGGCCGGAGGCGGCCATGTATTCCCGTAGGGGAAAGGAAGACGCTGGCGTTGTTTGGCCAGAGAGTCCGGAAGGGAGCGGGCTAGTATGAAGGTGTTGAACATGTTGTCGGTAAACCTATTGTCAAGGGGCATGGGTGTCTCGGCGGAGAACTTGTTCGGGTGGTCGGTTGCTGATGGGAGGGCGGAGGGGCCACTAGTGGAGGGCGGCGGCGACCTCGCGGTGGTCACGCGGATGGTGTTCTCCAGGCTGTTGGCCCTCAGCTGCAGGACAGGCTTGTCGAGGTGAAGCTTTAATTCTGGCTCGAAGTCGTGAATGACGAGCTCGCCGTGCTCGCTCAAGCTCTGGTGGTGGCTGGTGGTGGAGGACATGGGCCGGTTGGCCAACAGCTGGTAGCCCTCGATGACACCTCGGCGGTCATCGTAACGTACGATTACCAGTTTGCCCGTGAGGTCGCGGTCGCAGAACCAGATCTTGTACCTTGTCAGAAACCAGCGCGGGTCGTGTGCGATGTAGAGCTCCCGGAAAGACGCGCATGGGCTCGGGGTGGTGAGCTTCACGCCGTGCAACTGCGCCTGGACAATTCCCTGCCACAAGTGGTCTGCAAGAGAGTGGACCCTGAGTAGGTGGTTTGTCAGGGAGACGGAAACGAGATCGAGAGGCGACAGGTAGGATAGCACGTTGCTGATGAGCTCCGAGGGAAGGTCGGGCAGGGTGATCGAGCCCAGCCGTGCCATTGAGCCTGGATGGGTGGGCTGGTGCGCGTGGCGGCCGAGGGCGAGGACGAGGACGAGAACACAAACGCGTGCTGGTGCGGCATCGGCCGTCGATGATGCAACCAGTCTACTTATCACCTACCTACCTAGGTACTTACCTAGATAAGTAGGTACCTGGGTAGGTAGGTATTGAGTACCTAGGTACTTGAGCAGTGCCCAGGCGCTTGCTTGTACTCCGTACCGCAACATCCCTCGGCCTGCTATTGGACAAGCTCATATGTGACAAGCTCTCATAGGAGAACTTCTTGATAGGATAACGTTGCCTGCCAGACCCTCCAACAAAATACAACGATCTACTAGGGAACCTCTTACCGGAGGTCGGGACACGGATAGCACCGATGGTTCGTAAGGGACTCTGCTACAACATGTTGCTCTCTTTTAAGAGGTGTGGCGGTGGGACGGCAATAGTGCTTGTGTCACCGACCGGAGCCCTCGATGCTGAGGCAGAAAGGCCAGGACTTGGGCAGACAGCCCGCCGCGGTCAGCCTCCGACCACCAGTTCACAGGTCACAGGCCTGTGGTGGCACAATCCAGCCTCGCGATCTTGGCCTGCTTGCGAGGCCCCAATGCCGACTCCCCGGCCCTTTCCTTTCGCTTGCCCCCGCTGCGAGAGGCAGCTTCGTCCGGCACGCCGTCCGGTGGGGCCCCGCCTGTGGTCGTGGCCGGCCGGTTCTCAACACGCTTGCTCAGGATCTCGTACTCGGGCATCTTGACCTTGCCGCCCCTGAGGGTCCTGGGCTGGGGGCTGATGCCATCCCTCACGAAACCGCACCGCTGGTAGAACCCGACAGCCCTCTTGTTGCAGGTGAAGACGGTCAACATGACCTTGTGGACCACTTCCATGTTGTGCGCCACCGTCTCGAGCAAGCCCATCAACAGCCTCGCCAAGCCGGTGCCGCGGAGCGCGGGCTCGAGGTGGATCTCGTAGCAGTAGATTACGGGTTGGCCCTCCTCGATGGTGGGCATGAGGCTGGTGAAAGCGTGGACGACCGAGTCGGGGTCCTTGACCAGAATATAGCGTAGGTCCGGATGCGACATCTCGTCCCTCTTGGCCGAGGGGTCCCACCCGCTCGAAGAGGCCTCGTAGTCTGCCTGGCTTGTGGCTCGGACAAGGGCGAAGCAAGCATCGAGGTCAGGGCTGGCCATTGTCTTGCGGGGCTGGCAGAGGCGGAGGCTATAGGTGCTTCCTGTGCTTGGGTCGTCCCAGGTCGGGCTCCATGGCGCGTGAGGCGCATGGGGGCTGCTCCATGGACTCAACTCATCAGGCACTGCACTTCATAAACCGGGCGTTTTGGAGCTTGTCTAACATTTGGAGATAGTCCTGGACGAAGCGATGGTCCGTCTTGCGGTTGGCCGCCTGGAGGGCCTGTTCCACCTGCTCGAGGCGCCGACGCCGTTTCATCCTGAGCCAGGGCCGATGGGGGAAAGAGGAAGAGGAGAAGAGAACAGGGCGAAGAGAGCGGGCGACCTGGGTACTTGAATCGGAGCAAGGACAAGAGGACGCGCCGGGCTGACAAGGCGGGCGCGTGAAGGGCGGCTGACCCCTGTCCGAGTTCTGGGGTTGTCTGCTTGCCATGACGTTTGCGGGCCCGGAAATCGCTTGGGCACTTGAGCACTGAAGTACCTAGGTACCTAAGTACCTAGGTACTTGGGATATATCTACTCGGCAAATGGGACCCGTGGACATGTACGTACTTGGACCCGACTACCTACCTACCTGGTACTCCGGTACTACGACTTATCAACCCCCTCGCCCCCACCGTTCGGTCCCGGGTCAGATGAGGGCACTCAGGCTGTTCCCGCAGCGCCAGCTCCGTTGCTATGCTCACGGTCCTGGTAGAGCACGCCCCTCGAGGCTGGGCGAGACGGTCAGCCTGGATCACGTAGGTGCGGTTCCCAACCGTGCAGGCCGGGATCACGATGCTGATACTGCGCCTTGCGCCTGCAGTTCCTCCAACGCTCCCGCGTCCTGGCCCTCTACCGGACCGTGTTGCGTAGCATCCGCAGCATCACCGACCACGAGACCCGTGACGAGACGAGGCTCTTTGTGAGGCACGAGATCGAGAGACACCGCCACGTCCAGGACCTGGTCTGTCAGCCCCTTATCCGACCGCCCTCTTCTTTTTTCGGCGCGGGATCCTCACTGACAGGCCATGACTGCAGCAGCACATCAGGTACCTGCTGTCCACGGGCAAAACGCAGTGGGAGGGGTTCGAGCGCTTCATTGACGGCATGTGACCGTCCCCGCCAGGTATGGGGCCGGCACAGTCTTGTTGTTGTTGAACTACCGAACTATAGAGGCAACTGGGTGCTCCCACGCTCCTCTGCGGTATGCTTTGCCTCATACCGTGCCCTCATATAGTGGCTTCCCGGCCTCAACCCTTCTGTACATGCTATGTATCTCTCTCTCTGTGTGTGTGTGTTTGTATGGCTCTGCGTTTCTGTGTGGTTCGAATGGATGGCTGCTGCCAGTCCTCCCCTCCGCAACGGCCGAGCGCCATGATAAATCGAGCATGTTCTATGCCTATGCCTGTTGACTGCCTGCCCCGCTGCCCCTGACTGTACCTGTGACCGTAGTCGTGGCGCCCAACACAACTCTCGACCGTTCCTGGTCGTCTGCGCGTCTGTACGTCTACACCTCTCCCGGCCCTGGCCATTAATGTTACACGCCAGATCCAGCCCGCGTTCACCTATGAACCTTGGCGCTGTTTGTGCCTGGGGTTTGCGCTGCAGATGACATATCGGTAACCATTTCCTCTCTTGCCCTTTTTCCGCCGCACGATCTGTGGAGCGCCAGTCAGCCATCAATCCGGTTGCACACTGCCGCAAGACAGCGCCGAGACGCGTGGGCGTACCTTGCAATGCTCGCAGCGCTTCTTGATGGAGCTGTGCACTTTCATCCCACGGGTCTGCTGCTGGAGCGCGGCCGCAGCCACGGGTCTGGCAACGGGTCTTGTGATAACGGAGAGGGCGCCTGATGGCGCCATGCTCGATGAGAGCGAGCGGCCCTGGCCAACGTCTGGGTGTGGTCGGAAGTGCACCGTGGCCGCGATGGTGGGGCGCGATGCCGACGACAGGTAAAGGTCGCGTAGGCTGCTGGCGAGGCGTGATATGGAGGAGGAGGCGCGCATACACCGCGCGATGGATATGTTGCTGGCCATCCTGGGGCTAAGGGCTGTTGACAAGACTCGGCGTCGTGGTCGTCGAGAGCACCTGCGCTGGCGGGATTCGGGATGATCTCTGTGTTTCTGTCTGGAGTGGAAATCTGCCAGTGCCTGCCAGACGCCCAGCCCGCGAGGGGCCCACAGGGTTAGGGGTGTGGGCTCAGGTACTGTCAACTGGTGTCCAACAGTCGCAGACGCCCACTAGCACCAGGGCAACAAGAACACAGCTCCCGAGTCAACAAGTGCCAGCTGCAATACAACAACATGCCTGGTCGGCCGTGGAGTGGAATGGTCCAGCTTCCATGGTGCTGATTACATGCGAGTACCCTACAGACACCCTATAGCGGCCAGCCCAAGGTGGGGGAGCAGTCGGCTGCGCACAAAGTCCTCGATCCCATGCAAGTCCACTCCGAGGGCCTGCACGTTCTGGTCCGGGATTTCCTTACCATTGTACATACCACATTCGTTGTAAAGTTGAAACATCACATCTCTGTCTTTCCACCCCGTCGACTCCAACCTCTTGTAGGTGGTGGGCTTTCCGCTGAGTTTCTCGACACAGGTTATTATATCGTTGGGCGAAACCCTCGAGTTACAGCAGTAAAGATATTGGTGAGTCAGCTGGTCCTTTTTGGAGTTCCACTGGTCGAACACTGCCTTTGCGATGGCCGAAAGGTCCTTTTCTACAAAGAGCATGGCAAGTTGTGTGTCAGCCTCGACGATGGGCTGCCGAAACTCTATAGTGTCCGAGATGGTCGGATCGTAGTGCATGTGTTTTCTCAGGATCATGTCTGCGAGCGTAATCAGTATCGGTGTAATGTCGCCCCTGGTCGCCTTCGCAGCTCCGGCAAACAGATATACGCACTTTCGTAGAAGTTTCCCGTGTAGAGGAAACAAGCTGGGAAATCCTGCCTTCGGATGTAGTCGTCGACTTGGTGCTTGCCTTCGTAGATCTGGCTGACGAAACGGCCCCCCGATATCTGCTTTGAGCTCGGTAAGGTCGACCATAGAAGACACTCGACCGTTCCCGCAGCCGCGGCCGCATCGACCAGGTTCTTGCCCTGCTGTTCCTCACTGCTCGGGTCATCTTTGATCCTCGAGTCGTAGAAGTTGGTGACGCCAAAGACACCCCAGCATCCTACAAATGCGGGCGTGAGGCTGGGCGGGTCGGTCAGGTCAGCCTTCACAAGCTCAGCACCCTGCTCTGCGAGGGTTCTTGCGGCGTGCGAGCTCGGGTCACGAGTAACGACTCGTACGAGATAGTCTCTCGGGTGCTGAAGGAGTAGTTTGGCCACGGCACCACCTTGTGCAGGGGGCGTGTTGTCAGCGTCAGATGGTCGGTGGTCAAGCAAAAATGGGACCGCTATACCTTGGTTGCCCGTGGCGCCAAACACAAGAATTCGTCTGACCATAATTGTGACGTGCTTCTGTATATGACTTGGAGGATGTGAGGTCCAAGGTGACTGGTTTCAATACGTGCATAAGGAGCAGGCCGTTCGGTAGCTACCTAGGCCTTTCCGGCCCCCTCCCCACCATCTCCAACTCAACTTCTCATACTAAACAGTTCTATAGAGTTTTATATAATCTTATTATTATATATTATTATATATTATTATATATTATTATATATTATTATATATTATTATATATTATTATATATTATTATATATTATTATATATTATTATATATTATTATATATTATATATATTATATATATTATATATTATTATATATTATTATATATTATTATATATTATTATATATTATTATATATTATTATATATTATTATATATTATTATATATTATTATATATTATTATATATTATTATATATTATTATATATTATTATATATTATTATATATTATTATATATTATTATATTAAATTTAAAATATAATAATAAAATATATAAATTTATATTATTAATAATAATTTAATATTTAATTTTAAATTATTTAAAATAAGTTTTATTTATTTTAAAAAATTATTTATTTTAAAAATTAATTTAAAATTATATAATTATTATTAAAAATAACTTTATAATAAATTAATATTATATTATTTATATAATATATCTTTAATATATTAATAAATATTTAAAGTTTAATAGTTATAAAATTAAGTATATCTAAAAGGGGGGGTGCCTAGGGACCCCATGACGTACTCTATAAGCCGCAGATTTACTATAAGCCGTAGCTGACTCAGCCGGACTGGTCCCGTGAGTCCGCGAGGAGCCTCGCGCCAGCCGAGTTAGTTCTGCCCCAGCGACGCGTGCAACTACTGTCGGGCACTCGCCACAGATTCACCCATCTAAGCGATGAAAGCGAATATGCCGGCGCTCGCCTTTAGAGACGGAACTGCTACCCCAAATGGACGACCAGCATCGCCCTTCACCTAGGAAGGCGGATACGGTGACCTCCTCGCCCCAGCCCGGTGACGCCGACGACGCCCAGGCCTCCCAGCATGCCACCTTAAAACATTCCCTGCTTGGTGCATCATTGACAAAGGCTGGCCAGGACTCTGTCGACCAGCAAAAGGTGTGAGCGCGCATGTCTTGACGCTCTGCTGCCGTCTGAGACTTACGGCCGTGACTGACATGCCAGGTCTCCGATATAATTTACGATATCTCCAAGGGTTCGAAGTATTTCAACCGCGAAGAAGAAAGAGACAAGAATCTTACCGTAAAGATCGACCGGATCCTCAACAAGAAGCGCCAGCTGGAGAAGCTCGACTCGTCCAGAGAGCTACGCAAAGCCGACGCCCTCATTGCTGAGTTGGAGCTTTCCCGCGACCTTACTCAGATTGTGGTGCACGTTGATTGTGACGCCTTTTTTGCTGCAGTGGAACAGCTCGACCGACCCGAACTGAAAGACGTGCCATTCGCCGTCGGTGGTGGCGTTCTCACGACCTGCAACTACGTGGCAAGGCAATTCGGATGTCGCTCGGGGATGGCCGGTTTTGTAGCAAGGAGGCTGTGCCCTGATCTAATCTGCCTCTCACCCAACTTCGACAAGTATAGCGCCAAGGCGGACGAGGTGCGTGAGGTCATCGCCGAATACGACCCGCGTTTCGAGAGCGCGAGTATCGATGAGGCATACCTGAACATCACAGAATACTGCCGGGACCATAACGTGTCCCCCGAGGATGCCGTGGATCAGTTGCGCCGGCAGGTGCAATTGAGGACGAGCATAACGGTTTCTGCTGGGATCGCTGCCAACGCGAAACTTGCCAAGATCTGTTCCAACATCAACAAACCCAATGGGCAGTTCATCCTTCCTAATGATCGTGTCGCCATCATGGCATTTATGCGCGACTTGCCCTGCCGCGTAAGCACCTTCTAGATACAATCTTCACCCTTTCAAGGACAAACATACCCCACCTAACTTGCCGGCTTCGGGTTCTGATAGAGGCTATGACCGACCACCGTGTGGCCTGCTTCTTGTCATGGTCCTATGAAGCTACTTCTAGGGTTATTTGATGGCTGACCCCTGGTGCTATAGAAGGTCAACGGGATCGGCAGAGTATGGGAGCGAGAGCTTGAGGCTATCGGGGTACGGACATGTGGCGATATATATGGCCAGAGACAATTCCTTAACCCGCTTTTCGGAGAAAAAGCTTGCGAATTCCTCGTAAACTGCCACTTGGGGCTCGGCCGCACAGATATCCAACCTGCGGAGGAGTACGAGCGAAAATCCGTCGGGACAGAAAGCTCGTTTCACGACATGTCTGATCCGAAGCAGCTCAGGGAAAAGCTTCTTTGGACCGCACAGGAGCTGGAGAAGGAGTAAGCAAGTCCCATACAGTCTTGCCTATTTCAGGCACATCAACACAATTGCTCTCGAGGGCCCAGGTTTTAACACGGGCTGGATGGAAGTGGTGTGCCGTAAATCTCTGCCTCTCTCACTAGCACTCAAACCAAGTGAACAGATCGCTGACTCGGCATGGTACAGTATGCGAAGGGCGAGATGTAAGGGAAGGACCTTGGTTTTGAAAATCAAACTGCACACATATGAGGTCTTTACCAGGCAAACTGTGCTCCCGAGGGCTATAAATCTCTCCGAGGACCTGTTCGGTTTTGCTGTCCCTATACTTGCTAAGCTGGAGCAGGATATGCCAGGGATGAAGATCAGGCTTATGGGCCTGCGCTGTACGCACCTGGTCAGCACCAAGAAACCAGACACAACGGCATTCTTTGGGCTTAAGCCTAGGAGTGGAGAAGCATGCAACGAGCCTGGCAAGGTCTTGCGCACAATCACTCGGGTGAATGATTACCATACAAGGGGTGTGGTGCCGAATAAGTCACCTGCACAGGACTGTGACGATGCGATTACCGCGGAGGGCGACACGAGGGGTTCTTATCGAAGGCATGGGGGGGAAATCCTGCCCAATCCGACCCCGGCCAACAACGTCTCTCCAGGATCGGGCGAGTGGTGGGAATGTCCAGTTTGCAATCGACCACAGCCGACTGATGAGAGACGATTCAATTCGCACATTGACTCCTGCCTCTCGAGGCAGACAATTCGTGACGCTGTTCAACAGGAGCAACAGGCACGTTCGAGCCGGAGTCTGACACCGGAGTCCAAGAGGCCAAGAACTGACTCGGAAAGAAAAAGGGGCCGGCAAGGCTCCGGTCAAGATCCCAAGCAGAAGAAGCTGTGTTTCGGGTAAGGGTGCCGCTGGCGAGGGACGCTTTTCGACGGCCCGGAACTCCTACATTAATGTATCATGCCGACACTGCTGCTAGGCTTCTATACTGGTAGTTATGCCGTGGTCACATTGATGGCAAACATCAAGAAAGATTAAGAAGCGCCTTCCTATCTCCCAACAACTGAGTGATCACATCCCCGTCACAGTGCCCCAAATAGTATAGACTGGTCTAATATAGTTTAAGCAGTTTTACTTCTCATTAATTTATGTATCAAATACAGTCATCTGGCCGGGTGGTCTGTAGCGAGAAGCTGGCAGTCATTACCCAACTACTATTGCAACAAGTACACAGTTAAAGAACAAAAGAAAAACAGTGTAGTGGAAGCCCGGATGTCACCTTTCATTTACACCTCTCCCAGACCAGAATACCATGCATCGGAACACTGCCTCCAACTTCTCGTGTCTCAGATTTCTAAATCAGGCTCTAGGGGAGTCTACAGTTGGACGTCATGCTGTAGGTGACTTAATGTTACTCTTCACATGCGAGGGGCGCTCATGGGTCCCTGCTGTTGATATCCAGCCATGTCCTGCCGGCATTGTCAGTCAGTTCAATTGCATACGTCGTCACAATGGTATTTACAACTCACCACTTGTGTAGTCCGTGCTTTCACCTCCTTCTCCTGTTCTGCTGCACATTAGTCACCCTTCAACAACCACTAAAGAGTAGATCATACTTACGGACTATAGCACAACAATGACAGCACAGTGAGACCATGCAGTCACCACAGCAGCTTTTTTCCATGTCAAACTGTTCACGGATCTCCCCCCGTCGAATGCATTGCAACCTATACAAGTGTGTGAGTGTTGATCGGCGGCACAATGAATTATGAAGGACATACACCCAACCCCAGCCCCCAAACGCATGCAGGGCGCAGAGAATACCACAGTCGGCATTGCAACAGTTGTAATTTTGCATGTCACCATGATGCTTGAGGCGGTGAGTTGTTCGGCCTAGGACGATACATGGACACCAGAAACCCTCGCAACAAAGCCCGAAGGGGCTGCAACAGCCCATTAGGCTTTCTTGCCAAGTGGATGATGACATCTTCACTGGATTTTAAGGAAGGGGGGGGGGAATGACTGGTAAATGGTTGTGCTGGGGTTGGAATTATGTCACAGCTTGTGAAGTTGCTCCAGGGAGAAAGAGGGAATGCACCAGGGGAGAGTGGAAGGGCTTTGATTTAAACACTCCTGCACCAAGGACAAGTAACATGACTGGTGCTGGTGTACCCAACCCAGAACATGTATGTGTTTCGGGCTTGATGGATGCCAACGGTCGCGCCATGGCGATCCTGTAAGCAGATGGTCTCAAACGGAATCTCTAATTATAAAAGCTGACCTGGTCAGCGGTCTGGGCCACCCCCAACCTGACTGTGCTGTGCCACGACCCTGGGGCATCTGAGCAGGGTCCGAAGGGGTAAATGTAGCAAAGCTGAAGCTTACAGGTCCTACCCCCCGCCTCATTTGTCCTGTCACTCAACTCCTGGGCTAATTAACACATGAAGTGCAAAATACTCTCCAGAGTGAAACCTAACTTGGGATGAGACGTAAAGAGAATATAACAACATGAAAGAAAAAACAAGGGCCAGAAAGAGAATATACATCATGTGTAACATTATCCACATAGGCATGATCCTTATGTGTTATGTGGTTTCGCTTCTATTCCGTATACGTCCGAGGACATACATGGCGCCTTCATACGGTGGCAAGCACTCTAGACCCAGCGCTTGGAAAGAATAACTTATATATTGTATGCAGTAAGTGTTTTCACTACCATGTACTCGGCTACCGCATCTTCCTCAGAGCCATAACATATTTTCCGCCTGGTCGCATGAAAATCAGCACACCGTTATATAGGAGAATCTCTTAGAGGAGAATCTCACATAAGGTAACCACCTATATATTAAACATCCATGGAGTCCACTACAAGAGGAATAGGCTTCTCAAGACAGCCGCTGACCCGTGACGACTTCTGGTAGTATGAAGGACCATAGGTAGGCATGTCGCAGGGGCTCCACAATGATGTTTTCAAGAGGTTCAAATGTGCCTATATCGTCTTGACACACGTGACAAGCTCCTCACCACAAGCAGCGCGTGTCCTCAGCCAGAGCAGCTCCAGCTCCCTGCGTTATCCACGTCCCCCTTGCCGTCATAGACAGCTTTTTTGGGGAAGGGGCACAACGGCCTCTGCCTCAAGACGCCTGAGGCGGGGTCCGTAGAGTTGTGCCATGTGGTTGCAATTATCTGCTCTACTTTCTCCCCTTCCTCGACCCATCTCATCAGGGCCATGAGTGCGTCATGCTCCGGGTCTGGGAACCCAGGCGTCGAGAAGATATCTGTGCCTAGGCTGGCCTGGTTGGGTCCGGCAAAGAAGTAAGGCGCGTTGTTGGAAGTCCCTGTTACGTGTTGCATGCCCGGCACCTCGAAATAAACGAACCAGTCCTGAAGCTGGTCATAGCCGCCCAAGGCTCCTGCCACTCGAGAGTAAAGCACGTTAGATGATCTCTTCGAGATCAGCGCGTCCGACATGCCATGAAACATGATAATTTTGCTGCCTTTCTCCATCACTGCCCTCATGGCCTCGTAGTTGTCGGCTGTGCAGTTACCCGGGTCTTCGGCGTCGGCCTGCCAGATGATCGTGTCGTTGTATTGCCTCCATGTCCAACTCGGGTCGTCCAACAGAAAGTACTGCATATAACCGTCCCCCAGTGGGTTTGGCGAGGAACCACCGAGCAACACATTCCACTGCGCCTCGGAGCCGACCTCCAAGCCCGGGAAAGCGAACCGGCCCTCTGCATGGTAGTCCGAGTAGATGTTATTCAAGGTGGCCAGCTGAGCCTCCGTCAGACACGCCGAGGCGTTGGCGGCAGCGAACCGGCATAACAAGGCGTCCGTATCAAACTCGCACAGCTCTGGCGCGCTGATGATTCCATCCTGCACCCCATCCAGGGAGTCGCACTGCCGGATGGCCTCAGCTCCGATGGTCTTGAAGAGTGGGGGCGGTATGTGCCCGGCCGCGTCGGTGGGAAGGTTGTAAGAGCCGAGTTTGGTTGTCCACGGCTGGAGATGACTCGACCACCACGCAGGGGCTCCGATGAGCAGCCCGTCGAAGGATTCGGGATCATACTGCGCCTCTCGTAGTCCCTGCCTGCCTCCGGTGGAAGCACCAGAGTAGTATGAAAACTGAATCACCTGACCGTAGAATGCCTCCGTCAGGATTTTCCCCAACACCACGCAACCGTGAATGGCGCGATAGCCGAAGTCAAGCCGCTTCTCAGGCTGGTGCAGCGCCCAGGTCAGATCTGAAGTGCTTGAGTTGTGCCCGGTGTCCGTGGAGGCAACTGCAAAGCCGTACCTAGAACCACTACCCATCTGATAACTCGAAGTCAGCCTCAAAAGCACACAAGACAGTAGTCTCATACACTAGGCCGGGGGTTAGACACAGTCTGGCCGCAGTCTGTCTCCTACTCGACCTGCTCGCAGTCCAAAGCCTCTGAGTGACAGGCTAGAGGTAGGGGGAGAGGTTGCCTCTCCGGAATGGTCCAGACATATGCAGAAGCTGCTTACGTCGAGGAAGTTGATGCCGCCAGCAAAGCCGCCGTTGCCAACCTGCAGGAAGCGCCCGTTCCACTCAGCGGGCAGGAACATACCGAAGCGGAAACTCGACGACTCGGAGGTTGTCACATTGACAATGACAGCGCAGGTCTCGGGCAGGTTGGTAGGGTTCGTGGGATATGGGATGTCTGCCGCACCCTCGCCGAAAGAGCCACCCTGGGGAACTTGCTGGGCCAAGAGGACGGTGGCGTGTGAAGGCAAGGCAGCCTGCAAAGCCTCGATCGAGCATGCCGCTGCCGTCTCTGCTGCCTCGAGGCCTTGCCAGGAGAGAGCGCACGCACTGGCTGCCAATGCATGGTACAGAATCGGCGGCCGCATATTGGATCGGGCTGGTGCTTTACAATTTGACAGGCGTTTGAGACCATGAGCAGGCCGCCTCTTGGGGCAAAATACTCGGTGCTGAAGCCTCCATCTTATACACAAGCCGGCAAAGGTGACGTCCCCCACTGGAGTACGGCGATCGACTTTCCGAGTCAAGCTCCCTCCATCAACCCCATCTTCCCGGTTCTGTTGGCCGGCACTTGTACTGTAACAGACCAACATTCCCCGCCCAGTAGCCCCGGTGGAGACCGCAGCTAGCCCGGGACCTAGAACCACAATGCCACATCAGGGTAAGTGCCCATCCTGTGTAGAAGACGATTTGATCCATGAAGTGCAGGGTTCCGAAGCAGGTCAAATCCCCATCATATAGCCCCCCCCCCTCATGATAGAGATGTAGGGAATTGACGAAATACCTACTCGTAACGAAGAGGACGACTCACGTGTAGTGGCGAAGGGGGTAGTATTTCTCACCGAGCCCGCACCAAGTCATGGCCCCAAGTAGGCGTTTTTTGTTTGTGTGTTGCAGGCCTCGAACAAACAGGTGGCCAAGTGGCGTCGCTGAATCCCTCTCCCAGACCCGTCCTTGACACCCAGTCCGAACGAAAGCAATTTTGCACCTAGCAAGTCCCGGAAACCATGTCCAAGGGCCGTGGCGATGCGGTTCCCAGATCTGGCCCAGAAGCACACGGATAGTCTATTGACAATATTCGACGACTGTCCATGTACCTGCGGATCCTTGCAGGCTATCGCCTACCTTGTCGGGCCTGGGCGCCCCATCGATGAGGAAACCCAGCGGTTCATGGTTGTCACCGACCTTGAGGGTCTGCTTCCATCTGCCCTGCCTCTCACTCCATACCCATCGCTCAGCCGTGAAGGTGTCTCCGACCCGTAGCACGCCCTGGGCGTAACGTCCCAAAAGGATGAACTGGCCGCGTTTCGAGGCCGGTCCATCCAACAGCCGGAAGACGACACAGGTGGGATCCTGGGCGCGGACTGGGACTGGTGCCTCGTCAGACCAGAGCTCCTCGTAGGCGGTCATGCGGCCGGTGGCCGGATTGATCATGGTCCCGACCTCGAGGGCCAAGCCCCCGGGGTGGGCGGTCATGTCGCCTTCGTCGCGGACAAGCTGTGGCTCGGTGGTGCGACTGTCCACCCAGTGGTTGAAGACAGAGTGCGTGGTGTCGCTGCCGTCCTGGCCCAGAGTCTTTGTGGTGGACGAGGTGCCGGCAAATGCCCAGTCCAGGCTGTCTATTGGCAGACTGGCGGAGGTGTCGTGGTCCGGCCCTGTGACTGACCCTGGGACCGACCCTGGGACCGACCCCGGGCTGGGAGACGTGGCCTTGAGGACCCTGACGTCGACGAAAAACCGACGGCCTGGCGAGGTGAGAACGAGGGTGGACGTGGGTTCAGAGGGAGGCTCCGTGCCCCACTGGATATGTCTGCGAACGGATATGCTCCCCATCCTGGAGGGTGACTGTGCAGGTGGGTGTTCAGAAGTCAAAAGGACCGGACCACGAGGCGTGTAGTAGGTGTGAAGGGTGAAGGGTGAAAGGCGAAGGGCGAAGGATCTACCAAGTAGGGACCTAGGTACCCGAGTGCAGATGACGCAGGCAGCTCTACACTATGTAGGGTAGGCCCCATTTTACTCGCCCCATGCTTCAGAGATGGATGCGTCCAACGAGACAGGCGCGACCAGTCAATGCCCGTCGCCATCACAACCGCCACTCGGCACCTGGCACCTTGGTCCTCGAGACTGCGGCCAATATTCTTTTCCACACATATCTGGGCATCGAGGCTGGAACATGCGCCATGCTCAACCCGACGACCCACGAGCTCATCTTCATCCGTGTCTGTGTCTTCTTTCTCACATACCTGCCGTGCATCATACCTTTTCTGCCCCGTCCCTTCTGGCTCCTCCTGCCCATCGAGGCACTCTACTACCTGCTCATCCTCCGGCCCTTTGAGCGTCGTCTGTCGCTTCAAGCCAGCCACCCGCCATACCTTGCCGACAGGCAGGCTCTCTTCCGGCGATGCCTAGAGAACATCCCCGACCCCGAACGCTACTTGAGCCTGTGGGCTTTGGGCGCACATCCCAACGATATCAGGCGCGACAACGTCAAGGACTTTCTGCTCTGGGCCTTCTTTGATCGCCCAGACACCGTCCCGGCCATCGAGGACGAGCTCGAGGGCTACGTCGACCGGACCGAAGAGCTCCTCGGCCGCCCCCTCGCGCCGGGCAGGGGCAGTGCTGTGCCCATGCGGCTAACCCTCGACCATGTCCCTACAAGGTATCGCAGTGTTGTCTGGTACATGGTCGTCGGCCTGGTTGATGCCGCTACCCACCTCCACCTCGCCTGCCACGGCTTCGACTTCTGGCCCAGCCCCCTGCGCACAAACCTGCTGCACGTCTTCCCGCCCCGCCTGCTAGCCTCGGCCGAGCTCCTCAGGCGCCATTCACCCTCCCAAGAGCTCTGCTACTGGTACCGCCGCCCTTCCACATCCACAGGCACCGAGCCCACCCTTCCCGTCGTCTTTCTCCACGGCATCGGCATCGGCCTCCACCCCTATGTCCCCTTTCTGGCCTCGCTGCCACGGACCAGCCCCATCATCGCCCTCGAGATACTCCCAATCAGCATGCGCCTGACCAGGTCTAACATCCTGGCAAGACCGGACTTCCTACGACACCTAAGGGACATCCTCCGCCACCATCGCATCCACCACTTCGTCCTCGTCGGGCACTCCTACGGCACCGTCATGGCCACACATGTCCTACACGACTTGGAGCTGAGCCAGCGCGTCCAAGGTGTCGTGTTGGTTGACCCCGTCACCCTTCTGTTACACTTGCCGGACGTGGCCTACAACTTCACAAGGAGGTCTCCCCGGACGGCCAATCAAGTCCAGCTTTGGTACCTCGCGAGTATGGACCCAGGGATTGCTTTGGTTCTGGGGCGGCACTTTTTCTGGAAGGAAAACATCATTTTCAAGGAGGACCTGGTCGCAGGCCGCCAAGCAGCCGTCTGCCTCTCGTCGCGCGATCTCATCGTCGACACCATGGCGGTGGTGCGATACCTCACCAGTGATGACAATGAAGCTTCCAATGTTCTAGAGGCGGCCAAGGAGTCGAGCACCATGACAAGCTCGGGTATTGAACTCCTCTGGGTCGAGCTAGACCACGCTCAGGTCTTCGACATGAGCTATAACTACAACCGGCTCGTAGAGACGATTCGCCGATTCGCCACCAAGTGAGCACTGGATGCGTACCTCCTAGAACTCAATCAAGCATGGTAGAATGAGTGCTTGCTCCTGGCTGCTCTCCATGTCTTGTCCAGTTGTATGTCTCACTGTGTCCCCACGTGACTTTCCGACCAGGAATTTTCTGCCTGTATGCGCGACCCCATTAGCTTTCCTTAGCAGTAAGTCAAATTAGCTATCAAGGTCCATCATTATAGTTTTATCATAGTGTAAATAATGAGAAGATATAATATATTTTATAAGTATGGTTATAGATAATAAAATAAGAAGATAATAACTAGGAAGGATAGAGGGACTAGCTTGGCTATATAGAATATATTGTATATAAGGAGTTAGAGGAGGTTGGAGGGAAGAGGGAGTGGGTGAGGTATGTTGAGCTGCTTGAGGGGATGAAGGGGGCTGAACTTGAAGTGGGTGTTGTGAGCAGCATGCTGGTGAGGGAGGTTGTCAAGGTGAAGGACTAGGGTAGGTTGAGGGAGCTGGTGCCTAGCGAGGTTATGATGCTGATTGAGGAGGATATAGTTATGTGGTGATGCTGGTCGTGTAGTGTCGATGGTGCTCTTGCTGACGTAGTCGTGGTCGTAGTCGTAGCAGCACACCTGGGCAGATCGATCGATCCGTGCTGTCCTGTGTCCGTACTCGCGTAAATGTCAGCCCGTGACGCGTAGCAGGCGCGATGATGGGCGTCGCTAGCGTTGGTGTCGCAGCAACAAGCTCGCGAGCGCAGGAGACGTCACAGCTGGGCGTCCATGTGCGCGCGCGCGACCGCATGCGTCGGTGGTGGACCTGTGGCCTTGGCGACCTGCGACGCGCCAAGCCGTCACGACAACAAGAACAGAGGACTTTCTTCCTCACATCACGGGCAAGCCCACGAAGTAATGAAAAAAGAGAAAATATCAGCGCCAGTCAGACGTCCACCGACAGCCACCCCGCCCGAGCGCCCGAAGGCAAGACCTCGAGGAAGATCGGGGTAGAGATCATCACCACTCGCTATACAGTTGCCAGGCAACCGCCACCTTTGCAGGCGGATCGCGAGTAAAAGTGGTGTGTTCACTCTAGGGCATGACGGGGATTTTTGGTCATCAACCTGGGTGGGATCTGTAGCTATGTTGGGAAACATAGAAGATGGGTCGAATACTATAGAAATGATTCTAGAGTGGATGTTAGCATCAGTTTGTTTGCTTGAAAGTGAAGCTAGGGGGTACCAACCTCTGAAGTATGTTCGACTGAGGAAAAAAGGAAAAGAGAAGATCTGGAAAGGCCGGAGGGTGGCAGGATTTAAATATTGAATGATGGTGGTCTGTGCGCCATTCTGCCGCTGCAGCTGATTCATGACCGCCTTCCACCTTGGGCTGAGAGCGTCTGTGGCAGAACGCCGTTCTTTGCCAAACGGCCCCACACTGCAAACAAAAAATTTGATTGCAAAACCTCTCAGCCATCACCGACCAAAGACGGTCTAGGCCTTTGCAGATGAAAACTCTGTAGTAGAGACTTCGTGAATGACACATCTTATTTGCTGGATTCTTACTTCTTGACCGTCAATCTCGGCCTCGGCCCGACGTGGCAGGCAGGCCGACTTGCTGTGGCTGTGTGGCTGACAGATTTGAGCCGCCGTTTGTCGACGTCGCACTCGGTCCATGGCCGACTTACTGGCATTCACTCGCTTCCTGACTCAAATGCTTACGTAGAATTCACTGGCACGGGTCAGGATTGCAAAGCTTCCCGTAAAACAAGCATTGAAATCACATCTGCACTTGATCACGTTGGCTCTGGCTCCGGCTCCCCGTGTTGGACGTTGACAGCCGGCGACTGGCCAAGTAGGTTTCCACCTGCCGCCGAGCCTCACCTGGTTGAGATGATGTTTTACGGCCCGGGAGTAGGGAGGTACTGTCCAGTAAGACCGTCCCAGGGAAACCTGCCTTGCGGGACTTGCGGGAGATATAGGATCTCGTGGGAGAGACTCTGCTAGGGCAGGACAAGCTCGAGAGCTCAAGACAAGCAGCCTTCACCTGTAATACTGGGCCTCCATGTACTTGGGCAGTGAGTAGTCTGAACTGTCTCCCGTAGATCCTTGCTTGTGAAAGCATCAGAGTCTGTCTCCCAACGACCAAGTGCCGTGACTGCACCGTACTCCGTAGTCATGGCCAACCTTGAATCAATCCAACCTCACAGGCCTTGTAGTCATTTGTTGCACTGTGCACTGTAGCCCAAGTCATTAGGATTTCCAATTGATGTGGGTCCCCAACCCCTGCTCGCCCGTCCACGCCCGTCCACGACACCCCATCTCCGGCCACGCCGCCGCACACATCAATATCAACCCTCCTTGCCGCCCCGCCACCATTGAATCATCAAATCACAACAACTCGGTCCGGTGGTGTAGTTGGCAATCACGTTAGTCTAACATTGAACAAGTCTCATTTGTGATGAAATTGAGGCGTTGATGAGCACTAAAGGTCCCCGGTTCAAGCCCGGGCCAGATCAATCATAGAGTTGTGGTTCATTTTTTTTTGTTCCAGATAGGAACTCCCATACTGAGGCTATTTTTGCCGCTTACTACCATGGCACATGTGATGTAGGACTATGATCATAGTCCTATACTATTATATATAGGGTATTTTATATAAGTTTATTTATATAATTTTAATTAATCTCTTTTAATACTTATAGCTTATTTATTTCTAGGACTCCTTTTTAAAAACGTATTTTATAAGAAGTTAAATATTTATATATACCCTTTTAAATACTTATATAATTAATTTAATTAATTAAAATTAAAGTTAATTAAAAACTTTATTTAATTTTATTTTAATATTTAAGTTATAGTTTAAAAATAAAATAACTTAATTTTAAAATTTTAAATTAAAAATATTTATAATAAAGTTATATAATAAAAATTTATTAAAAATTAATAATTAATAAAAGTTTATTAAATAAATAAAATATTAATTAAAATATAAATTTATACTTTTAAATATATTTTTAATATATTATTAATAATTATTTAAATAAAAATTAATATATAAATAAATTAATAAAAATATATTTATTTATTTATAAATTTTAATAAATTATATAATAAATTATAATTAAAATAAAATTATATATATAAAATAATATAATTAATTAAATTAATTATATAAAAATTTTAAAAGTTATATAAATATTATATTTTATATAAAAATATTATATATAAATTTAAAAAAATTAAATTTAAAAGATTAAATTTAAAATAAATTTAAAAAATTTAAAAAAATTAAAAATTAAAAAAGTTTTAAAAATTTAAATAAAGTTAAATTAAATTATAATATAATAAAATAATTAAATAAAAATTTTTAATTTTATATTAAAAAATTATTAAAAGTTATAATTATTATAAATTATAAATTATTTAATTTAATATTAATTAATATTATATAAAGATATTTTTTTAAATATTAAATTAAAAAATTATAATTATAATTTTATAATTAATTTTTATTTAATTATATTATATTATTATCCTTTTAATATAAAGTTAAAAGATTTATAATTATATTTTTTAATTAATTTTTATTTAATTAGTTTTTATTATAATTTAATTTAATTTAATTTAAACCTTCTTTTAAGCTATATAAATACTTTTATTTTTATAAATATAAATATTAAATTAAAACTTTTAAGCTTAAATTTAAAATTTTTATAAATTTTAATTTCCTTTAAATTAAATTTATAATTTTTAATTTTTCTAAAATATATTAACTATTTTAAATATTAATAACTTCTTTTAAAATAAAAGTTTACCTTTATATAATTATAAATTTAATTATTAATAATTTATTTTATTTATAATAAAGTTATTAAAATTATAAACTTAAATATTATATATAATAATAAAGTATAGTTACTTTATTTAAGTATTTTTAGTTTAATAATATAATAGTTAAATAACTACTTTTAAATAATTTTATTTATAAAGTTAATAATCTTTTAAGTTTATTAAATAAATATTTATTTAAATAAAGCTAAAACTTTAATTAGAGGAATAATAGCTTTATCTTTACTTATTTTAACTAACTTATTTAAGTTATATAGTAAATTTAACACTTATATATAGTGCTTACTAGTGTTAAACTAGGTAGCCTATAATTTATAATAGCTTTAACCTTTAATACGCCGGCCCAAACTAGTATAGCTTAGTGTATTAATGTAAAAAGGTATCTTCTAATAATAAATAGTATTATAAATAATAATAGTAAATTATAAAGTTATTATAAAAAGTTTTATATAATAAATTTAATTAAGTTAATTTTTTAAAAATATATTATATTTTATTTTTTTAAAACTTTAACTATTTACTTTTAGTTTAATAATAAAATTAAAAAATATAAATAGTTTATATTATATTATTATAATTTTATTTAATTTTAACTTTATTTAAACTTTTTTAAAATTTTTAATATTTTTTAAAAAATTAAATTTAAAAAAGTTTTTAAATTTAAATTTAAAATTTTAATAAATTTTAATTTTATTTAAATTAAATATATAATTCTTTAACTTTTTAAAAATATATTAACTATTTTAAATATTAATAACTTTTTTAAAAATAAAGATTTATTTTATATAATTATAAATTTAATTATTAATAATTATTTTATTTTATAAAACTATTAAAATTATAAATTTAAATAATAAAATATAATTATTTTATTTAATTATTTTAAATAGTTTTATTTATAATATAATAAAGTTAATAAATAAATATTTATTTATAAAATAAAATTAAAACTTTAATTAAAATAATAATAATTTTATTTTTATTTATTTTAATTAATTTATATTTAAATTATATAATAATAATATATATAATATTTAATAATATTAAAATTAATTTATAATTTATAATAATTTTAATTTTTAATAAATTAATAATATTAATTTAAATAAATTTAATATAATTTAATATATTAATATAAAAATATTTTTAATAATAAATAATATTATAAATATAAATTATAAAATTATTATAAAAGTTTTAAATAATAAATTTAATTAAATTAATTTTTAAAAATATATTATATTTTATTTTTAAAATTTTATTATTTATTTTTAATTTAATAATAAAATTAAAAGAAAATATAAATAATTTATATAAAAATATTATTTTATTATAAAATTTAAATAAATTAATTAAAATAAAAATAAAGTTATTAATTTTAAAAGTTTTAATTTTATTTAAATTAATATTTATAAAAATTATTTAAAAGAATTATTTAATTTATTATAATATTAAATTAAAATATAATATATTTTTAAAATTTAATTTAATTAAATTTATTATTAATTAACTTAACTTATATATAAAAGTAATTAATTAAAATAATATAAATTAATAATAATTAAAAGATTTATTTAATAAATAGTAAAGTATTTAATTCAATTAATTAAACTTATTAATTAAACTTAGTTTATATATATATATAAACTTATTAACCTTATAATAATTAATTTATTATAATTTATTATTTTTATATTAATAACTTTTAATTTTTAAAATTAAAGTTTAATTATTTCTTTTTTAATTAATTAAAAGCTTTATTTATTAATAAAATAAGTTTTAATTAAATTATTAAATTATTTAAAATTATTATTAAATATATAATTATAATTTACTTAATTTAAATATTATAAAAATATTTTAAATTAATATTTTATAAATTATTTAAATTATTTAAATTTAAATTATTTTAATAAATAAAATTAAGTTTAAATTATTAATTACTTATTAAACTATTTATTAAATAATTACTAACTATAATTATATTTAGCTAATTAACCCTTTTAATAGTTTCTTCTTTTATAATAAACTATTACTTACTTTATTAATCCTTTATTTTCTTAATTAAAGTTTTTATTTTAATTAACTATATAAATAGTTATAATATCTCCTTTTATTAAAGTATAGAATTTAAATAAAGATAAGTAAAGTATTAAATAATAACTTACTTAACTTAATATAAATATTATTAGAATAAAGGTTATTATAAAAGTTTTTAAAAACTTTAACTTAATTTACTTAAAGTAATTATTTTAATTTTTAAAAGTTTTATAAAAGTATTAAAAGTTTTATTAAAGTAATAATTAAAGTTATTAATAAATTATTAAACTTTATTATTATTAACCTTAATAACTATATACTTCTTTTTATAAATATTATTAATATACTTTTTAACTTATTTTATAATTTAAATAACTTTTTCTTCTTATTAAAGTAATATAAATAAAAGTATTAATATATACTTATAATAGTTATAAATAATTTTATCTTTAAAGGATTTAAGACTATAATAGCTATAATATTAAAGTGTTTCTATTAGTAGTTATAAGAGAGAGAGAGAGAGAGAGAAGTTAAGAGAGTGTGTGAAAGTTGCTTACTTAGTTGATTACTTAGGTGATATAAGGGTAGGTAGGTAAATAGGTTAACTAATAGGTAGCTAAACGGGTTGGCTAGCAGGTAGTTAGTTTGAGGGTCTTATAGGTAGGCTTGAATTGTCGGTCGTAAGAGAGAGAGAGAGAGTTATTACAAGAGAGTTGCAAGACTTACTTAACGAAGGGGTCCTACTTAGTTAGTGGTTGAATTTACGCCTAAGCAGCCTAGACGACTCACTTTCTTTAGGCTATAACAACGATAATAGTATCGTTAATTTATCTTTTTTAAACTATAACGGTAAAGTAACCTTATTAATTTATTCTTTAAAAGAATTTAATATTTAAGTAACTTAAATAATTTACTTTATTATTAAAAGTTAGTTAGTAGTTAATTAATATTAATTAACTTAGCTTATATATAAGAAGTAATTAATTAAAGTAATATAAATTAATAATAATTAAAAAGTCTACTTAATAAATAGTAAAGTATTTAATTAGATTAATTAAACTTATTAATTAAACTTAATTTATATATATATATAAACTTATTAACCTTATAATAATTAATTTATTATAGTTTATTATTCTTATATTTATTATATAAAACTTTTATAATAATTTATAATTATTTATAATATTATTTATTATTAAAAATACTTTTATATTAATATATTAAATTATATTTAATTAATTTAAATTAATATATTAAAAATTAAAATTATTAAAATTATAAATTATTTAATTTTAATATTATTAAATATTATATATAAGATTATTATATAATTTAAATAAATTAATTAAAATAAATAAAATAAAATTATTATTTTTAAAAGTTTTAACTTTATTTAAATAAATATTTATTAAATAAAATTATTTAAAAGTAATTACTTAATCTATTATATAATTTATTAAATTAAAAATAATTTTTAAATAAAGTAATTATATTATATTATTATATATAATATTTAAATTTATAATTATATAAAAATAAATCTTTATTTTAAAAGGATTTATTATTATTTAAAATAATTGATATATTTTAAAAATTAAAAGATTATAAATTTAATTTATAGTAAATTAAAATTTATAAAATTTTAAATTTAAATTTAAAATATTTAAACTTTTAATTTTATTAAAAATATTAAATAAATTTAAAAAAGTTTAAATAAAATTAAAAATTAAATTAAATTATAATAAAATAAAATAATTAAATAAAAATTAATTAAAAATTATAATTATAAGTTTTTAACTTTATATTAAAGAAATTATATATATATATATATATATATAATTTATATAATTTAAAAATAATTATTAATAATTAAATTTATAATTATATTAAAATAAATTCTTATTTTTAAAAACTTTATTAATATTAAATATAATTAATATATAATTTAAAAAACTATAAATTAAATTAATAATATTTTTAAAAATATATATTAATTATATTTAATATTAATAAATTTTTTAAAAATAAAGATTTATTTTTATAAATTTTTATAATTAAAGTTAAAATTTTTAAATTTATAAAAGTTTTAATTATATAAAGGTTTTAATATTTATTATATAAATAGTAAGTTCCTTAAAATAAGAGTGAATGTATAGGATATTTATAGCGCACAAGCATCCCAAAGTTTTCCTTGCAAGTACATGAAGTTAGTCAGCAGTATCTTTCCTCCTAATTTGGCCGTCGTCTACAGATCTACAAGAATCCTGGAGAGTACCCACTGTTTGCTTGAAAGTACTCTCAATAGAGAAGCTGGGCGGCAACTACCTTAAGGCTAACTCTGGCCAATCAAATTCTCAGGGACAGGGAAAACTTTGGGATGCTTGCGCGCTGTACTAGGAAATAAGACCCTTATGGCCGCCAATCCCTAGTTATTCCCAGCTATTTCCGTATGGCCCGAGGGGTCCACATTAGCGATGCCGTCACAACCATCCCTACTGCGTCTTGGGAAACCCGGAACTGTAGGCGTCGTGTCTCCCAGCCCCTGAGCTCCCACCTCGGCTTCGTCCTCGTCTGGCTGAGAGGCCAATCAGCCAGTCCAGGCAGAGCACCGGCAATAAGCGTCGAGCGAGCCGCGTGGGCACCACCCCTCGTTCCGGCTCACCGGGACACGCAGAGCCACATATATATATGCTCATGAATCGTCCCGCGGGGACAGATGATGGCCCCAGAATGAAAATGGAAATACCCATCTGAGAGCGCGCCCCTCCATCCCCCTTGAAATGCAACGCTGGCTCTGAAGTCGGCTGTGCTGTCGCGGTTGTTGGACCCGCCGTCTTATTCCCGTCCCCTGCTGTGCCTGCTCAGTGTTGCCCACCGGAATCCTTGGAATCCCCAAGCGGAGATAGACCCCTGGGTTCTCGCTGCCTCTGTCGCACGCGAGCCCGACACATGCCCAGGGATCTCGACTGCTGTGACAGACCAAGCTTACATCCAGGCCGAAAAGATGGTGACGGCACCAGGACTGTCTTGTCTTGGCGGCCCGGCCAGTCGGGACCCGAGCCTGACGACAGCGAGGACTGTTGAGCCCAGCCGGCAACAGGCCCAGGCCGAGGCCGAGGCCGGGCGTGATGATGCGTCGCAGGGCTGGCCTCCCAACGCCTCGTCGCCCATCACCTATCTCTGTACGTGGATGCGTGGATGCTCGGATGCTCGACCGAGCAGCCGTGCTCGTCCCTGCGCGTGGTGACGCACCTGGTGACGGGCCAGGCCAGCAAGACTGACAGAAGACGACAGATTTGACGTTCGACACCGCCCTGCCAGAGGTTGACATGGCTCCCACGTGCGCCCGCCCCGGCTCAGCTGCTCCCGCCGCGCCGAACCTGCTCGACTATACGGACCCGACCAAGTGGCCCGGCCATCGCAAGGCTTACCACATGGTGCTCTGCTGTGTTGCTACACTGCTCACGGCATACTGCGCCGGCTCATACTCGCCCCCGGCAGCTGTCATGGAGGCCGAGTTCCACGCCTCCAGGACTGCTGTGATGACCGGGATAACGACCTTCTGTGTGGGCTTCGCCCTGGCGCCCATGGTCCTTGCCCCGCTGAGCGAGATCAACGGCCGATACCCCGTCTTCTCCATCTCAGGCGTGGTCTTCGTCGTGTTCCAGCTTGCGTGCGGGTTCGTCACCAACCTGGCCGGGATGCTGGCCTGCCGCTTCCTGGTTGGAGTCGGTGGCAGTGTCTTTAGCACCATGATCGGCGGCATAATCGCTGACCTGTGGCACAAGGAAGGGAGGAACACGCCCATGGCTGTGTTCAGCGGCTCGGTTCTTGGTAAGCACAAGCCGTGTCGAGTCTTGGACGGCAGGCAACCTTGGATGTGTAGCCAGAGATCTGACATGAGGCAGTGGGTACGGGGCTCGGCCCTTTGGTCGCGTCAGTCATGACCTCCCGGCTCGCAGATGACGGAGACGCATGGAGGTGGGTCTTCTGGCATCAGGCCATCGCCGGCGGCGTGCTGGTGGCCCTTATTGTCATGCTCTTCAAGGAGAGCAGGGGCAGCATCGTCCTCAGCCGCAAGGCAAGGGCCCTGAACAACTGGTACGAGGCAAGAGAACAGGCTGGGTACTACGGCGTCTGGCTGCCGGAGCCCGGCCCGCCGTCGGGTGCCGAGGCCGAGGCGGAGGCGGAGGCGGAGGCGGTGGCGAGTGACAGCGACAACGTGGCTCAAGCGGCAGGGCTGGAAGACGAGGAGAAACGCGCGGCAGGGCCACCAGGCTCGACCACCGGCTCGGGCACAGACTCGCCCCCAACCACGCTGGGCAGCGTGCGTCTTCGCTGGCTCGTCAGGTCTGACAGTGACCGCGCCACCGTCGGCCGGATGATAATGGTCTCTCTGTACCGGCCATTCCATCTGCTGTGGACCGAGCCCGTGGTCTTCTTCTTCTCGGCCTGGGTCTCGTTCGCGTGGGCTGTGCTCTACCTGACCTTCTCCTCGATCCCCTTCGTCTTCAAAACCGTGTATGGCTGGGATCCCGAGAGCACGGGCTACGTCTTCACCGCCATCATGATCGGTGGGGTGTTGGGAACAGTCATTGGGGTTTTCCAGGACGATCTGCTGAAACACCCACAGTGGAGGGCCGACAGCTGGGCCCAGGACTGTTCATCAGGCCCGGCCCAAGGCGCATCTCGGCGCACCGTGACGGCCAGGTTCTACGCTGTCCTGAGGCGCCAGTTCCCCGTCGAGGCGCCCGAGTCCCGACTCTACTTCACCTGTCTCACCGCCGGCCTCCTGCCACTGGGCCTGTTCCTCTTTGGCTTCACCTCCAGGGAGACGATCCACTGGATCTGCCCGGCCGTCGCCCTCTGCCTCGCAAGCATGGGCATTTACAGCGTCTATCTTGCGACCTTCAATTATCTCGCCGACTTTTACCAAGCATATGCATCATCCGCCTTGGCTGCGCAGTCGTGTTGTCGAAACCTCCTGGGCGGTGTATTTCCCTTGGTCACACTGCCGCTGTTCGAGAACCTAGGAATTGCGAGGGCTGGCGCACTTCTCGGCGGGGTTGCACTTGGCCTGACCCTCGTGCCATGGGTGCTTGTATTCTTTGGTAGCAGGATCAGGGCAAGGAGCTCATTTGCAGTGGGCCTTGGAGAGGTACCTTGAGACAGGTGCCGCCAGACCCGGCATGTGTCCAGCGGTATCGAACGACCTAGGTACCAGGGAGGCATGCGAGGTCTTCGCGGGCATAGCGTTCCCAAGTGCTCTGGGAAATGTGAGCCGGTCCCGCCGATAACAACTCCTGCTGTTGAGACCAGAACAGCAACATGAAGCAGCCCGGGGGGCGACACCACGGGCGTCGCTGCAAGTCCCGGGCACGGAAATCAAGGGCCTTGGCATGGAGCAGCATTCGGAGTGTGTCTGTGGAAGTGAGAGTGGGGGAAGCCTGGTCTGGTCTCTGTAATTAAAATACTAGCGTGGGTGGTCTGCAAACGTCTGCGTAAGCAGGGCACATGGGTGAATGGAGGGCATTCACACAGATACCCTTCCAAGTTGTCTTGGTAAACATGCCAAAGACCGATGCCAGGATAGCTGGGTGGCAATCAAAGGCGAATCTGCACAAGAGGTTGTCCCATAGGGGGTTATCTTCTGAGGCTCCGGTGTACTGTCCGTTCTTGCGGGTGTGAATCTCCGATCATCATTAACATGTGCAACAGCCAATTGCCTGTGATCTGGTAGGTAGGCACATCCGATGGGACAAGAGCTATTCCATGCTGCTATGTAGCAATGATTATGGGTCTAGGTCACCATTCGGCGTGAGCTGTCTCCTTGGCGTGCCACTTTCGCCTAGTCGACGGTATCCCTGTCATCAGTTGACACAGGCTTTTGCTCAGGTAGTTGGACATCACTGAGGTGTCTTCTAGCCTGATCTAGTGCAGCCTCGCCGTCGAGATCAGGCTCGTTGGCGTCTGCCTTGTGAGCGATTGCATCTAGGTCCTCCGCCGTGTGTGAAGTGTACGCGAGGCTAGCTTCGGGCTTCAGAGTGCCGTCCTCGTTGACATCGTCCTTGAGATAGAGAGTGAACAGTATAGTGAGAAAGACCTGACCGGTGCTCCTGTTTCGGAGGACATATCTGAGTTGATGTGAGCGCTTCTTCCTGCACAAGCAAGCCATACACGTTAACCTAAGCAAGCCCATGACGACATCCCTGCAGGAGCGCAAATTCTGTTTGGGATAGCAGCCCCATGAGACAGAAGGAAGAGAAGATAAGAGAATGTGACAGAAAAGAATAAGACAACAGGAAAGAAAGACACTTACCTCAAGCCCTGACCGTCCCAGTACTTCATGATGGGGACGGCGTATCCAGGTAGTCTCAGTGTGAACTCGCTGAAGTCTAGGTAGGCGTTGAAAAAGTCGACCGAATATGTCCTCCCGTATTCCCAGACCCAGTCCTTCTTGCTTTCCTCCTGCAGGGCCCACTTCATTCTTGCCTTGGCATCCTCAGGAGCGCCTACGTCTTCTCGCCACTCCGAGTCACCGCCCTCCTCGACCCATAGCCCACCTTTAGACTCATCCATGACAGCCGGCCCAACCTGAAGCGCGCCAAGTCAGTTTTATAGAGCCGCGGGTAATCATAGCCAGGGTGGAGTGCCATAGTCCGGTGCAAGGGGGCTCCGTGCCGTGTGTGGTGTGGTGTGGCGTTGGGTGGGGGCACGGGATAGCAGTCACTGACGTGGATATGGTTGAAGGAGGATAATGCAGGCCCGTACAGATATGGCCTGTCAGCATAGGGGTCACCGTCCAGACCCGGGTCGATCCACCATTTCACGATCTTCATGGCATAGCTGAAGCCCGGTCTAGTGGTGATGTTAGTCTTGCTACGGATACTCGAGTGTTGCATTGGAACTCCAGAGCATAAAAGACGGGGATCTGTAACATGTGAAAAGTGATGCTTACGGCAGACGTTCTCGTATGGGGTGGTCAAAATCGTTACCGAATTGAAGGTCTAAGCCAGATATACCCTCTGCCTCCTGGTCGTCCGGGTCGATGTCGGCCTTCCTCTTGGCTTGAGCAGAATGTGGGGCCTTGGGGGTGAATTGGAAAGATATACTATACTGGTCCTTGTTCCTTCCGTGTGGCTCCTGGTCAAAGTAAGGTGAAGTCATCGGCGAGTTGCGCGGCAAGCCATGGTAATTCTGTATTCTGATGTTGAGTTCCACATCGATGTGCTCCGTCGAGATCTTGACTGGCGTGGGGCTGTTCACCGGGACCTCTGTATGGCTCGCCAGGTCGTATGATGGGCCTGCTGTAACCCTGAGGATATACTTGTCCGCCATGCTAGACTGCCTTGCTTCTTTCGGGCATGTGATTGGGAAAGAAGGCAGAGCAGGACGGCAGTGCATGTGTGCGTGGGTGAATGGAAGGCCCCGACTAGCTTGCTGCTTAGTCATCCAACATAGCCCCATTTACCCACCCACTTAAAAACCCTAGCATTTTTATTATAAGAAATTAAGACTACTTTATTAAAATTATATAATATATTTTTTTAAATAATATATATTAATATATTTAATATTAATTTTTTAAAATATAAAATAAAAAAATTATAATTATAATTATTAATTATATTTTTTTTTAATTTTTTATAATTTATTATAATTTAATTTAATTTAATTTAAATTATTATTTAAATATTTTAAATATTAATAACTTTTTTAAAAATAAAAATTTATTTTTATATAATTATACCTTTAATTATTAATAAATATTTTTATTTATAAATTATTAAAATTATAAATTTAAATATTATATATAATAATAAAATATAATTATTTTATTTAAAAATTATATTTTAATTTAATAATATAATAAATTAAATAAATAATTTTAAATATTTTTATTTATATAATTTATGAATAAATATTTGTTTATAAAATAAAGTTAAAATTTTAATTAAAATAATAATAATTTTATTTTTATTTATTTTAATTAATTTATATTTATTTAAATTAAATAATATTTAAATTAAATAATTTATAATTTATAATAATTTTAAATTTTAAGAAATTAATTTAAATTAAAGTTAATAATATTAATTTAAATTAATATAATTTAATATATTAATATAAAAAATTTTTAATAATAAATAATATTATAAATAGTTATAAAATTATTATAAAAGTTTTATATAATAAATTTAATTAAATTAATATTTAAAAATATATTATATTATATATATTTAAAACTTCTAATTATTTATTTTAAATTAAATAATAAAATTAAAAATAAATAAATAATTTATAATTTAAATTATAAAATTTTAATTAATAAATTATAATAAAAAATATTATTAATTTTTAAATTTTATTTTTATTTTTAATATAATATTATTTAATTTATTTATTATATATAATAATTAATTTAATTTATATATAATAAAAATTATAATAATATAAATTAATTAATTTATATATATATATATATATATATATAAATTTATTAATTTTATAATAATTAATTTATAATAATTTATTATTTTATAATATATATATATATATATAAATTAATATCTATTTATTTAATAATTATATTTATTTATTTAATTTTTTAATTACTTATTTAATATAAAAGTTTATATATAAAGCTTATATAAAATTATATACCTAACTAAGATTCTTTAAATTTTTAATACTTTTAATATAAACCCCTTCTAACACTCTTTCTAATATACCTTCTAATATACCTTCTAACACACCTTCTAGCACACCTTTTAACACACTTTCTAACATACCTTCTAATATATCTTCTAGTACACCTTTTAAGCTATATATATTTAAATATTAATTAAGTATTTAAATACTAACTAAACGTTAAAAAGCTAGAAGTTTAAAGTATTAAAAGGTTAAAAAAAGTATTAAAGGGTTAAAAAGAGTATTAAAAGGTTAGAAAAAATATAATTTTTACTTTTACCTTTTTAACTTCTAACCTTCTAATATTTAATTAATATTTAAATACTTAGTTAATACTTAAATATATATAAATTAAATAGTAAAGATAAAAGTAAAGATAAAAATAAAAATAAAAGTAAAAAGTATTAAAAAAGTATTAAAAGTATATTAAAAAGTATATTAAAAAGATTTATATTAAAAGTATTAAAAATTAAAAAAGAAATTATATTATAAAGTTTTTAATATTAATTTAAAAGGTATTTATAAATATAAAAAGTTATTTTAAAAACTAATATTAAATAAATAATTAATTAAAATTAAATAAATAAATATAATTATTAAATAAGTAAATATTAACTTTATATATATATATATATTAATTTTTATTAATAAAATATTTATTTAATAATATTTAAAAATTTTAATTTTAAAAACTTATTTAAAAATAATTAATTAATTTATTATATTATTAAATTAAAATATAATTTTTATATTTAATAAATAAATTTTATTATATAAATTTATTTTTAATAATTAAAAATAAAAATAAAAATAAATATTTATAATTATATTTATAATTATATAAAAGTTTATTAAAATTTTAATTTTAATTTTAATTTTAAATATTAAAAATTTATATAAATTTATTTATTTATATTAAATTAAAATTAAATAAAAAAATAATAAAATAAATTAATAAAATAAAAATTAATTTAAAAATAATAATATTTATATATTATTATTATAATATATAAATATTTTTAATTAATAAACTTATTTTAATTTTTTAATTTAAATAATTTTAAATAAAATATTTAATAATCTTACCTATTATTATACTTACTTCTAAGTATAAATATATAAAAATTAAGAGGTATTTATAGTAAACTTTTCATTTTGTAGCTGTGTTGGACGTTTATCCTTGCCCTATCTTTGTTCACAGCAACACGAGACCCAACCTTGCCCTAACCTTGATCGTAGAAACGTGAGACCCAAACTGGGGAAAACCTTTTGTCATGATGGAACGCCACCCTCAACAACGCATCTAGCGAGCAGACATGGCCTTGGTCACCAGCCTCTTGAGAGCCAACTCCTTCTTCTTCAGATCCTCCGCAGTAGACTCCTCCACCTCCAGAGCGGACATGGCCTCCGACAGCGTCTGCTCGATCTTGTCCTTCTGCCCACGCTTGAGCTTCAGCGACAGGCTGGGGTCGGACACGATCTCCTCCACACGCGTGATGTAAGACTCGAGCTGCTGCTTGGCCTCGAACCGCTTGCTGAACGCCTCGTCGTTGCTCTTGAACTTCTCGGCCTCGCTGATCATGTTCTCAATCTCCGTGCTGGAAAGCTTGCCCACAGAGTTGGAGATCGTGATGTTGGCGCTGCGCCCAGACGTCTTCTCCGTCGCAGTCACCTTGAGGATGCCGTTCACGTCAACCTCAAACACAACCTCCAGAACCGGCTCGCCAGCCTTCATCGGCGGGATCGGCGCAAGCGTGAACTCGCCCAAGCTTGTGTTGTCCTCGCAGGAGACTCGCTCTATTTCTGAGTGTTAGAAGCGTTGCCAGAAGGAAGCAGAAGAAGGGGACTTGCCTCCTTGAAAGACAGGGAAATTCACAGTTTGTTGCCTGTGGAAGGTGTCAGTGATGTCGAAAATGATGAGAAGGGGTCAAGGGAGGCTCAGGGGAGACGAACATGTCCGACACAGTGGTAAATGTCCTCTAGAAAAATTTTACACGTTAGCTGGCGGTGGCGACGACGACGAGGTCGACGAGATCGATGACGGTGATGCACAGATGGAACCCGTGATGTTGAACAAAAGAAAAGGTTGAACAAATGAAACAGATGAGCAAGTGAGATCCGTGGTGGTGGACGACGACCATGGCAGAGCCGGGTAACAATGATGAGCAAATGATGTTCCGGAGGGCCGTGGACGCTGGACGCTGGACGATGGACACTGGACGCTGGACAGTCTGACAACCGGTGGCAGGACAACCTCATGACCGGTGATAGGACAACCGAACACTGGAGGTAGGATAACCTCACAACCGGACAACCTCACAACCGGTGGTAGGATAACCGGACACCGGACAACCTCACAATGGGATGTAGGACTGCCAGACGTGGGGTGACCGGACGCTAGGCGGCCTCCCAACCAGATGGATGACAACCGGACGCAGGATACTCTCCGGGTTGACAAATGCACTAACATGTGGAGTAATCAAAGGCCGGTGGGAATGTTTGTACTCCCTGTGGCAGGGCGGGCCACACAGGAGGCCCATACTTACCTTAGCTCATCACGGGGCGAGTACGACAGAAGGAAAAGAAGTTGGGAAGGGAAGAAAAAGCTGTGCACGAACCTTGCGAAGAGCGGGGACGGTAGTACCACGAGGAATGACAGGCCTGCACACCACAAATTAATATCGGCTCAATTGAAATGATGAATGCATTAAGACTCACGCAAAGATGCGACCCTCCATTTCGACACCCAGAGAGAGGGGGCAGACATCAAGGAGCAGGAGGTCCGAGGTGTCGGCGGAAGTGGCCTTGCCAGAGAGGATACCGGCCTGCACTCCATGTTAGCAACCGAAACACCAAAAAATTAAGCAAAAAACTCACCTGCACGGCAGCACCGTATGCGACGGCCTCGTCAGGGTTGATGGACTTCTCAAGCTTCTTGCCGTCAAAGTAGTCGGAGAGGAGCTTCTGGATCTTGGGGATACGGGTGGAGCCACCGACGAGGACGATCTCGTCGACGGCGGACTTCTCCAGAGCGGCATCCTTCAGAACCTGAGCGACGGGCTCAAGAGTACCAGCGAAGGCCTTGGCGTTCAGGTCCTCGAAACGGGCACGGGTAATCTGCATGTTGAAATCCTCTCCATCGAACAGGGAGTCAATCTCAATGGTGGCCTGAGCACCGCTGGACAGGGTACGCTTGGCACGCTCGCAAGCAGTCCGGAGACGACGGAGAGCACGGGCATCGCCGGAAAGATCCTTCTTGGTCTTGCGGCTGAACTCCTTCTTGCAGTGGTCGAGGAGGTTGGTGTCAAAGTCCTGACCACCCAAGTGGGTGTCACCCTGCTATGTGTCAGTCATCTATGCTCAAAGTCAATGAGAAAATAGGGAAACGCACCGCCGTAGCCTTGACCGTAAAAACGCCCCCTTGAATGTTCAGGAGGGACACATCGAAGGTACCGCCACCCAGATCGTAGATCAGGACGTTGCGCTCCTTGTTGGACTTGTTGGAGCCGAGACCGTAGGCAATGGCGGCCGCGGTGGGCTCGTTGATAATACGCAGGACGTTGAGGCCGGAGATGGAACCGGCGTCCTTGGTAGCCTGACGCTGGTTGTCGTTGAAGTAGGCGGGGACGGTGATGACGGCCTTCTCGACCTTCTTGCCCAGCTTGGTCTCGGCAATCTCCTTCATCTGTTGCACCAATGGACATCAGCATGGAAGGTTTCTCAGGGCGGTCCTGTGTTGCGGCGCGCGCATACCTTGACCAGGACCATGGCAGAGATCTCCTGGGGGGAGAACTGCTTGGTCTCGCCGAGGTACTCGACCTCGACCTTGGGGCTGCCGTTGTCATCAACGACCTTGAATGGCCATGACTCCTGGTCCTTCTTGACGGTGGGGTCATCGTAGCGGCGACCGATCAATCGCCTGAGGGCGAGGAGCAGGTCAGTAGTTGAGATGGTAGCTGCAGGGAAGGGGTCAGGGGGGAAGGGGCGTACTTGACGTCGAAGACGGTGTTGATGGGGTTCATGGCGGCCTGGTTCTTGGCAGCCTCACCGATTAACCGCTCCTCAGCCGTGAAAGACACGAATGAGGGCGTGGTGAAGGAGCCCTGCTCGTTGGCGATGATCTCGACATTGCTGCCCTCGTAGGTGGCCACGCAGGAGTAGGTGGTACCTGTTGTTGTTGGTTGCAAGTCAGTGGTCTGTCAATGAGGCTGTTGTATCGCATGGGGCCGCGGCTCCTCGCCCTCCGACCAGGACTGGTGCGCGGCAAAGGGGTGCTGGCTGGAACGTACCCAGATCAATGCCAATGGCACCGTCGTAAACTTCTTCCGCCATTTTGGATGAGAAGAATGTAAGTTGTCGGAGAGGGGAAAGGGGGAGGTTTGAGATGGACAACTGCACGAGACAGGGCAAGTTTTCAGAGGGCGGGATGATGGGTTTTGAAGCGGTCGAAAACGTGGGGCTGGCGGCAAAAGAGAGTGCGCAGGAAATTTTGAAAATTTTCAACTGGGTGCACGAGCCAAGGGGTCCTTCACTCCTCGCTACCTAGGTGGGTGCAGCTGGTTTGTCCCCGCTTATCTTATCAGTCGGTGGAGTCCAAAGTACGGGGACTATCATGGGTACGGAGTATGTATGGGTGGACCATGACCGGCCCGCCCGCCTACCTGCTTACCTTAGAGCTACCCTGCTGATTTGCCTGCCCCTCCCCTCCGTCTAAGACAGTCGGCCTGTCTGTTATGGTCGACCAACGCTGTTTTAGTAAACTGTGTACCTAGACTTGTCAGGGCTTGGACGGTCGATCCAGACTACTTGTTCCTGTACTGCTGAAGCTGCCACCACCGCCATGCAGCCATGCCGCCACACGTCCATATGTTGGTACTACGTCCATGCACGGACGGTACTACGATGCCTGGATGCCTGGCTACCTACACAGTGGCTACCTACACAGTAGCTATCACATAACACACCCAGACAACACCATACATACATGCATACAGCAAGCCGCTTACTATTTGCCATACAGTCGCCATGACACGAGATGCAGAGATCTACTGGTACGTACGGAGCACACCAAGGGTTTACAGATGAAGGTGACTTCAAACCCGCTCGAGGCGGCTTGATCTAGTATTACACGAATTTTACTATGTCCTGCTCTTTCCCACTGCAGGCATACACACACCTGTACAGCTCAAGCCAAGTCTCAGCCGCTCTTTTACTTCAGCCACCTCCATATCCCAGCGCTGCACAGCAGAATAATTTTGAGGGCGAGATTGAGCCTGGGCTCGTCCTGCCAAACCACGAATGACCGAGCCTCGTCGACCACGCCCCAAAAAGACCGCCCTGCACCTCTAGCATGCTGCGTCCCATCCCACCCGGCCTTGGGGCCTCCCCTGCCGGGCTGCCAGGCACACACGCCGTCTGCAGAAGGAATCACCTACCAGGCGCGCCGCCACGGGGCAGAAGAGAAGACAGGCTCCTAGTACTGCTTCATAACATTCGCAAGGATGGTAATCTTCTCAAGCACCGCGTCGGAGCCGTTGGCCACCTTTTGCCCTTTCGGCAGCGCAGCAATCATCTGCAGTACAATCGTGTTGACGCCTTGGTGGAGCTGTGCATCGTACAGCAGTTCTCCGCTCTGGAGGGTGTCGCGTGGTGTTGGCACCCCGCGGGCGAGGGTCTGTCCGTTGACAACCACGTACAGCTTGTACGGGCGGTGCTGCTGCTCGAGGGCTGGCGAGACCTGTGGCACTATCTGAAGTTTCCATTGGTTGGCCCCCAGATTGACTGTGAAAGACTGCTGCAGCAATTTCGGATGGGGGGGTACGTTGAACACGAATTGCTTCTCCGCGCCGTTGTCGGATGGTGTACGTAGACACAGGTTGGCCAGAATTGCGTCCGACAGACCTGTGATCGATTCGAGTAAGAAGGGGTGTTCGTTAGCTATCATGGGATACAGACTTACCGATACCTGTACACCGGAATGTGGAGTCGTACAGTGCGGCCGCCTGTTGATGTTGTTGTTGTTGATGGTGTTGTTGATGTTGTCCAGTAATGTGTCCGTTAGCGGCGCCGGGATGCGGCGCCGACTGGCCAAGGCCACTGGCTGGGGGGAGTATCACAGGCCGGAACGCACTGGAGCTGTAGCCGTTGTTCACAGGTGGCGCCACAGTCGGGGATGCCCTGTTGGAATCCTCGCGCTTCATCACCGCAGATGGTGTGCCGGGCCCAGCGACCTCGACGAGGTTCGCTGTCGTTGGGTGGACGGGGGCGGGCCTTGAGGTGTTTCCATTGACAGCACCCTCGCCCGGCCCCTGCGCCGGGCTAGGCTGAGACGCTTGTGGGGCTGGGGAGCCTTGCGAGCCCTCCCTGCCGCCGCCGACGTGGATGGTGATCCGTTTTGGACGCCCAGACTGGGCTTGTGGCGTCTGCGCTGAGGGCGCTCTCAAGATAATCTTGGGTTGCGGCGGCTCTTCCACACATGCCTTGGCTTCATTGAGTTGCTCGTAGAAGGCGTCCTGGGATATGTTAGAGCCGCGGACAGTGTGTAAGGGTGAGGCATGCGTGCTGTTCTGGCTTACTTTTAGCTCCTTCGCCAGCTCGAATATCTCACTCCCCTCCTCGTTGTAGTAGAACGCGTTGTCCCAGAGAAGGCTCGCCTTTTCTTCCAGAGCGGCCCAGCTCTTGAACTCACTGACCCCTGTTGCTCCAGCTCTGCCAACCATGCCCTTGATGGCCCGCCAGAGCTTCTTTAATGACATGGGCTCGTCGATGAGTTGGTAGTAGTCTTTCAACGACTTGGGGGGCAAGTTGATAAAGGGCTCAAAGTATGGCCATTCATCACTGTTCTGTCAGCCAAACAATGCTTTTACCTGCGCGGGTTCTATGACGTACCCTTCTTCCTGGCGCGTCGACAACTCGTCCACCAGCTTCTCCTGAGCCTGCTGGAAGTTGAGACCTTGGTAGGGCACCTCTGAGAACTGTGCGGCGCCCTTGTTGTCGCTTGTCGACCGCGCGTCTGGGGTGCCCTCGGTCCCGCTCGACCGCGCACCACGTCTCTTCAGCACTATGCGAGTGTTGGATCCACGGCTGACGTCTGCGTCACCCTCGGCTCCGTCGGCGTCGTCGGCGTCGGCGTCGGCGTCGGCGTCGGCATCGGGCATATCCTCATCCTCGCCCTCGGCATCCTCCTCGTCGGCGGGGCGCTGGGGTTGCGGGGGCCGCAAGGGTCGAGGGGCCTCGTCGCTGGCTGCCAGTTCTGACGGCATGTCCTCTGCGGCAATCTCGGCGTCGATGTCCCAGTCTGGAGGGGTTGCAGCCGGGGTCGCGGCATAGTTTGGTATCTTCTTGTACGCCGGGTTCGTCTTGACCATGTAGTTGCTGGTGGCTTTCCTGACGCGCTCGGCGTCCTCGTACGTCTGAGAGCCACGCGAGTAGAATTCCTTTGCGTTATTGACCATGCGCTTCATCCAGCTTTCCAACTGGGTCATGCTCGCCAGCTCATGTCGGTACAGCCTGCGCTCAATGACCCGGAGAGATACTGGCATGTGAATCCTCCGGTAGTAGTCCTCATTGCCCTCCCTAGGCAGGAGCTTCTCGAAGTACCCCGCGACTCCTCGTCCACTGTTGCGAGGTCAGAATGTCAGAACCAAGACGGACAATGCACAATTGAGGCGCGCGTATCATGGGGTGCAACGGCGAGTCATGATGCGGCAGGTCGCGCGCGCCGCCCTGGCCGCAGTGCATGGCAAGTGTGGGATTCCAACGTACTGCTTGTCGGCCGTCTTCCGTATTGCTTCGAGAAAAGCCAGGCCGTACGCTGTGGTGGACTCGGGGGATTCATGCTTTGCCAGGTCTGGGAAGTCCTGTTTTGGGTGTCACCGTGGTTAGCCGCAACTTCGTGGATGCGTCTTCAACCTGCATGCGGTGCGAGAGAGTCGCGATGGTAACGATGCACGCCACGTTGGGCAGGGGCAAGGCAGAGGCAGATGGCATGCAAAAGGAAGCCCACGCGCCCGCCCTTGGGGTGGACGGACGGAGCCGGGCAGCAAGAGTGGCGGTCCAAGGCGCGTAAATGGGCCGCAAGGTACCTGCGCTGTCCCCAAGACGCATGCGTGAGCGACATGGGGATTCCGGTCCGGCGGCCTTGACAGACGGCGGTGGACCACGGCGTGGACCACCCGAGAGACAGAACCAATGGTAACCGCACACAAAGGGCAGGACAGGACCAGACTCACCGAAGGTAACTTGCGCCTCTTGGCTGCGGGCTCACCTCCGTCGGCGCCGCCTCCTCGGCCAGCCGCGCTCGCCTTGCGCTTGTTCTCCATAGCAGGAGACTGCAACGATGTCGGCAGTTGTTGTTGTTGTTGGTGGGGGAGGGGGCCGTCCGGATGACTGCTCTCAAGTGTCGATGGGTTACAGGACCAAGATCTGGCGGAACATAATATTGCTCGAGGCGTTGTCGGGGGGGGGGCGGTTTCCTGTCACGTCGCGCTGTTGGGAATCTCAGAGAGTGCAGCGTAACAGAAGCGCACGGCGGCGCCGCAGACTTGCAGAGCGGCCTGCCCAAGCCTGTTGCTCGCCTTCAGTGCCTAGCAGACGCGACGGCAATAACCCGGGGGGGCCTCCTCTGAGGCGAAGGACCGTACTGCTGTAGGAAGACGTGGCTACCCTTGTACGCGACCTGCAACTCGAACAAGCGTCCAACGTCGACCGAAGGGCCTGCAGAACGTGAGGAAAATGCACCGTTCCCAACCAAAGTGACTCGACGTATGGGCGTCTTTCTTTCTTCAAGTCAAATGAGCAGGCGCGCGACTAGGCCCGTCGAGCGGCTCCTCAGCTGCAAGGGAGCTCCCAGGGTCAGGTGACCTTGGAGGGAATCGGGGGGGGGGGGTTGGGTTTAAAGTCAGCCTTTGAACGCTTGGACCAGGACTTACTTTGCTAGCAGTCTCCAGGGTTTGTGTCTACCTAGGTACCTAAGTACCTAGGTACCTAGGTGCCCAGGTGCCCAGGTGGGTAGGAAGATATTAGATACCAGGGGAATGTGCAAGGGCAGACGAGGAGAGAGACAGTGCGCTCAGACACCCAATGCAACTGCCCACCCCCTGGCCCTCCCTGCTTTTCCCCTCCACATGCGAACAGTAGCACCCGGGAGTAAACAGAAGCGTCATCTCCTTCCCTCTACCCATCTCACCCGCGCATCCCCGCGCCAAGCTGCCGAACCAACGCCGTGTGTCTTTTTTTGCGCTCGCGACCACCACGAGGACCCCCCGTCCGCCTTCGCGCTCTCCTCCACCGACCGGGCTCGCTCTGCATCACAGCAAGGCCGGCACAATGGCATCCGGCTACGACATGGGCATCGACACGTCGCGTCGCAATGTCAAGCCGCGTCCTCTGACAGACAACGAGCGGGCGCGCCTGGAGGAGTTCCTTGAGTCGATCCACTACTCGTCCCGGTCAGTCATTCTTGCTACCAGCGCCGCCTTGTTGCCGTCCCCACTGACAACATGCCCCTTCCCCAGGTACTCGGACAGCGAATTCGAATACCGACATGTGCAGCTTCCAAAGGCCATGTTGAAGGCCATACCAAAGGAGTACCACGACTCCTCAAAGGGGACCCTGAAGCTGCTCTGGGAGGACGAGTGGCGGTCAATGGGCATCACTCAGGTATGCGACGCGTTAAAACGCGCCCAGCCGCACGTAACAGTGGGGACGCGACCACGTATGGGACATGGCTAACTCGCCTCTTTTGCCCCCATCTCGCAGAGTTTGGGCTGGGAGCACTACGAAGTTCACGAACCAGAGCCGCACATCCTGCTCTTCAAGTACGTCTGGCTCGGGGCATTCCCCCGGCGCGCCCTTCTCGCTCACCCTCCTCGGCGGAAACTCCTACCATTGCGCCCATGTGCGTCTGGTCCTGGTTCTTGCGCGCAGGCAGCTAACCTGTGCAATAGACGACCGCTCAACTACCAACCACCTGCACAATGAGGGGTAGTATGGGCCCGGTGGTTACAGCGCTTCGACGACACGTGTATCTTATCTCGCATTCTACAACTGCATAGCGATGGCCTGGCTCGGGACTTCCGGCCTGATGACTGCACTCTACCCTTTTGCCGATAGTCATGGACATTTTTGAACAACAGCAACAATCACAACATCGGTCTCCCACCCAACCGGTCCTTCATATCTGGTAGGTGGATCTGTCATCCTCGGCAACCCCGGATTTTTTCTCGGCTAGGCGTTCTCCTGGCATGGTGTACTGTGTGATAGTTTCTGCTTTGGGGGTTCTGGATCTTGCCTGGGAGGGTTTGGGTTCTTTTGTCTGCCTTCCTAGGCACCTACCTTATGGGCCGGCCTCTCTGGCGGTAGAGCTGGGGGAAGGGGCGGCGTATTTGGCCACGGTCTGTTGCGGTCCGTGTGGTCGCCGGAGTACATCGATTCCAGGCACGTGGAAAGGCTAGGGATCAGTAGTCAACTCCCAGAGACAGACAACGAATGAGAAGGACAGGGTTTCCAAGGCCTCACAGAGGGGTTTCTACCTTTGGCTTGGGTCTGGTGTGGTTGTGATTTCTAGGACTCGGCGGGCGGCCACTTGCGGCATCATCCCTCAACGTTCGCTTGTTCGCTTGTTCGCTTGTTCGCCTGTGCATGGCCGGATACCCCGGGGGCGAATGATTGCTGTTCCCAGAGGCGCCTCAGGGTGTCCTGCGATATCCCAAGGCTGCCTCGTTCAGCAGACGGGTCTCCAGCAGTGGCAGACTTGGCAGAATCATCTGCAGTCCTAATAAGCACGGCTTCACAATTGGCCGTTGGCGTATGCTCAGCTCATCCTGGAAGGGAGGGGGCTTCTGAGACTTCCTTGTAATGGGGAACCTTTTCGGTTGAATTTTGTCACGGATGCCCCTCAAAATACCTAGCACATGACGATGAATACCTACCCACCTCGGGCACCCAGGTGCATGGGAGGTAGATTAGTGTCTGGGACAGTGATACGAGGGTACATGGGCTGAGCCCGCTGCCGGACCCCCCCCCCCCACCTGCATCCTAAATAAAGTGGCGGACCCGTTGACTGCTAGCGCTGCAGCATGCGCCGTGCTCCAGGGGGCGGGTGAGTCCGCTTGGGCACAGCGGTCTTGGCCAGTGAATCTGACAACAACAGCGCGACATCATCCCACTTCGCATTTGGACACATTGTCATTTCATCCGGGACGTTGCGGTTATTAATAAAGCATACAGGCGCCTCCTGAGCTGTGGTTTCTTTATTCCTTTGGCTGGAAAAGGGCCCCCCGTCTTACTGCACTTCATCCTGAAATACAGACGTGTCCCTCCTGACGAGTTTGTGTTTGTGCGCGCGCTTTGTTGTTACTCTTCTATTCATGAACATATTCGGAGGCTTTATAATCACCACCTGCACCTGTACTTGCACCCTACCAGCCCAGCCAGGCGTCATCCAGCAGAGGTCGTAACTGTGCCGCAACCCGTCCGAGAAACACAGAAGTATAGACTCTGTGAGGACTCATTGCAGAGTCCACGGTCCAACGACGGCATACCTGCAACCTTTTCACGGCCCTTGGCCGATGGCCAACGTCCCATAGCCCACCTCCTGCAGCCGGCAGCCCGACCACCTGTAGCAACCCGAAACGAAACGCGAAACCAACAACCTGGGAGCCATCCGACCCCCATCGTTTTTACCACGACACCTACATCCATCATGAGAGCTGCTCGGCCCTTTTATCTCTCTCTCTTTGCTTTATGGGGCCCGGTTGCTCACTGCCAGAGCCAAGGGCAAGATGACTGTGCAGTATGCATATCTACCACTCTTGGCCTGCTGGCTGGTCTCAGCAGCGTCTCCAACATATCGATTAGTAATCTCTAATGCTTCCCAACCTCCCCAGATATCACCCAAGACCATCGTCTCCGACGCCTGCGCGTCGTATTCCACGCTTGAGGACCTGAACCGCAGGGTCAAACCAGCTGTTGAGGACCTGACCCACTCGACCGACTTCTTCTCCCATTACCGACTCAACCTCTTCCACAAGACATGCCCGTTCTGGAACGACGAGGACGGCATGTGCGGCAACATCGCCTGTGCCGTGCAGACTCTTGACAACGAGGAGGACATACCCGAGGTGTGGCGGGCCCACGAGCTCGGCAAGCTGGAAGGGCCCCTGGCGAAACACCCAGGCAGGACCATACAGCGGGAGCGCCCTGAACGACCGCTCCAGGGCAAGCTCGGCGAGGATGTTGGGGAGAGCTGTGTGGTTGAGTACGACGACGAGTGCGACGAGCGCGACTACTGTGTTCCCGAGGACGAATCCGCCTCGTCAAAGGGCGACTACGTCTCACTGCTCCAGAATCCGGAGAGGTTCACTGGCTACGCGGGCATGGGCGCGCAACAGGTCTGGAACGCCATCTACCGCGAAAACTGCTTCCAGAGGAGCTCATTCCCTCACACTGCTGCGCTAGGCCAGTCCTCGCCAGCACACGGCCCAGCTGCGCTGGACTTCAGGCAGGTCATGGAGGCCGCCGGCCGCCAACAGCTGCTCGAGGAACACCGCGAGCAGAGACCCAACACGCCCTTTGTTGCGAACACGGGCCTTGAAGCGGAGGACGAGTGTGTCGAGAAGCGGGTCTTCTACCGGGTCGTGTCTGGGATGCACACCAGCATCAGCACGCACCTTTGCTGGGATTGGATGAATCAGACCACAGGCCAGTGGCAGCCCAATCTGCAATGTTACCTGCACCGGCTTCACAAGTTCCCCGAGCGCATCAGCAACCTGTACTTCAACTACGCCCTGCTCACCCGCGCGATTGCGAAGCTGGGCCCTCACCTCCAGGACTACACCTTCTGCACTGGCGACCCGGACCAGGACGCGACAACAAAAAGTAAGGTCCTCGCGGTGACGCAGGCTTCCTCGTCCGTCCCTGAGATCTTTGACGAGAGCCTGATGTTCAAGAATGGCGAGGGCCCTTCTCTCAAGGAGGATTTCAAGAACCGGTTCCGCAACGTGAGCCGCCTGATGGACTGCGTCGGGTGCGACAAGTGCCGGCTTTGGGGCAAGCTGCAGACAGCGGGATACGGCACGGCGCTGAAGGTTCTCTTCGAATTCGACAACGACAGCGAAGACATACCCATCCTTAAGCGGACCGAGCTGGTGGCGCTGTTCAACACGTACGCGCGACTGACCTCGAGTTTGGATTCAATACAACGGTTTAGATCGATGGCTGCACAACTGGAGGCGAAGGAGGCAGAGGTACCCGAGAGGGACGCTGGCGGTGGCCACGTTACAGTCCCGGACCGGGCGAAGAAGCCGCGTCATGTGATAGTCGAGAAGACGGACAGGGAAGAGAAGCGGTCACCTGGGCTGGGCACTGTGCTCCACGAGGAGCTCGACGGCGTGAAACAGGCGTTCGGGTCAATTTTCAGGAGCTGGGCGGAGCTGCCAGCGTTGATGTAAGTGACCGGCTCGCGGTCGAGGCTCGGAGCCTGTGCTGACCACGAAGCAGATGGCTATTCGTAAAACAGGAGGCCCGGTACCTGTGGCAGAACTACATCGGCCTTCCTGTCACACCGCGTCGCTGGAAGCTTGCTTGGAGGGAGGCGGGTGGGCCCTCGATAGACTGGCGGGAAGCGGACGAGTTGTAGGACGGGGCCGGGGAAGCCCAAGGAGATGATCTCATCTGGAGAGTCTGTCCGGTGTAGGGACGCCCAGGAGGATGACGCCCAGCAGTAGCAGAAGTAGGAGAAGGCACAGCATGGCCAGCTGCAGATTGCGTGCAAACAACCTCGATGCGCTGCATTGTGCCACGCGGGCGGTGGGTCGGGTGGGCGGAGGCAGGCAGGCAGGCAGTAGTGAGTTGATGCGGCAATATACCTGTCACCAGGAAGTAGGATGCCGTCGCAGGAATGTGTATGGGCTCGGGTTGTGACACTGTGAAGACACACACACGGGGCGTGGTGAATCCGCTCAGATACAGAAAAGCCCCCCGCCACTACCACTCCCGCCCCCACTCCCGCTCCCGCGGCCGCCCGTGCTCGCAGGTTCTCGCAGGGCAACGTTGTTTACAATGTTCCCGATCTTGACCTTGACGCCGTCGACCGGGATGCTGATCTGCGAAAGGATGGCGTGGCGGAACTCGGGGCGCGAGAAGACGTCGGCGGTCCTCCGGGTCAGCTCAGGCGTCGGGGCGGCAAACGACCAGGCGATGGAAACGTGGAAGGCATCGGCGGGTGGGTTGCTTGGGCCGTGGGCGGAAGCCCGGGGGGCGTAGAGCTCCGGCTGGCCGTAGGATGCGACGAGGCGATTGTAGGTGCACAGCAGGGCGGATAGCTCGCGGTTGGACCCGCCCGGGCCGCGCACGCGCAGGACAAGAAAGGAGCGCTCCGAGTCCGGGCTGCGGTGCCAAGCCAGGTCGTAACAGACCAGGGCAAAGGCGGGCACGTTGGACCGCGGGGTGTCTCGGACGAGGCGGTCGAGGAAGGGGTCCCTGTCGAGTGTGGGCAGGACGAAGGGGCGGGACAGGCTGACGTGCAGGGGCAAGGGGGCGCCGAGCTCCGAGGTCAGGAGGCCGGCCAGGCCGTGTCGGGGGAGCAGGTGGGCAAGCTCCCGGGCGAGGGCGTCGAGGAGCGACTGCAGGAGCTGGTGCTGTGAGGAGGAGGGGTGCCACTCAAGGTAGATGTGGCTGGGCCAGCTGCCGTCCTTGTGGGGGATGGTGCGCCTCCTGCCCTGGTGCAGGCTGGGCAGGTCCGCGGTTGCGGCTCGCACGGTGGAGGCGTACAGATCGTGGAACTCGGGAGGCAAGGGCGGCAGGGCTGTTGCCTGGTGTCCCGGTTCAGACTCGGACTCGGGGCCAGACTCGGGGCCAGACTCGGGGCCAGAGCCCGAGTCGGAGGACGGGTAGTCGACCAATGCCATGGCTGTCAGGGTCACGGCCACGGCCTGTCGGAGCTGCGTACACTCAAGTAGGTATGTAGTATGGGGACGAAGCAGGATGAGCCCAGCCCTGTCGGTGGGGCAGCGGGGCCAGCCCAGCACATGTGCAGCTGCCTACTGTGGGTACCTAGGTACCTGGGCACCTGGGCACCTGGGCACCTGGGCACCTGGGCCATGACGTCGGGCTCGTACTCGATCGACCCTGGCTGGGCCCTGGAACGGCAGGCTCGGGTTCACAGGCCTGGGTGCCAGCGACTTCTCTAAGTTCTAGGTTCCAGGTTGCGTCACTGCCTCACAGCCAGCCTGGGCAACTAGGAATTACGCAATGCCCTGCCACGCCTACTGTGTAGACGACAACCTTGGAGGTTATAACACTTGGCCGTGGCGCACCTCCCCTCTGTCCCGCCTCGCCCGTCTTGCCTTGCCAGTGCAATCCTCACACCTCCAACCACAGTAAACCGCCCTGTTGCGAGAGCTCCACCTGCCCAAGATGTCTATGCGAGACCCTCCGCCCTCCTACGACGGTGGTTTGCGCCGCTCAAAGTCGGACCGCGCCCATCGCCGCCCGAAACCCAGAAAGTACGTCGCGGACACCATTGACAGGCTGGACACCAGCCCTTTCGGCGGGCCCTACCACCATGGCGGGCCCTACGATGCCACCATGAAATCCTTCAACCTCAACTCCAAATTCTCCCCTGTCGCTGCAGTCCGCGAGAGCAACCGCGCGGCCTGGAAGGCTACCCCTCGCGAGGCAAAGCTCGACGCGCTTCTCAGAGGCAGGCCGCTCGACGCCACCGCCAGTGTCCCCCCCGGCGAGCGTGCCCTCAACGGTGAGCTCATGGACTACGAGTATAGCACCGACATGCTCAGGGACCCCCTTGCCGGCGGTGGCCCCTACAGGCGGTGGCCCGGAGTGGTAAGCCCGGCCTTCTCCTTCACCACCCCCATGCCTGCAGGCCCCGCGCAGGCGCCGTGTGAAGTTCTCCGTGCATGTGCTGATGCGGAACCCAGGAATACCACCCGGACGACCTCAAGGGGAAGGGGGAGCCCGGCTTCACCTTGGACCGGGAACGGCGGGCCAAGGAGGCTATCTCACGGTCTCAGTCCGTCCGTGAGAGGCCGGGTGAGTATGAGTTGGTTCCCCAGCGGCCTCATGGTGGCAGCGACATGTCAAAGGAATCCGGGCAGCCTGCCATCTTGGTTCGGCAGCGGAGCAGCAGTGCTTCTGCTAGTTCAAGCCGCCCGAGGGACTTCGTCGACGGTTTGAAGAGAAGGGTCGGCAGTCTGCGGCGCAGGTAATAGTTCCACCGGGCTAAAACGGGTCTTATTACTTGTCCACCCTCTTCTCCCTCGGTGGCATCAGGATATGCTGCAATGCTCACAAAAGCGGGCCGTCCGTGGCGGGCCGTCCGTGCCATCGGATCGTTGTTGTGATCATGGTCAAGAGCCTTGAATGAACCTGCGCGCCTGTGAAGTAAGACACCTTAGGAAGCGAGGCGTGCACGGGTGCTCACCGCTCTGCACGCACTTCTACATGCAGCGCTGCGGCTGAAGGGGAGTTCCGCCGTCATGGCACACGGCAACCTGGAGTAGATCGAGATATTGGTGTCTGTCCCTTCTTTGGAACCCAGTCTGGCGTGAGCAGTTCAGGGCCTCTGTGGCTTAGGTTCCCCATCGACCGAAACCTAGCAAAGCACACTTCCGCGGGTGGTACATACGGGTTTCATGCTGCCGGGTTGAGGCAGGAATACCTTTACAGAGCGTGAGTTCATGACTACACGGTATCGACCACACCAGTTGTGGAAGTCACGGCCTAAGAAACACACGTGGGCCTCAGCTAGCACGGACCAGGGTAGCAAATGTCCAAATATTTAAATACCTTATATCTATCTTACTGTTTACTATAGCAGCTTTTGTAGAGTATATAAAGAACTTCCTTTAATTAAATAATTTAATAATTTATAAAATAAAAAAAGTTTCTTTTTATTTTTTATAAAAAAGTTTAAAATATAAATTAATTAATTAACTTAATAAATCATTAACTTAAAACTTTATTATATATTAATATATTTATACACACACACACACATATATATATATATATATATAGTAGAGGTAGGACTTATTATAACTTTATACCGTTATACCTAGCTAGAGCCTAGGCCAACAGCTGACGTCATCCTAACTGTGCCTTAGTGACGGTACGGTACTTGTAACTGCTAGGGAATGGCCAATCGCCAGATTGGTTATTATGGCCTTTTGGTCAGGCGGCAGAGCATGCGACCTAGCAGTCACGCACCCATTGCAGCCTTCACTTTTTCTGACCTGCGACCACATCAACTGTAAATTGTTCATATAAACCACTGACGACTCGACTGACCATAGATAAATCATGGCGGCGCCAGGGGAAGAGCTGTGGTGAGCTTCTATTTCTTCGCGCAAACCCTCACGTAACTGAGATGAGCCCCATAGGTCCCAGCTTCCCCTTGTCTCCGATGTCATGAAGCATCCTGCCTTTCCCACGGCGACCTGGCACCTGGAACCCACGCGCGCCGGGCTGCTGTCAGTGGCAGAAGGCCGCGGTGGTCCTTTGAAAGTATCATGGGCGATCCATGGCCATGGGGCCGTCAAGCTAGTTGTATGTGCACACCCGACGCCCAAGATCAGCCCACTCCGTCCTTCAAATGTTCCCTCACCCTGAGAGTCTCCCCAACCACCCGTGGGCATTACGAAATGCTGAAAGCTGCCCGTCCGTAGTTCTTGATGGGCCTGGGCTCATTCCAGTCGGCCTGGCAGCGACAGACCCTGTACTTCGGTCACGAACACGGCGACAAGTACTCTGTGCTTACAATCGACAATCGCGGCATGGGCGGCTCTGATAAACCTCTAATGCGCTATTCAACCAGCGAGATGGCAAAGGATGCTATTGAAGTCCTGGAGCATAACGGCTGGCTCCCACCCGGCGTGCTCTCCCCTCAGTCACGGCACACCCAGCCTCCGCCGGAGCGGACACTACATGTGCTGGGAATCTCCATGGGTGGCATGATCGCACAAGAGGTTGCATGCCTTGTGCCCGAGCATATCAGAACGCTGAATCTGCTGTGTACTGCTGCGGCGATCGAAAACACCACCACTTTCTGGGAGAACATGGTACAGCGCGCGCAAATGTTGGTTCCGAAGAGTCTGGAAGCCAGTGTCAGGAGTAGCGCAGCAAATATGTTTCCACTACCCTACCTAATGGGGACGGACGACATTCACTTGCCCGATCCCAGCGTAACGCCAAAGGTTCTGCCTCCCGGCGGCAAAGGTGGCCAAGGCGAGTATTTGCATTTTACCACCAATTACGAGAGGTTCGTGGCAGGGGAGATGCACAAGCGCCTTGACACCGAGGGTTTCACTACAAAGGGGTTCCTCCTCCAGCTCATTGCCGCAGGTTGGCACCATAAGAGCAGGGAACAGCTCAGGCAGATGGCCGACAAGGTTGGGCGTGGCCGAATTCTAGTCCTTCACGGAGAGGCCGACAGGATGATCTCCATCCCCCACGGGAGAAAGCTGCTAGAATTTCTCGGGGGAGAAGCGGGACCCGGGCTGATGGGTGTCTTCGTTCCACACATGGGGCATGTACCCCCTTTGCAGCGCACCGACTGGTTCCATGAGCTCATTGAAGAGAGGATACGGAAGGGCGAGGGGCTAGATCGGCCAGGCGAATAGGCTGAGGCGAGGCGCCGCCGTACAAACCAGTCCATCTTCTGTCAGCTATTCATGACAAAGCACATTATACATTGTGCGCCATCGCACATGTGCTCACTGGACTAGCACATTAGTCTGATGGATATTTCATTCGCGGGTCCTGTCAATGCTCTACGCCTGCCTGGTACGTGTGAACGTAGCAGTTTGGGCCTGCCCGCTGCCTCTTCTTGGCCCCCATCTCAGAGCATCACGAAGCCCACTCCGCTGAGATGGTCCTCGTCTGCCCTGTTCTGGTTATCGATGCCACCGGCAATGGGCTTCGCGCGGTAATTGAACAGATAGTAATGCAGTTGCCCGTCGCCTGGGCCAAACTTCTGCTGTTCGAGGAACAGCGTATTGTCCATTAGCGACAGCGCGTTGAACACGTCGAACTTCGCCCTCTTGGCAAGGATCAATGCGTCATGGATAAGCTCGTTCAAACGCTCCTTCGTGGCGGCTTTGTTGAAGGGCGCAGTAAGGCCAACTTCGGTACCGTAGTAGAAGAGGTAAGCCACCCGCACCACTTTGTGCCGTGGGTTGTTGATGACTGTGGACTCTAGGTTGTAGAAGGAGAAGAAGTCCGTGATCTTGTGGTTCTCGTCCTGCAAGATGCAATCAGCAAAGGAACAAGATAGGGTAATTTCGAACCGGTGAGTGAGCATGTGTGTGTGCGCGCGCGTGTGATGGCTTACCTCGACCACATATGACCAGACAACCTGCTCATCGCCTTCAGCCCTTGGCTGCAGAAGCCAGTGCGCCACTTCACTCTCATCCCATTCAGGGGCCATATCGAAACGATCAACGTAGTTTTTCATCAACTTGTGCACCGCGGGGACGTCTTCTTTTGTCATCTCTCGCAGGCCTTTGGTGGCTGTCTTTTCGGGCAAAGTGTACTTGCGGATCTGCCACTCGGGCTTGCTGTTTGGTGGGAGTGGGCTGAACCCAATGTCGTAAAGCTTCTTCCAATCCAGCGCCCGGTGGTAGTACCGACAGGTGCTGACGGGCTTGGGAAGCACAATGCCAGCGGTGTACACGCCCTGCCATATCTCCTGCAGGTTAGAGCGACGCGTGACCTCCTTGATGAGGATTGGCGTGAGGCGCTTGTTGCGGAGCTTCTTATGCACGCAGAGAAAGTTGACTTCAGAGGTACGGATGATGTTCTTTCTTAGGCGCAGATTGACGGGCACGGCGGATATGAAGGCAACGAGGGGCTTCTTGGTGGGCAGGCGGCAGTCGCGGATGCCGACGTGCCACTCTGGGGACCAGCCTGGGGACATGAGGGCCCTGTAGTTGGTTGGAAAGCGATCAGCGCTGGTGCTCTTGCTCGCTTAAGCTCGTGTAGCTGGCGAGTGGCTCGGGGCTGCCCACAACTTACCACTTGAGGATTGCAGTTCCGTAGTTGAAACGGAACATGGACTCGTCGTCCTCGACGTAGTGGCCGTTCAGTAGCTGGTAGACCTCCTTGATCTCGTCGTCCTTTGTCAGGTCCATGGTGACCCACTCGAAGCCCTCGATCCCAAGCTTAGGTGCTTCCTTGGGGACGTCATCAACGGTCTGTATCTTAAGAGGCCCTTCCTCGAAGTCCTTGGGCATCTCCTCGTCGAAGCGGGGCACGGGCTGTGTTTTCCAGAACTTGTAGCTTGCCATGTCCTTTGCGTTCTTGCCGCTCAGAGCCAGGCCGGTCATGACCTCGTCGAGGGAAAGCTTCTTGAAGGCCTCTGCAGCCTTTGCGGAATCGCCGTTGTAATCTTTGAGAAGCGCCGGGTTCCGCGAGATCAAGTCCTGGAGGTCGTGCTGGGGCAGCTTGTCGAGCACGGATTTCACCTGGGCCATCTGGTCGTCTGGCTTTCCGGTCAGGGCTGCCTTGACCTTCTTCCTTTTCGACTTCTTCTTCTTCTTGCCCGATGACCCGGCCTCTCCTCCATCCTTGCCGTTCGTTTCGACATCGTCTACCTCGTGATCATCGTTGTCGTCGTCGTCGGGAACGTCCGCAACCTCCTCATCTGCACCAGCTACGGCAGGTCGCTTGCCCTTGTCCAGCCCCGTTGCATTTTCTGCTGATGCACTGCCTGCACCGGCCTCCTTGGACTCTGTGCCTGTCATGTTTCCCCGGTGTAATAAGGCACTGGTGCACCTATTCGCGGTGTGGTGGTTTGGAGAAGCTGCGAGGTGAAAGCCTTGGGCTTACTTGGGGTAGACGTGGAGAGGCCAGCCGGACAAGGAAGCAAGCAGGCAAGCAAGCAAGCAGTCGCGCAATCGTGAGAGGGGCTCGTGTGGGGCGAGTTAGCTAGAGACCCACCATAGCACTCGCCATAGGGTCTATAATTACAGTCTCTAGACCATCTCTTTAGCTCTAAAAAATACCTTACATAGTCTCTGATACCTTAGAACTATTTCTTTATTAATACTTCTAAGTAATAATAGCAATAATAAAATATATTAATATTTCTCTTTAAGATTAAAAGTATTTTAAAAAAAATTTTAAAAAAAAAACTTAAACTATTTTTATTTTTAAATATAAAAAGCTTTTAAAAGTCTACTAATATTATTTTACTTAAATCTCTATACTTAAAGTGTATACAGCTCTATAGTGCTTAGGTGCCTAGCTGCCTAGGTAGTAGGTACCTAGGTTTAGCAGGTGCCTAAGGAACACCCCCTCCTTTCCGTTCATGTTTCCGCCTTCACATGTTGCTGCGTCTTTTCTCTCTCGTAGAAACGACGTACAATTACCTCCGGCGGCGGGCTAGCATCAGTAATTCTCCTTGGACCTTCAACCAAACCACAGACAAGACAGAAGATAAGCAATGGGAAAGCCCATGTTCCCCAGCGCGTCGCCTGATTCCGACGCTCTGTCCCTGCACACACAACAACCTGGAGACCAGTATTGTGATGCGGGTGGACCGAGCCTGTTCGACACCACACATGGCCACCACGACCTGCCTCCCATATACGAAGAGGTGGCCGAGGCAGGCGCAAGCACCGACCAGAACGCCCATCTGCTCTCTGATGCCACCCTGCCTGGTTATTCTTCGTCTTCGGACCTGCAGCCCTTCTCCCGCGATGCACAAGCTGCCCACTATCTGTCGGCCGACCTAGATTCTGACCCAGACCTGCTCGAGACGTGTGTCCGTAGCTGGGCAGCCGTCCCTCCGCGTCCATTTGTACGCATATATGGGTACCACCGTGAGCAGCGCAGCGGCCGCGACGGGAAGAGGGAGAACAAGAACATTACAGACTTCGACGTTAAGGTTGAGCTCACGCCTTACCTCTTCGCCGACGCGAGCAATAGGCATGCCTGGTCCGAGCTCCGTACTGTCGAGAATGGCGACAAGGTCAAACGCGGCACCGTCTTCGCGCGCCGTGCGCCAAAGGCCATGGCCAACATCGAACTGGGCGCCCTCAACAAGCCAAACTTGACGCAATGGTGTCACCTGTACGTCGCTTCGCATTCCGGATTGAAGTCCTTCTCGCTGAGGCGAAGAACGATGGGCTTCGACCAGGCTCGACTGAGGGAACAGCTGGAGACCCTCATAAGGCGGATGAATTACAAAGGACACCTTGAGGTGTCCTTCCCAGTACAGGACCACAACGTCCAGGTCTGGAACAAATGCCGGATAAACCAGTGGAGACTGAACAAGTGGGTTTTCTTCTTGTTCTGCGTGAGTATGCTGTGGTTGCTCTCCTGGCCCTACCTATTCTTGCGGACAAAGACATTCGACACCGTCACCGCATATTGGCATTTCTCAAGGGTAGATTCCGAAGGGCGCAAGAGGTATGTTTCGCTCTCTGAAGACCAATGGTATAACGTGTGGGCAAGACCCATCGCAAAAGCGGTTTTATCAAAGAGGCAAGGTGTCCTGGATCAGCAGGATTTGGTCGCAGCCGATGATGCGAACCCGACCTTCAACACTGGTCATGCGACAGTTGACGGCGCACTAGACTTCTTCAGGGCCGGGGCCAATGCAATGAACGAGGTCAACCGGCATCTTGGATGGGGTGAGGACCAATTCTAATACAGTTTTACTAGTAAGAATTTATTAAATTATATAAAATAAAGGTAATTAGTTTTACTTTTATTTTAATATTTAAGAAAATATATAATAGTTTTATATAATAATAAATATTAAAATAATTATTATAAAAATTATATAACTTATAATATTATAATTTTAAATAAAGTATATATATATTTATAAGTCTTAACTTAATGTTAAAGATCTGTTATTATTATATAAATAACTTAATAACTGCTATAGCTTAGGACTGTTGGAACCTAGCTTTTAGTTCAAGCATGTATGCGAAATGATGATTCGAGTGTCTAATCAAGGCCAAGGCTGCCATGGCCTCCTGGTACGTAGGGGACCTCAATAAAACCTCAGGCTGTGGCACCCCTTGCGTCAAAGCTCCCACCCCTGATAGCGAACCCGAGCACCCAAAGTACTCTATTGTTGTTCCTCAGTTTCTTTGCGGCTTACGCTCGCAATGAAATTCTGGTACTGTTCGTCCTCATTGACTGGCCTCCTACCACCGTGCTTCGTCCCGTGAGGTTTCGCAGACAGCTGCTTTATTGTTTTGTCCTTCTTCCATGTGAGGCCCTTCCTCCGTATATCCGGGTCCTCAGTCTCAGGAGTCGCGTGATTCGAATCCTCGGCTTTAGTTTCCTTCTCAGAGCCGTGACTGTCGTCCTTGGAATCCTTCTCAGGCTTCGGAAGTCGCATTGCCAATAGAACGTATTCTGCACGCGTCATGTTGTCCATCACATCCTCCATGTAGCGCTTGACCTCTTCCTCCGGTGCTACAACCTTCGAGAAGTGATCCAGGGTTCTGGGTTGGGATGACGACATCCTAATTGTCACGGGTTGATAGTAATCGAGCTTCGGGTCGCCGCCGTATTCAGAGGTGCTCCCTTTCCTGACAATGAGGAAGGACGCGATGACCTGTGGTCCGCTCGGCGTCTGAACTTGCTCCAGGATGCTGAACCTTGGGAAAAGATATCGATCGCCGTTCCCGCCGCCAAACTCGAAAACAAGAGCCGAGACATCAGGCTTCACCACCGGAGGCGGACCTTTAGAGCGAAGGGCCTGCTGCGGAGGCGGGGGCTGCGGCGCTTGCTGCACACCTGGCGAGTGATTGCCTGGTGTTCCGTTGGGCCTGACAGGTGCACCCGCGGATTGGGGCTTTTGTTGCCCGAAAAGGTCCTTCAGACGATCTAGTGTCTCCTTCAGGTCGGTAGCATCGGAGAACTCGGGGTTGTTCTTGGCTATGCGTCGCACTCTGTCGAGGGTCCTGGGGTCGTCCAGTGCATTCTTGACCAGCGCGACAACCAGGGGATCACTACCCGAGGGTGGCGCTAGATCAGCAGACGTCTGTTTCGGGTTTGACCTGAGTACTATGGCAATGATGGCATCCACTTCATCAGCGAAATAGCGGACACTCCTCCCGTCAACGAAAAGCCGGTCCGCTGAGGGGCCCTTGAGTGCTCCCTTGCGCTTGCTCTCTGCAGTTATCTGGTCAATTATTGCCTGGAAGCGGGCGAGCTCGTCTTTGGGAGCGTTGCCGTTGGCTACCCGCTTCATCAGATCTCTTAGTTGAGGGTCCTCGTTCGCCTTCTCGGCCAGAGTGACGATGATGGGATCCGCGCCGGCCGGGGGCCCAGGGCCTCGGTTCGGAGGATTTTGAGGATGGAGCTGGCGCGAGCTGCCTTGTGGTGGAGTAGACACGCCGGTCATTGGGGCGGGGGCGGGGACAGGGCCTTGGGGGAGGAAGGCGCTGGTAGTCGGGGCTACAGCCGAGCTCAACGGTGCCGGTGATGACGATGATGCCGGCGGGTGAGGCACCTGGGGGACCAGGGGACCCATAGAGTTCGAATTTGTCGCGACCGGTGCTGCCGGGGCTTCAGGAAGGGGGGGTGCAGAGCCAATCGCACGAGGGGACGTGCTCGGTTTCGTCGTGGGCGGGACATGAGCGACCTGGGGAGCTAGAGAGGGCAGCTGTGCGGCAGGCGGTGCCGATGTCTGAGGAGCCGCAGAGGACGTGGTCATGGATGTGGAAGCGGACGGCACCGGCGCCGGGGCAGCCTGTGTCCGATCAGGCGCGGGCGCGGGCGTAGTTGAGTGCGCCGCGGTCTTGGACAAGGGCGTAGGAGGTGGAGGCATGGCACCATTAGGGGGGCCATACTGCAGGATTGGGCGAAAGACAGGCTGAGGCGCAGGCCTGTTCGGGTCTTTGACAGCATAGACGGTGGCCTCGAAGTAGTGCGGTTCAAGGGAGATTGTGACCTGCCCGACCTTGGCCATGGTATCCTTGGGGGGGTTTTTGGCATCTTCCTGCACGACGCCTTTCTTCTTTGTCGGTTTCGTCCAGTACTTCTCGAAGAGGCCATCGCCGATCCATCTTTGGCGAGAACGGGAGAGCGACTCGGCCAGGACGCCGCTGTGAGAGACAAGGTCAGGCATGAGCCGGGTTAGGCGGTGGGGAGGGAAGGGGCAGCTACCTCTCTTGTATGGACTGGAAGTCTTTCTGGGGGGGAGTTGCAGATTGCGCAGCACCCTCAATGGTCGGTAGAGGCCTGCCTGGGTGGATGGAGGTGGGCAAGGGGGGAGGAGGGGGCTTCTGAGGCTCGTCGACGGGGTCTGGCGCAGGAGTGGAGTTGGGCGCGCTCGATGGGGTGGCGGGAAGGATATCGGGAGGCGTCGAGGTCCTGCTCTTCTTGGCGGCCTGCTCGACGCGCGCAGCAGCACGTGCCGGCACCCTCCTCTTCCTTTCCATGGCGGCGAGGGAGAGGGAGGGTGAGGGTGTGAGGACGAGCAGTCGGCGTGGGCGGGAGGACGACAATGGCGCGTGAACCGCAGCCCAGGACTGGGATGGTGGACGGGGCTGGTGGACTGGGTTGGTATGGCTGGGGAGCCAACGAGGTCAGTCGAGAGGTGTCGGCACTATGTCAAATGCATTGGCGCATCGCCGGCATCGACCGAGTCGGTCATGGAACTAGGCCTGGTCCGGGTCGGAGTGAGTGATGGGTGGGCATGAGAGGAAGGCGATGGGGGTGGAGATGCCTTGTGCCGTATGCCGTCCAAGGTAATCTGGGTGTTTGAGAAGAAAGTCCAACGGAGGACGGGGGCATGCGGGTCGGGGGTCGGGTTCGGAGCCAAGATTGGATTGGAAGAGCCAGGTACCCGCCTAGGTATCTATCTACCTGGGTACGGAGTGCTTACACAGTAGATGGCTACTCAGGTACCTAGGTGCTGCCCTGGATGCCTAGGTAGCTAGTAGGTAGTAGGTGGTACAAGACTGCAGCTTCGTCCTGTCCTGGGCTCCCCCTTCCCTCGCCTGAGAGGAGCACCCCCTAGGGACTCAAGCAAGCAGTCAAGGGTGTGGGCTGGCGGCCACACACACGATGCGTTGACGAAGATCGCTTCTCGTCGCATGCACCGCCAGCTCGGCCGCTGAACAGATGGAATAGACGGGCAACTGTCACTCGGGACAACTCGAAATGAGGCTGTGCCTAGGTAAGTACGTAGGTAGGTAAGTACCTAGGCAAGTAGGCAAGTAGGTAAGCAGGTACCCAAGGCACCATCTACCTCCGTACCTATCTCGAAAGACCCCACTATTAGTCTGGGGTAGTGGTACCTAAGTACTCAAGTACCTATGTATTCAAGGTCCCCAGACTCGCATACACCAGTGGGGGCCGGACTCCAGGGCTTTCTTGACAACAACTCAACACCCCGGTATCGACGTTGCCGACGTCCCATTTCATGAATACCCAAGATGCCTTCCCTACATTCCTCGGAGTCCACAAAGGCATACTGGGCCTTCGCTGCCCTGGGCCCTCTGGCCATCTACGGAATCGCACTGGCCTTGCTCGGCCTTCCTTTGATCCAGAAACAGCAAGTACATGAGATTCGTGGTGCGGGCTCTCAACGAGCAATCCGACGCTGATCCCGACACAGGGCTCTTTACGCCCATAAATTCCACACTCTCTGGTGGAACGACGTCGAGAACCCCGAGAAATGGGGCTTTGCGAGTGAGTCGTCATGGCTTGACCCTCCCACACCTGCCTGCCAGGACACTTTCCTGACAACCATCGCTAGGAAACCAAGTCACCCCTTTCACCCTGCAAGCCCCTGACGGCCCGGCCCTCTACTGCTGGCACATCCTGCCCCTGTCGGTGTACCTGCGGAAAGAAGCCGACCTCAGCCGGGCCTCACCCGTCCCATTAGACAAGCACGCATCGTCAGAGGCGTTCAGGCTCCTGAGAGATGACCCCGACGCGCGCCTGATCCTGTCCTGTGAGTCACCCGTGACCCTCACCCTCACCCTCACCCTCACAGCCCCGTTCTCATGCTCAACGCCCTGGCCCAGTCCATGGCAACGCCGGCCACGTCGCCCAGAACACTCGCGCCCCCCAGTATCGCCTGCTCACCGACACCGCATACAAGTGGCACGTCATCGCGCTCGACTACCGTGGCTTCGGCCACAGCACAGGCTCGCCGTCCGAGCAGGGACTCATTGCCGATGCCTCCGCCCTGGTCGACTACGCCATCACGACCCTTGAGGTCCCACCAAGCCGCATCTTGCTCCTAGGCCAGAGCCTAGGTACTGCGGTGTCATCAGCAGTTGCTGAGAAATTCTCGCGGGAAAGAGGCATCGACTTTGCCGGAGTGGTGCTTGTCGCGGCCTTCAGTAGTCTCCCGACAATGTTGGCGAACTACTCCTTGGGCGGGCTCGTCCCTTTGCTCAAGCCTCTGAGTATATGTCCACCCCTGCTGCGCTTCTTTCTCCGATTCGTGGTGGATAAGTGGAAGACTCTGGACCGCCTCGCCGCCCTTACCGCGCAGAACCGCGAGCGCAACGGGACACTCCAGGTCAGCATAATCCATGCGGCCGACGATAATGACATACCATGCATCGAAAGCGCCAAGATCTTCGAAGCCATGGCGCGGGCGTCAGTCGCGGATGGCATGGATGCTTCCAAGTTCCTGGAGATGAAGAACGCGAGGACGGAGGTGAGGGGTGAGAAAGCATTCAAGACCGTCTGGAACGAGAACGACATCACCAGTAAGCTCTTCATCCGAGATACTCTCACTCTGGTTCCATCAGACAGCCATCTTGGGCTTCAGTTGTTGTTCTGATTCCCTACGCCACTTGTCATGCTCTCGACGGCTAGGTCTATCTCGTTGTCTGCAAATAAAAGCCTGCACAAACCGCACTAACACTTCACAGTCACACATGAACAGTTCGCATTTGGAGGTGAGTCACCCCTCAATCACCTACAGGGGTTGAATCATTGTGAGGCGGCGGACTTACCGACGATCTTAGGGCACAACGATATTATGGTCTACGCGCCTGTACCCCAGGCTATAGTGAGTATACTCGAGGGTAGAGCAGCGACAAGCTCATCAGCCGCCTGAGGGTCGATGATGCCGTGAGGAGCACTATTCTCAGGTGATTCCAGGATCAGAGACTCATCGTCTCATCTGATAATCCAGCCTGTCCGCAAACCAGGGATGCAAAGTTTGCTGCAGACCGATTGAAGACCAATGAATTAGATCGTGGCATCTGAGGCTCATTCGTGACTTGGTGGGGATCAATGCTCTGTAACGAGGCGCTCGTGCCGTGACCTGCTCAGGTACGGCTGCTTTGTCCAATAAAGTGCCGGTCGAAATGTGCCCGTGCTGCACGGTAAATTACCCCGTTTCCTTATTGTGTGGCTGATTGCCGCCCCTCTACATATATAGCATTGTTAGAGAAGAGCTCGTACCGTCCACATAGGCTGAGGTGAACTAGGGAACCACGATCTCAAATACACTGACAGCAATGCAAGCTCATGCGCAGGGGGCGGGGGGCGGAGAAATGAAAAACTGACACATCATTATAGAGCCTTTGTAGCATGCTTGCTTCCTGAGAGATACCCCTAGGATGGGGTTGGCTCAGAAGTGTATTCCCACAGCAGATTCTCTCATAGAAAGCTACATTATAGAAAATTGTGTGGAAGCGCTGCCCGATTAGAGCCATTGTGTGCCTTTTTGAGGTTATGCAGGGCTACCTTGGGTTATTGGAGAATCTTCAGAGGAACTGTTCTGCAGTAGAACCTGCTAGGTGGGTGGCGCCGCATCCGTGCAAGGTCGATGAAGTTGGTATTGTGTCTTGAGGCACAATCGTACTGCTGACCTCACAAAGGTACCTTTCAGCATTCGGTGTTGCCAGGCCCTTGCTGAATTCCTATTTTGCCCACGTCGTCGGCTCAACCGAATCCATGCAGCCGGGCAACCTGCGTTTATAACTGGGAGCGTCCGTGACCGATTCGAACATAATTTGAAGTTCGTACTCAGCCGCCTGTTTTCATGCCATGTCGTGTCTCACCAATTGCAAATCTTGTTCCAACTCTGAAAGTATCTGCGCATTGGTGTGGCTATCTTTGACTCGATAATCGCCAGGACATACAGGTCAACATGGGCTCGCAGCAGGATTACCGGCTTCGACACCTAACGACAGGTGTCGCATCAGCCACGCCTCCCGGACCTGAGATCTCACCAGCTACATATCGTGGAAACAAGCCAGAAGATTCCCAACAGACAGAGGATAATGGCGCTACATGGAAACACCTCTTTGTCTTCACGGAACGCCGCCAGACTGGCTTCCTCAGTCTTGCCGTCGTCGCGTCCCTGCTTGTTGCTGTAGTCAAAACAGTCTTTGCCGTAGTCATCGGCAAGATTGTGGACCTTGTTAGTCCTCTGGGTGCCGGCAGAATCGATGCGAGTACAGCCATGTCCGGGTTGACGATCTGGTGCGTTGTGCTGGTTGGCCTTGGTCTGGCATCATGGGCATTCAACTCAGCCCTCCTGGCACTGTGGGTTGTCTTCGGCGAATTGGTCGCCAAAACTGCAAGAATGAGTGTATTTGAGCACTTGCTGGACAGAGAAATGGCCTGGTTTGACTGCCACCGCGAGGGTCTCAGCACTGCTCTGTCCGGCATGCAGACGTAAGAGATCCGTTTGATTTGTTCTGAATGGTCCGTTTATCCACTGACAGACTGGCAGTAATATACGAGAGCTCCAGATGGCAACTTCACAAGTCTTGGGATTCCTCGTGGCTGATGCCTTAGTCGCCATTGGCTGCCTCATTGTCGCCCTCTACAATAGCTGGCAACTCACCCTTGTCCTCGTGGCGACTATACCGGTATCTGTATTTGCCCTACATTTCATCAGTCGAGGGCTCCAGTCAGCTATTGATTCCCAGAAGCGGGAGCTCGCCCAAGCTACCAGGATCACCATTGCCGCCGTGACCGCCATCGATCTCGTGAAGATATACGACGCCACGGACAATGAGGTCTGGCAGTATCTTCAAGCAGCGAGGGGATCCATGAAGTTTTACATTAGGCAGGCACTAAGGAACTCGATGCAGATGGGCTTCCTCAAGCTGTGGGTCATCAATCTGTTTGTCGTGGGGTTCTGGTTTGCCGGATACCTCGTAAGCAAGAACATGGCCACACCGGGAACGGCCCTGACAACATTTTATTCCATCTTGACGGCTTTTCAGGCTGTGGAAGGAGTAGGACCACAGTGGCTTGTATTGGCCAAGGGAATGTCGGCCGGCCGCCGGCTCCAGAAGATCGTGTTGGTCACGACAGGGGCTGGGAACGTGCCCGAAATGGAAGCATCCCACCGGCCACGGACCTCGGCCAAGGTGATCGAACTCCGTGATGTGAGCTTTGCCTATCCGTCAAGTAAGCAGTAGTCTTCTCCTTTCAACGTTTCTCTGCCTCCATCCTAGCTACGCAGGAGGGTGGCTCGGACGAAAATCTATGCGGCCCCTTGGAAGAGCTGGCAGTCTCACTCCTCTGCCCAGGTGGTCACTTCGCCCGGACAAAATTTGATCGAGGACTTGACTGCTGTGTACTTGATCCACCCTGAGACAGAACAAACAGCCAGTCATCAATCGGTTGGTCAGAAGGACCATAAGAATACCAAGCTGAAAACTCGACGTCGGGCAAACTTGCTGACCTTGGATTGCTCATCAGATCCGACCAGGGTAGTGCTCAATCGCTCCTCATTTTCCTTCAACCCTGGTCTCACCTTCTTGGTGGGAAGAAGCGGGTCGGGCAAGAGCACCATCACCAATCTGCTTCTCAGATTCTACGAACCTCTCAGCGGGGATATTCTCGTCGACGGGAAACCGATTCGGACCTTGGACGACCAGTGGCTTCGCGAGAACGTCACCCTGATCCAACAGTCAAGCGTGTTGTTCAATGATACTTTCTTCATGAACGTCGCGTTTGGCTCGCGCGATCCGCTGGTGGCAACGAGGGAGGATGTCAGGGCGGCATGCGAAACCGTGTTACTGCAATCCACCATCGCGAGTCTGCCCGACGGCCTCGACACCAAGCTCGGCATCGGGGGCCATAACCTCAGCGGAGGGCAGAGACAACGACTCGCTCTTGCTCGAGCCCGCCTCAGAGATCCCCCGGTGTTGATACTGGACGAGATAACGAGTGGCCTCGACTCACAAAGCAGAGTCCTCATCCTCGAGGCGATCAGAGTATGGAGAGCAGGGAAGACAACGATTATCATCACGCACGACGTATCCCAGATACTCGACAAGGATTACGTCTACGTACTGGACCAGAGCTTCCTAGTACAGAGCGGGCTCCGGCAAGACTTAGTCAAGGATGAGTCCGGCGTCTTCAGGTCGCTGCTGTCCTCCACCGACAATGAAGGCCAGCCAGGCTTGGACTCGTCCGCGCCGCTGCACCCGGCCGGAGTCACCAACGACGCAGCTTCATCCTCCACGAGGAAGCCTTCAGCTTCGACCGGGAGCCGCGGGCTCTTCCGACTTTCCCTGGGGGCAAGCTTGGAGCGGTCGACGGTGATCAAACTCGCGGAACCGACCTCTTGGAGACACAGCAGGGCATTGAACCCCACGAGGAAGTCGAGCTTGGATATGGTCCAGGAGAGCGGGGAGGTGACGAGGTCCCGCCGACCGACCAACAAGCCACCCAGGCGGCTGGAGCAACAGAAAACCGGTAGTGAAAAGCAGGGGGGCCAGCCTGTCGCGCATGGGGCTGGCCAGAACTCCCCCATACCGGTACGCAAGATCTTGGCCACGGTCTGGCCCGTACTCGACAAGACAAATCGCCTCCGTCTGGTCCTAGGCATCATTGCCTGTATCATCGCCGCCACCTGTAACCCGGTCTTCTCCTACGTCTTTGCACAATTGGTTGCCGCATTCTGGGCACCGCCCGCTGAGATGCGCGCTTCTGGGCAGGCATGGGCCATCCGTCTGACCATTGTCGGCGCTGCAGACGGACTTGCTACCTTTTCTGCGTTCTACCTGATGCAATATGCCGGCCAGGCATGGGTCACCGCCCTGCGTGTCGAGGCGCTCAAGAGGATCCTCTCCCAGCCGAAGCAGTGGTTTGATGTGCCGACCAACTCGCCTGGTCGCCTCGCCGACGTTCTCGACGCGGATGCAGAGGAGATGCGCAACCTTGTCGGGCGCTTTGTGCCGATAATCATGATTGTTGTGACAATGATGGCCGGCGGGCTGATCTGGGCGCTGGTCGTGTCGTGGCGGCTGACCTTGGTGACGCTTGCCTCCGCCCCAGCCGTGTATGCTGCTACCCAAGCCATCGGCACCGTTTCCGGGAAATGGGAGGCAAGATGCAATGCCATGGCCGAGACCACCGGCGCAGTGTCTGTCGAGACCCTGCTGAACATCCGCGTGGTCAGGGCACTCACCCTGGAACACCACTTCCGCTCCAAGCACACCCGCTCGACGGAGAGCACATTTCGAGTCGGCGTCCAGAGAGGCTTGTGGACGGGCTTCTTCTACGGTCTCAACCAGGGGGTGCCCAATTGGCTCACAGCACTTGTCTTTTGGTACGCAGCCGTGCTGCTCACATCGCCAGCCGCTGCCATCTCTGCCTCGGGCATCATGCAGGTCATCAACCTGCTGCTCTTCAGCATAGGTACTGCTGCAGCAATGCTGGACAATATCCCCCAGATCTCCCACGCCAAGGCGGCGTCTATACAAGTATTACACTACGCCACCCTGAGCTATACCAGCAGCCACGAGGGACGCGGTGACGTGAGGGTGCTCACGCCCTTCCCGATCGAGATGAGAGGCTTGCAATTCGCATATCCTGTGGCCGACGGTGGTCAAAATTCTCCCAAAAAGGTGCTTCGCAATGTCAATCTCCGCATCGACCGTGGTGACTGCATTGGTATCGTGGGTGCTTCCGGGTGCGGCAAGAGCACCATCGCGAATCTTCTCTTGAGGCTCTACGAGCCGTCGGAGGACCAACAGCCGGAGGGGAGCCCTCAGCACCACGTCTCACATCCCTCTCATGCTATACGCCAAGAACCGGGACCTTCAGGGCTGTCTTATGCGCGCGTGCCAGCCTCGGACGTGTCAACCTCTGTTCTACGCACGCATACGGCCTACGTCCCTCAACACCCCTTCCTCTTCCCGGCCACGATACGCGAGAACATTGTCTATGGAATCCACGCAGATTCACCATGTCGTGACTTGAATTCTGTTGTAGCCGCCGCCAAGCTGGCCTGTATACACGACTTCATCGTCTCGTTACCAGAGGGGTATTCCACCCTCGTTGGCGAGGGCGGGCTTGGGCTGTCGGGTGGTCAAGCCCAGCGCGTGAGCATCGCACGGGCACTTGTTCGCAAGCCCCAGTTGCTTGTCTTGGATGAACCCACCAGCTCTCTTGATGCCGAGGGTGCTGAGGGTGTGAGGAAGGCTATCCGGGGCCTCATGGGGCGGGGCCAGCAAGGTGGACAGGGAGAGGGGCTCACAACTGTGATCATCACGCATTCGAGAGAGATGATGAAGACAGTTGGCCGGATAGTGGTCATGGATGAGGGGTTTGTGGCCGAGGAAGGCCGATTCGAGGAATTGCTGGCCCAAGGGGGCAACTTCACTGCGTTGATGGGTGGTGGAGCCTGGCTCCCTTCTGCCTCCAACAAGGCTGTGAGCGCAAGTGGTCCAAATAATCGACTGAGCACCTGTGATGATGCCATGACAATTGTGTCGCCGTCTGGTTCAGAGGAGTCGGGCGCTGAGAATAATCCTCGTCAAAGGGCTCTGCAGAAGTTAGCCGGCACAACAACAAATTAGGCCGCAAGCCTCTAAAGCGGAAGCAATATACCTAGTCGCAAGAACTAGAGCATCTTATATTTAAAAACATTTATTTAGATTACTATATTAGTAAGACTAAAATAACTTTTAAATAAAGAAGTTATATTTTATTAATATATAACATTTTAAGTTTATAAATTTTATTATTATATAATTAAATAAATAAACTTTTAATAATATAAAAATAATATTATTTTAAAGAATAATAATATATAAATATAATTAAATAGTAACTTTTTAAATATAAAGTTAAAATATTTATAATTATAATTTTTAATTAATTTTTACTTAATTATTTTATTATATTATAATTTAATTTAATTTAATTTAATTTTTTAAAATTTTATAAATATTTTTATTTTTATAAATATAAATATTAAATTAAAATATTTAAGTTTAAATTTAAAATTTTAATATATTTTAATATATTTAAAATTATAATTATAATTTTTAACTTTTAAAAATATATTAATTATTTTAAATATTAATAATTTTATTTTTAAATAAAATTTATTTTTATATAATTATAAATTTAATTATTAATAATTATATTTTTAATTATATAATAAAACTATTAAAATTATAAATTTAAATATTATATATAATAATAAAATAAAATTACTTTATTTAATTATATTTTAATTTAATAATATAATAAATTACATAATTATTTTTAAATAATTTTATTTTTAAAATAAATAAATAAATATTTATTTAAATAAAGTTAAAAATTTAATTAAAAGAATAATAACTTTATTTTTATTTATTTTAATTAATTTATATTTTATTTATATAATAAATTTAATACTTATATATAATATTTATTAATATTAAATTAAGTAGTTTATAATTTATAATAATTTTAACTTTTAATAAATTAATAATATTAATTTAAATTAATTAAATATAAGTTAATATATTAATATAAAAATATTTTTATAATAAATAATATTATAAATTATTTATATTTTTAGTTTTATTATTAAATTAAAAGTAAATAATTAGAGTTTTAAAAAAATAAAATATAATATATCTTTTAAAGATTAACTTAATTAAGTTTACTATATAAAACTTTTTATAATAACTTTATAATTATTTATAATATTATTTATTATTAAAAGATATCTTTCTATATTAATATATTAAGCTATATTAGTTTAAGCTAACACTATTAACTTATTAAAGGTTAAAGCTATTATAAACTATAGACTACCTAATCTAACGCCGGTGAGCACTATATATAAGTACTAAATTCACCGTGTGACTTAGGTAAGTTAGGGGTTCTAGCTCTACTTAAGTAAACACCCATTAAGTAAAACTACTTGAAAGCAGTTGCTTAGCCTGCTACGCGAACCGAGAGATAACTAGGTAAGGTAACTACACTCTATTACTACTCTAGGTTTATAGTTCTAATAGCTCTATAGAAGAAGAAATAGCTATTAATAATTAGGTCTATAACTATATTAAGATAGACGTTTATTTTAAAAAAAAGTTATTAATATTTAAAATAATTAATATATTTTTAGAAAAGTTAAGAGATTATAAACCTAATTTAAAGAAAATTAAAATCTATAAGAATCTTAAACTTAAATTTAAAGGTTTTAATTTAATATTTATATTTATAAAAATAAAAATACTTATATAACTTAAAAGAAGGTTTAAATTAAGTTAAATTAAATTATAATAAAAAAGCTAATTAAATAAAAATTAATTAAAAATTATAATTATAAGTCTTTTAACTTAATATTAAAGAGGATAAATAATATTATAAATATAAATTATAAAGTTATTATAAAAATTTTATATAATAAACTTAATTAAATTAATCTTTAAAAAATATATTATATTTTATTTTTTTAAAACTTTATTTATTTTTAATTTAATAATAGAATTAAAAAAATATAAATAATTTATAATTAAATATTAAAGTAATATTTATTTAATAGTTTAGAATATAGTAAATAATAAGTTAAAATATAAATTTATAATTATAAACTAAGGAAGTATCCTCTTGCCTAACTGATGTACCCTCACAGAGTGGAACATAATTCTTATTATGACACAGCTCGAAGTTGACGGTTACTGGAGCCTGAATCAATCCAGCCAGTGTTTTTTCCCCAGAAAGTGGAAAGATCTCTTTATGTGTAGCTCACCCGGCTTTATGGCGCCTGGAATGGAGCCAGATCGACTCTTTTGATCGGCGACCTCGCCAAGGCGGGTACCACGGGCAGGAAGATTCGTTGCGTTGCTTTTACTTTCGGCACGGCTCGGTCGTGGCTTGGTTGATGTATCGCAGTGCTCAAACTCGCTGCTTGTCATTAAGGTACCTGGGAGGCCGAGAACTGCGGCTGCCTTCACTGGGGTGCCTGTATGCATCACTCTCTTTGGACTAGCCATGCAGCGAGACCTCGGAAGTGAAGCGGGCGGTACGAACAGAAGGCATTCGCGAAAAGCGTGCGAAGCAAAGTTTCCGGGAGTTGGTGGGTCTGGGGAACGGCCATGGAACTCGGTTCCGTTTCTGGTGACAGAAACCACATTGCCCGAGCCCAACTCCACGAAGAGGCCATTCAGGCGGTCAAAGTCTACACCTGTGAGTCCGTCAGTAAAGGAGAAAACCTACTGTACAGGAGCGAGGAAGTGGAAAGAAGTTAAGAGAGAACAGTGACTGCTTACAAACCATAGGTTCGGAATCTGGCAAGGGGGGGTAGCGGTGCACTCCGTGTGCAAACCCATAGTCAAGAAAGACTGCGTGCCCCGGAGCGGCAAACGAGTAGGGAGAGGGAGTTTGGCGGTAAACGTGACAGTGCTTGACGGCGTCCGAGACGGCGTTCCGCTCTGCCTCAGGCCACCTATGGCACTCGGAGTCAGCCGACAAAGAATAAAAGGAGTAGTTTCATACCAAGACAGCAAAGAGTAGGCACAAGGTAGCCATAGCTTGTCTTGAAGCTGCCTACAGCCCTTTGGACTATTTGTTATGTAGGCTCTGAATGGGATATGTTTGTTCTTGGAGGGGTAAGATTTGTATCTAGAAGTTACTTACATGGCCAAGTGAGTCGCATATGTCCATTTCTCGCTGAAGCCTACCATGCGGATAGATTCAAACCGCCCTGTGAGTGTCCTCAACTGGCTGGCAACCTCAAGCTGATCCTCCGTGACGTAGGGCACACGATGAGCCCCATCGAGGTGGTGGCGGAGGTGACCAGAGTATGGTTTTTCCGCCGAGGGAGGCAGGCTTGGGGATTTTTGCTCATAGTTATGTGGTTGACGCTCGTCGTCCTCTCCACCAACAGGCAAGTAGCCATGGGTGCCGTGCCGGCCCTGGCAAGTGTTTGGTTCCTGGCGGTAGCCGAAATACCGACGGCAGTGGATAGTGAATGAACCCATCGAGTTGGCCGGACTGCGGGTGAGAATCTCGGCCGTAAACTTGCGAACCAGCTCACGGATATTTCTCAAGTTTGGATCCATCAAGGCTGACTCCCATCTGTGTCCGAATCCGAGCTTCGTCATGTCTATCTCCAGGCTCACATCCTGCATCAGGCGCAGGTAGCGGAAGAGCCACTACTAGCATGTGTTAGTTAGTCTCTTGCTATGGGTCCCAGTATGCTGCATGCCAGAACACTCCAAACATGAAAGACGGGAGGCTTGTGGGAGAAGAAGCATGGTACTGACCGTGGTGGGCAAAGGCTGCGTGCACTCTCTCACGAAGGGGCTAAAGATGACGTGAAACTTTCGGGTCAACAGCAAGACGACCATTACCTCTGCTCGGAGACGCGGGCAGGCCCACATGGTTGCCCGCAGGGGTTTCAAGACAGATTTCAGACTGACGAAGGTGTCAGCTGGCCAAGCTGGGCACGCCTGGCGTTCACTGTTCAGCAATATTGGCCTGGCGGCGTCGGTATCAGCGAAAAGGTACCGTACGACCTCAAACCGAATATTGCTTGGCAGATTGAAGTATGGAAACCTCTTGGTTCCATCATACTTTCTGAAAGGACGCCCCTTGGTAAACTGTGCAAGGAACAGGTTCAACGTTTGCTCGAATCTGCCAGACGGTCTGGGAATGGAACAAATGATCGTTCCTCTCTGCTCCCTTGCGGTCCTGTACCATGTAAGGTCGACAGTGCGATCGAAAGCTGGAAGGGGGCCATCGTCCTGGTATGTCTCTGTAGTGACGGTGACATGAGATTCTCCTGCCCCAAGTATTGCCCTGCTTACGGTTGAGGCTGGTCCGGCAACACAGGATGATGCGCTACTGTCTGTCTGGGCTGGGCGGCGAGGGCTGAGCGGCGGCCCGGGAACATCGAAGGGATGGTTAGTGGCGCGAGGGGTAGATGTGCGCTCAAAGTTGTTTCCAGTCACCTGCAATCTCTCCAAGTCGTCCTTAACGGCTGGATGGTCCATCAGAGGAAGCCCGACCTTGTATGGGGAGTTGGGTACCATCGTGGAAGCCGCCTTGGAATCCTGTGCATCTGGCCGCGTTGGGAATAACACGTCTCCCGGTGGGGTAGGAACGGAACCACGGGTGTTCTGGGAGGAGGTGCGGCCTGAATTTCGTGAGCTCTGAGAGACCCGACCGGGCTTGAGCGAGTCTCGAGCGGCGCAGTAGACGTCATCGAATATTTCTGACAAGGAGAGGCGCTCAGAATCCCGTGATGTTGCAAGCGACAGGGGCTGGAAGGTTGTGGGGGCTGTGGCATCTGCTGGTGGTCCGGGGGGGTCGCTCGAGAAGAACCTTGAAATCTTTTTTCGCAGACCTCTACCCTTCCTCTGATTGACGAGCTCCTCTTCTGTCTGCTCCAAACTCCTTCTCGTGTCTCCTTGCCGTTTCTCCCGCTTGCTTCCATCTACCTGACCTGCCATATTGACAAACGGTATCCTGCAGGGATCAAGTCTCTTGGCTGGCGAAGGCAAGGGAAGCTGAGGGAGGGGCTGATTTGGTGGTGGTTGTTGTGGAAGCAGAGGGCCGATGAAGGGCTGAAGCCTCTCTGGGTCTACCTGTTGCGAGGAAAGGGTACTATGAGGGCTCGAAAGGATGCATTGAGAAGTTCTCTCACGAAGCAGAGGTGTAGTTGTAAGTGAGGATGAAGAGCTGATGGTCGAGAAGGTCAGACATGCAGGAAAATTTGTCGAAACAGACAGTTCAGGCCTGGGTGGTTCCTTGAGTGCTTCAGATCGACCGGATCTGAGAAGGGCCTCCTCCCGAAGCCCACAGATAGTAGAGACAGGCTCTCTGCAGTTGAGGGGTGGTCGTCAGCGACGGAGCGGCAGTTTCGAATCTAAAGAATGGAAACCCACCTGATCTCTGGGAAAGGCTGGCGGGACAAAGACTGTGTGACTTGGTGGGAAGGGCTCGAGACTGGGGGCGCATTGGCTGGTCTGTCGTTGAGCGAAATCCTGGGAGCATTGCAGGCGTGAGAAGCAGCTCCAACCTTGATGAATTTGTGGGCATCAAGGGCAATGGTTGTGCCCGGAAGGGGAGGCTTTTTCGGGAAACAAGTATCATTTGCTTCAGAAGGAGTATGTAGGAAGCTGTGGTAGTCGAGAGAGCCTAGAAAGACCGGATTCAGTTCTTGTTGGTCCTCGTGCTCGGCCATATCTTGCTGGCAAGGGGCATCCTCCCTGCAGCCTTTCAGAGTGTCTGCACGAGCAGGGCTCCTGTCCTGGCAGACAGGCAGGTCTGTCGAATGTCAGCTCAAGGACCCAAGCCAGGCCAAGCCAGGAGCGAAGCAAATAATTCAGGATGTGGGCTTGTTGTGTGCAACGAAAAGCCTCAGAATTGTGATGTGAGACTCACCAGCGACTCTGGATGGCTCAGACTCGGCCTCCATGGCTTGGGACTTGCAAGCAAGTGACCTCGATAACCCTTTCGATCGTGCTGCGTCAGACCCATGGGCTGTTGTGGACTTTTGCTGGGGATAGGTTGGTGGGTGCAGCAACTGGATCTGAGTGGCAGGCAAGCCATGTCCGGCCAGAGGCAGCGGGGTTGACCGTGTTGATTGTGTTCGCATCCCAGGTTGTTTATATGGTTGATGTGAGGAGGAAACAGCACTGAGCAATTCACTTGATCTGACACAAGTCTCTCCACTTCTACTCCCGCTCCTGCTCACAGTCTGCGAGGGTATATCATGCATATACTCATAATGTCGTGACTGGTCAGAAGGCTCCCACCTCTCCACCGTGGTTTTCAGCCTGCCTGTCTCCAGGCTCCGTTCGTTAGCCGTGACCTCCTTTCTCCTGTTTAGATCATTGTAGGCGATGTCGTGCTCGTTGGAATGCCACCTCCGGTGTCCCTTCTTCAGCCTTACCCTCTCTTCTCTTTCACCAGAAGGCCGAGCGTGTGGAATCACAGGGAGCAGGGAGTGCCTGTGACTGTCCTTCCTGGGACCCGAACATCTGGCATCCTGCACCGGCCTGACACCGGGACAGGGGAATATCCAGCTCTCAACCTCATATTGGGTTGAGGTGGGTGAGAAGGTGTGCATTGATCGACTGGACCCGGGAAATCAGCAGACTCGGAGATTCTATGTAATTAGAAATAGGGCCTTGGGTTCACCTAAGACTGATCTGGAAGACCTAGACAAGTATTCCAACAAGGCAACACGAGAGCCGGACAATCTCGAGGCGAGTCAGGGTCAGACGTAAGGCGTGGTATTGTACAAGGGCCGGATTTGATGATAGCGAAATGGAGAGTGAACTCTCTGGACTTGTACATTGATTTAATGAACTAGGCCGTAGCGGCCTGTTTATCTGCGGATTGTAAAAATGTGGGCAAAAGGAAGGGTGGCAGGGGGCGAAGGAGAAGCCATATGATACAAAAGGGAAGGGCATCTAGGTTGCCGATAGCATGAGGCTTGAAGTGAGCCCTCGCCCACTTGAGCCTTTGCTGTAGTTCTTGGGCTGTCGTCATTGGCAACACGTGCAGGGGCGAGTCCAGCGGTAGTGTCCACCAAATAAGAGCCTGACCACCCCCTCCGGTCATGACGCCTTTCTTTTCTCTCGCATGAACCAGGTGACAATTGATGAGCTTGCTCGGCTCAGAGAGGAAGGGATGACCTTGACTAGCAGGACGGCTGTCATGAAGTGCTTCGAGGTGCACAAAACCTCGGGAACCGATTAGAGTTTCAGTGGATCCAGACGCGGAATGCCAGTTGACCCCCCGGGTAGGCACCTAGAGACTCTCCCAAGTTGTCTCCACCTCGGAGTACCTAGGTATCTGCCAGTATGCCCTGCCAGCCCCCCTGGTTGCTGCCTGCCCAGGTGCCCGATGGTGCAGCAGATATCCCTGTCGATGACATCCTGTCTTGGGTGCCCCGCCATTCAAAGCTTCAAATGCTCTATTGTAGTCTATCAAAACCTGCGAGCAAAGTTGAGGTGCTGTCCGAAATCTGAACGCTGACCTCAACCCTTGTTCCAGACTTACCCACCTTGCTTTCCCGCCGATTTCAACTCTGCATACGGCGGCCTGAGGCTGTGGTTCTCTCATCCCTGCCACCACCATCAACATGGCCGACGACCTGATCCAGAGCTCTATGGCTGGCGCACAACGCGTGCCGGCCAATTTTGATGCCAACGAGGCAGACAATCTTGAAGATGTAAGCTCCCTTTCTTTGGCCAGATGAGGCAGAGGCATGCCCGTATTCCTGGTGCAAGCCTGACTGATATGCGGGCACCAGATCGAAAAGCAATTTGCTGTGAAGGGTATGGCACCCTTCTGCTGGACAATGGCTCGCCACAACCATCCCGACCTAAATGGACTCTAACATGTCGCCCCGCAGCCGTCCAGCATCTGGAGACATACTGGGCCATCCTGGAAAAGGTCAAGGGCAGCACCCTCCGCCTGACCAAGATTGACGATGAGATCCACGACCACCTCTGCAAAGACTTCCCGGAATTCGACCCCGCCGAGACCATAGATGAGAACAAGCTCAAGAGCCCTGCTGGGAAGAAGCGGTGGCGCGATTTCATGATGGCATACGAGAAAAAGGTCGATGACTACAGCTTTGGCACCATGCTGCGCTCAAGTCCAAGGGATGAATACACACAGCACGGCACAATCTTCGGTAAGTCGGCCGGAGGCTGGTCCTTTCCTTGCCCCCCCCTCCTACTCCCCGTGCTTCCAACAGCTGCCCGAGTCAAGCTTGATGGGCCTCTCGCAATACCACTGTCCACACCAGCCGGCCAACAGTGGCAAAGCCATTTCTTTCCCGTGGCAAAAACATCTGGGAGGAAAGTTTGGGCATCCGAGCAAGGCAGGGCGGACTGAAGTACGACCAGGTGCTAACCACTTCTGTAGTGCCTCGAATGCAGTTTTATGCCGTGGAGATTGCAAGAAATCGGAAAGGGCTGAACGACTGGATCTATGAAAAGGCCCAGGCAGAAAAGAAGACAGATACAAAATGAGGGTCACGCTTGGCGTCCAGCAAAATACACTGTCGTCTTGTAGCTGCTTTACTGCTACTTCCGTCCTGGTAGCATTGCAACCATATCTGTCAACCAACGATCCATTACGTTCCTCTTGTGCCTCTGCTGCCATGGGCCGCGAAGGCCACCTTAGCACTAGGTGTAGGTGATTGGGAAGGGCACACAAATCCCAATTACAACACATAAGAAACTTGTAGCCGGACCAAGGGTGGGTGGGCATAGAGTGTGTTGAAACGCCCACGCGACTGCGGTCGGGGTCAGTGACAGCTGCAGTGCGAGCCCCCCAAACCATCCTTGCCATGATTGCTGTGTGACTGCTGTGTGCATACTAGGGCAGGACGCAGTGCAGTCAGTGTCAGCGAGCGGGAAGGTGCACTGGCAGGTACATGGGGCGGGCCGCCTGCGCCGGCAACATTGCTGCCGTCCAGAAAACATGCAGAGTGCGCCGAGCTGACTTGATGTCGCTTGTCGCATGGATGCGCCTGGTCTGTGGTCATCATCTCGTGATGAGCAATTTCCAACCCGCCCCGTCGAAGCATTAGCCTCTGCTGTCGGCCGGTCTTGGGGGTTGATTCGATCAAGAGGGCTGTTCTGTGCCGTGCCTCTGCGCAAGATCCGAGGGCCAAGCATGACTCTTGGTGAGTACGGGCAGTCACTCTAGTGGAGCACAACATTCGACGAGTGAGTGCCTGCCTGCCTGCCTGCCTGCCCTGGTGGGTGGGTGTGTGGCCGCCGACAAGGACGCACACGATTGACTGTCTGTCTGTCGGCCTGAGCGCCTGGGTCTGTAGCGTCGCATCACAAGGTTGAGCGCATACATACGAGGTGCTGCGTCTGTGGTGACATGTTGGTCGAGCAGGCTGCCGAACCGCCAAGCAAGATGCTGCCATGCAAGTGTTGGCTAGCGTGACATGATTGCACCTGCCATGCCCTTCCCACCACCGTCCAGATCGCCTGGCTCCCCCCTCCTGTGCCGCCGGCTGGGTTCCTCAGGCACGTTGCACAAAGGGCCGTGGCTGGCGAGACAAGTTAGACGTGTAAAGGGCAGCAGGGCTGCGCGAGTGAGACGTGTTGGTGAGGAACATTCTTGGCCACATAGGTCGATGTACCGTCCGCGGATCACATGATGAACGCGTCATGCGTGCTGCTGTGAACTGCATTGCTTCAGTTTCGACCTGGGCCCCCCATCCCACAACTCAGGCCTACCCAGGAGGGGAGCAAGGTGCTGTGTAGCAAAATGCAGAGGACTAGACACAAGAGGTCTTGTTGTTTATATTAGACAAACAAAGACAACCATACATATCTCGAAACACATCTCGCATGTGCATTGTAGTGTACATCCTGACGGCTGGACGAGCATTTCCTTGCAGCAGAGTAGAAGGACCCCAGGTGGCAGTGTCAGTAAACTAGAGGGAAAGTGGATACACCCACGTCCCAGGGGCGTAGGTTTGTGCTTATGTTGACCATAGAGACCTTATTAGCTAGGGTTTCTAATTGTGTTGGCAGGACCATGTTGCTAGCCCTATGGGGGCTTTTGGGGGCACAGGCACAGGCACAGGCACAGGCACAGGCACAGGCACAGGCACAGGCACAGGCACAGGCACAGGCACAGGCACAGGCAGCGCTGTGCACGGCCACCACCTGCCCGTGGCATGCAATAGGTTGCACAACCACCTAGTGACAGGCAGGCAGGCAGGCAGGCAGGCAGGCAGACAAGGAGGAACAGTACCATCCACATATATAATTAACAACTTAACCTATAGAGATAAATAGATAGATAATGTAATCTAATAAATATATATATAGAATATTTAAACTTTTTTAATTGTAATATTAAGTTAGAAGTAAATAGTTAGAGTTTTAAAAGAATAAAATATAATATATTTTTTAAAAATTAATTTAATTAAACTTTTTATATAAAACCTTTTATAATAATTTTTAATTTATATTTATAATATTATTTACTATTAAAAATACTTTTTATATTAATATATTAAATTATATTTTATTAATTTAAATTAATATTATTAATTTTATTATAAATTATAAGTTACTTAATTTAATATTAAGAAATATTATTATATAGAAATATTAAATTAATTAAAATAAATAAAAATAAAATTATTATTCTTTTAATTAAAGTTTTAATTTTATTTAAATAAATATTTATTAAATAAAATTATTTAAAAGTAATTATTTAACTTATTATATTTAAATTATAATATAATTGAATAAAGTAATTATATTTTATTATTATATATAATATTTTAATTTATAATTTTAATAACTTTATTATAAATAAATAAAAATAACTATTAATAATTAAATTTATAATTATATAAAAATAAATCTTTATTTTTAAAAAGTTATTAATATTTAAAATATTTAATATATTTTTAAGAAAGTTAAAGAATTATAAATTTAATTTAAAATATATTAAAATTTATATAAATCTTAAATTTAAACTTAAGGAATTTAAAACTTTAATATTTTTAAAAATAAAAAATTAAAAAGTTTAAAGAAAGATTTAAATTAAATTAAATTAAATTATAATAGAATAAAATAATTAATTAAAAATTAATTAAAAATTATAATTATAAATCTTTTAACTTTATATTAAAAGAATATATATATATATATTATATTATAATTACTTATTATATTATAAAGTTATTAATAATATTATATTTAAATAAATAAATAAAATTATTTTATTATTTTATTATTTTATTATTTTATTATTTTATTATTTTATTATTTTATTATTTTATTATTTTATTATTTTATTATTTTATTATTTTATTATTTTATTATTTTATTATTTTATTATTATTTTATTATTTTATTATTTTATTATTTTATTATTTTATTATTTTATTATTTTATTATTTTATTATTTTATTATTTTATTATTTTATTATTTTATTATTTTATTATTTTATTATTTTATTATTTTATTATTTTATTATTTTATTATTTTAAATTTATTTTTATTATTTAAAATAAATTATTATTATATAAAATTTTATTTTACTATTAAATATATTTTAAATATTTATACTATATATAAATTAGAAATTAGAAATTATAATTATAATTTTATCTATTTTATATACTTTAATTTATTATATACCTATTCTACTCGCTAATAGTTTAATTTTATAATCTTTCCTCTTATATTTACTCACTCACCCCTTCAACCTCACCGGATTAGTCGCTCATAGACACATTCTGACCACCTGAGCCCCTGAGCCCCTGAGCGCGGCAGCCTAAGTCTAATCTACAATCACGACGGTGACTCAGTCCGCATTCCACCAGGCAGTCAGTGGGCACTGAACAGCAAAACAACTCGCCGGAGCAGCCATCGGATACATATCACTACATGAAATTATGGTGTTGTGAGGTACTTGTTGTGTGTTTGGCAATTATCTAAATGGGTTGGGCAGGGCTGGTGCTATGGATTCTATCCTGTCAACATGCTGTACAAACCAACAAAGGCCTGTTCCAAATTATCAAAAATGCAGCCGCAGCACTGGATCGCCGGATGTAACCAGCTCTCAACCAAATTCCAAAGGAGGCCTTCGCAAGATCCATCCGGCCCGGCCCGGCCATCGTGTCAACATCGTATCGTGTGCTGGAAGATGGAGAATGCCAGGTCCTGTCATCGCTGCATCTTGTGGAGACCGCCCCAGGCACCAAGGTGAGAAAGAAGAAGATAATAAAAGAAAATGATCAAAGAGGAAAGAAAATACATGAGATGTATCATATTCCACACAAGAGTCGAATGTGATATCGGACGACCTTGTTGAAATCCGAATCACGAGGTAGTGGACGATTGCTCGTCGCTCGTGTCATCTACCACAAACTCCCAAGATACTACCGCCGCCACGCTGAGACATGAGTGTGTACTCGGCAAGATCAGGCATTTCATCGCCGGCGTCTCCCTGGCCGAAGTGAAGCCTAACCACAGTGGGTCCGATCATCGCAAATGGTGTTGATCACTTTGGTCACAACCGTGCACTGGTACGTGGGGCAGTTGCCGTTACACAGATGACTGGAGAGTTCGTAGCGAAACTCGCGGACCTTCCCACAAGTAAAATGGTGATACTCAAGCCGGCACATGATGGTTGTGGCTGGTCAGCGGCCTTGGAGTCTTGTGGGGATTTATGATTCTCCAACGGAGTCAACGAAGTGTACGAGAAATATGCTTTGTGGTGGACAAACAGAGACCGGCAGGCCTGTGTTCCGCTAGACGTGTGCGGGAGACGAGTCGCTCTCAATGATCCAAGTTGATACTGGCCCAGATATGTGCTTGTGAAGGCCTCGAAGGTGAAGACCGTGGTGTAGGAGGTAGGTGGTGCTGATGATAGTGGGTACGAGGATTGTGATGTCGATGGTGATGCTCGACTTCAGGATCAAGCAGGAGGAACCGCTCTGTGTCTTTATATACTTTCGAACGCACGGAAAGAAGCAGAATGTGAGCCTCTGGTCAGTGTGTGTGCAGTGGTGAAGTGGAGCAGACGAGCGCGAGCTGTTGGTGTCCATGCCATACCGCTCAGCAGTTCAACCGAAGCAATCTACAGAAGGCAGAATTATCTGCTGTAGGTGCCGGTGACTCTGTTTCTTTGCGGTTGGTTGTTAGCGTCTCCGGCTTGGTACGTCATGCGGTTGAGACAGTGACCAGAGTGGTTGCATAGCGAATAGCTTTCTGGAGACACTCAGGAGAGGCTGTGGGAACGACATGGACAGGCAGAGCGCGGCGGAGTACCTGAACAGTACCTGGCGGTCCAAAGACTGTACCCGAACCAAGAAAAGAGGTGTACGGTCTGTGGTAGCAGAGTAAGCCTTGGAAGGGGGGGGGGGCGATGTTGGGTTGCTCAGACAATAACCCAGGTCTATCGCATCGATTTGCCGGGGTGGTAAAGGTATTGCGGGTCATTGCTAGTGGACCTGCCCAATTTCCTAAATGGAATCGTCAACACGGGATCTTTTTACTGCTCGACATGAAGCCATCTTGTTGTAATTTAACTTGTTGTCTGCCAGCTCCGCTAATTGTGGCCGATGTACTTGCCTTCAGAGAGCCACTGCCCGCCGACAGGGATCTGGCCTGTAAGAAAGGGCACTCGGAGCCGACGTGACAAAAACAACGGGCCACAGCAACACAAGTACGCGGCCGTCGCTGTTCGGCATCGCTCGCTTGGATCTTCTTTGCGGACGATATCATTGCCCAGGTGCTGATGGTGTTGCAAGCCTGGTACTTGCCCATCCAATTGCGATCCAGAGAGTGACTTTGCACCAACAACCTCGTGACGGCCCAATCCGGGCGACGCAGCTACATTGTTATGAACCCGTCCATGCCGCATCCCCACTGCAGGTTCCACAGAATTCTCCGGCGTCCACGTGAAAGAGATCGAGAAAAGCTCTTGGTTGAAGACATGGGCGAGGTTTCGTCAAGCGGCCACGGCCGTTCCAAGCATGCATTCGAGGACGGGAGAGCGGCCAACTTGCCAAATGACAGAGGCGTGAGAGAAATTCTAGAAAGCGCCACCACAGAGTTCTTGCGGAATAGGGGTACTTCATTATCTGCTGGCAAGTGTACCGCCAGACCCGTTGCATCAAGCACATTGGGCCTGGCACCCACCATCGTAGTCCGATTTGATATTTGATGCAAGACACCCGTCGACATGCAGCAGTTGACGAAGCACTCGATCTCTGTGGCCAGAAGGTTCATCGCCGAGGCCTTGGTTGGTTGTAGACCAACATATGCGCGCAAAAAGAAGGGACAATGCAGGCTCCGGTGATGACTGAGTAGCCAACAAGGCATTCAGTTGTTGGTCACCGGGGCGTGCCTGCGGCGTGAGTGAAGCATGTGTGTGCGGGCCGCATGAGGTCGCACACGCAGCAGCGCAGGTGGGCACGCTTCCGCCAGAGAAATATGGGCAACGGCAGAGCGCTGGCTGGCTGGTGGCTGGCTGATGGAGGGCTGGGGACCTGGGAGGAGCCTCAGAACGGACGTGCACAGCATGCCGAGAGCAGCAGATGGCAGTTCAGGCCCGCGTTGCTCCAAGCCCGTGGCCCCTGCCGACGCCCTTCCTACGTGCACATGTGTGTACGCACAGTACTCCCGTACTCAGGAGCTAGCTGTTCCCGCTCGTCCCCCGACACACGGCATGGTGCGGGTGTGCCCATCGGCTGTCCACGGAGGGCCCGGATGAACGCGTCGGGCAGCGAG